TGTGAGTCAGTTTCAGTTAAGTTCTGAAAAAGGCAACATCATAATTGGCGAAACGTCAGTAAGTTCGATTCAACAACAACTGCCCCAGGAAGAATCCTGAAGTTCTGTAAATAGTAACTTAGCTCACATTTTTTTGGACAGAACATTATTCTTGTCACTTACTTAGGATTTTGACAGTAACATAGCATAACAGCACTATTATACTTGAATGATGATATAAATAATTCTAGTGATCAGGGATTATAAGCAAAAAAAAAACGCAGTTTATGATATTTGGCTAGGGTGGTAGTAAACTACTTCATTTAAATATTTTGTTGAAAAATGTGTCTTTGTAGATCACCGAATTGGCAAAAGATTTAAGGTTTTTATTTGACACGAGCGAAACCATGGGGCAGTGCTGTGGCAAAAATGTTATTTTGAACTAAAATATCAACTTGAGACTGTGTGATTTACCTATCCTGTTCATATCTCGATAATTGTGATGTAGTGTATTTGTCTGCTCTTGATAAAAAGGAAAAGGTGGGTTTTCAGAAACTTCAAGATTTTGGTTTAAGGCTTAGTTGTGGCATTCGAAAGTTTGATCATATATCGCGTCTGTATCCTGAATTTTGTGTTACATAGCTATGTGCATTGTATCGATTTAGCTACCAATTACAGAATGGCACAATATAGGCTTCTATTTTTAACAAAGCCGGGAAAGTTATCAATAAATTTCTTATCTCTACAATGAAAGCAAGGTTATTAATTTAAAACTTCTAGTCAAAGAATTTTATATGCGTTTGTTTTAAATAAACTAATGCTTAAACTAAACATTCTGTTTAGAAAAACACAGTTATAATGAGTCCGAGCACATCTTATTATTGGAGAGTTAAAAAAGTAATTCGACTTAAATCGCTCAATAGAAAACATCAGTTAGAGCTGAAGTAATTTATACAAAATGAAGAATGCACAATGTTATTTATAACTTTGTAAAGAAAAGCAACATCAAACAGTTTCTTCGAGTTTCAGGCGACTTAAAATTGTAAGATTTTAAGTTTTCTTCGTACGAACAAAAGTGTCGATCTCTGTTGTATCTAACGTTTAGATTGTTAAAGGGTTTTTCTTAAACATTTTTTGACAATGGTTTTGATATGAGCCTCAAAGTTTAACTTTGAGTCAAGAACAATTCCCAAGTCTTTTACAGCTGTTTATTATCAAGCATTAATTTAATATCTATAAAATCCAAATCTGTTAAGGTCGCTCTGAAGCTCCTATACATCTAAATGTGGACGAATCTACTTTTTTACTTTTAAATTATCGGCAAAAGAAGCATAAACAGGAACTGGGTACCAAAGGCCACCGTCGAAAACAAAAATCGCCATGCCACCCCGAAATTTCCGAGTTTTATCATCAGAGTTGGATGATGTACTTTATCAAAATCATTGTGCATGGAAAAACTGATGTCATGGATGAACGGTACCAAGTTTATAAAAATTGAACGTTTTTGTAAAAACCATGTTGATTTGGATCTATGTCATTCTTTACCAGAAAAAACCACTGTGAATAAATTGGAGCCTAAAAAACATTGGCAAGGTGGCGTAACAGAGAGTTAGACGATAATTTGAGGCGTCTGTAGAATCACTAGACTTCTGGGCCACTTTCCAGTTTTTTGGAAATGTCCCTTGACCTTGACATTTATTTATTAAAGATAATGTTAAGAGGTTTCGACAAAATGCGGCAATTTTTGAGAAATTGTGCCGGCATACCGTCCGGCCCTGGGGTCTTTTTAGGATCCAAGTTGAGCAATACTTTTTCAATAGAATTTTGTGAAAATCCAGATTGAAGGCATTCTTGCTCGTAGGAATTGATGAAATGTAGGACGGAGTATCCCTAGGTTCAAACTACTAAAATAGTCACAAAAAAGTTGAGACATATTTTCAGAATCATTTGCTGCAATACCATTGTAGGTTGTTTTATCACTCAGTGATTTTATTATTATTATTAAAATATGACCAAAATTTTTTTCGTTTTCAGATTTTCTTCGGTTTTTGCGAGAATTTTTTATACTCAGTTATTTCACTTGTCTTAAAATCTTTACTTAGTTTCAAAAATAATAAATAATCCTCGGCTTTCTTATACCTTTACCACTGTTGTCCTGCTTTCTCTTTTTTCCGCAGCAACTCCTGCAGCGAACCAAATAGGAAACTCACTCCTGTTTATGTTGTTAGTTGGTACAAATTCATTTATAAAATCATATATATAACCATAAAATACTGTCACGTCCTGCTCGATTAGATCAGATGTCAATACACTTTGTCTTTGTTTTGTTGTAATTTTTTCCCCAACATATATATGTATTATTTTGTAATAATGTTTTCTAAAATTTAAAAAATGGCATTATTTATTTATTATTAAGCGTGGTTCACTCTACTTTATTTGGTTGGCACAACGACGCTGAGATCTTCTCCCTGAATTATCGAGGTCACACTGGACTTCCATTTCAGTAAATTGGCCAAGAAATCCCGGATTTTTCCATTATCATCAAGGAAACCATGCATAAGAAAGAAATATCAATATATTAATCTTTTAGGCTACTTTTCTACCCGAGTTAGCTGATAATAGCTGAAGTGAAATTTAAGATATTTCATAGTTGTTATAGTTAACATACTGCATATTAATTTTTATGCTTCGAGGAGAAATACCGCCAACCAGTGTAATAATTAAGTGGGGTGTAAGAACACACCTCATGTGCGCTTTTTCACTTAATATAGCCCACTGGACAATAAATTATTGGATCGAGTCTCTAATGATCGCAGTATAGGTATTTATTGTTTCTCCGAAATGATATCGAAAATATTTTTGACAACCTAAACTTAACAACGCTTGCTAAATGCGTTCCACAAGATAATGCCTTTGTCGAGAGGAACATGAAATTTATTTCAGGTCCATAAACAGTATAAGAGACTTACGCTAGAGAGGTATCCTTTCAAAGGTTAGAACTGAATATATACAGAGAAAATTGCTGCTTCGAACCAGGGAATCCGAGTTTCTTAAAATTGTTGTGTAAATAAAAAAAAAGTAAAACAAGGAAAAACTTAACAGAACGTATATTTTCTGGTGTCATTTACGTACGCGATCTACTTGGATTATCTAGTTTAGTTGGTTGTTCGGCTATAACGACTTGGTCAACAAGTTCCCGTAATAACCACTCTGTGGCGCACCCATTCTTTCTATACCTTTTATAGCTCTACATTTGCAAATGCTACGTAGCCAAGAATACGAAGATTTGATAACTTCACTCTGAAGGTGGCTAGTTACTAAAAGCCAGTGATTATAGTTGTGCACCTCCTAGTACTTACTTAAAAAAGTTTCAGCTATCTTGGTTCCTGGTTTTTAGTTGGGAGTCATTTGAGTGAATCGATGTGAGTGTTTTCGTGAAAATGAAAAAAACTGAGTATAAAGTTGTTATGAAATAATTGTTATTAAAAGGCAATACGCATACACAAATCAAAGTTGAGTTGGACTCTGTGTATGAGGACTATGCACCGCCACTTAGCAGTGAAATTTTTGGCAGCTGAATTTAAACATGGACGTGAGAGCTTAGGAGATGACGAACGTTCGGGACGTCCAAAAACTGTAACTGCCGACGACAATATCGCTAAAGTTCACCCAATAGTGTTCAACCACAGTCGAATTAAAGTGAGAGAGATGGTAGTGGTTATTGAAATGTCCGAAGAATGTGTTTGTCACATTTTAAATCGTCGATTCGGGCGCCTCCAAAACATGCCCACGTAATTTATTCTTAATTTCTGGGAATAAAAAGAAGTCATTAGGTGCTAAATCAGGACTATGTGGTGGATGGCTCATGAAATCAACGTTTTTAATGCTCAAAAAGTTCTTTGTTTGATGCCGAAATATAAAAGCCCTCGTATAAAGTTACAAGTTTCATTTATAAAAAATGTCTTGCATGATTGTCAGGTCGGAACCTTTTCAAGTGAGCTTTGTACATCCATTTCTGCGTGCGTTGGCAATTTTTTACAATTTTAAAAATTACAAATTGCAAATTTGTTACAACGAACTTTGCGGTAAAAACAAACTTAATGGTGCTCGTACGGCTGAAATCTTGAAAAAGTGTTTCGGCAACGATTATTTAAAGAAAACTCTAGATATTCGGCTAAAATTGAAAGAAGCACCTTACAAGCAAATTAAAGATTGTATATAGTAATCTACAATTAATTTATGAAAGCCGTAATTATCTCTCATAGGATACTAAAACGTTTCAACGTTTCTTTGCGCGAGTCAACTTTTGCCATAGTTTAATCATTGTAACAGCGTATTCATTCGTAGCCTATACCATATAAAGAAGTATCTTATTCAAAAAGTTCAAAACTGCTCCCTTAGACTGATATATAAAGTTGAACGTAGCACTCATGTTTCACCACCATATCATTCTGATTGAATATGTTCCATTGTGATAACTTCACGACCTATAAGAAAATGATATATTGCACGGATGTCAACAATTAGAATCTCCGTAGAAGGGATCTCCTTACTGTGCCGCAGTATCTAAAAATCCATGCTAGCAAGGTTTCACTTGCGTTTCTACCTAATTAAACATTTATTTACATACTTCCTTGTCTTTAATTATCTCCTACCTCCACTTCAAGCATTTTCTGTTTCTATGATGCCTGACTTTGCCGAAAAATTTAATTAGGAATATAATTTTGTGAATTTGTTGTTATTATATTATTATAGCTACTTTATTTGGTTGGATTTTGTTTTATCTTAAATATAAGACAATACAATCAACACCAGGTGATCTCAATCTGAACCCCAGCTTTGTTGGTGTTGATTCTGTTATCTTATATTTAATGTGTGATGAGGTCCGAACAAGGCGAAACTTATTACCAACTTCCATATTACATAACAGATAACCACAGCGTCTTTGGGTATCCATCCATTAACGTTAAAATACTCCCACTCTTGAAAATTCAAAAAAGACCGTAGACCGTTTGTTGCAGAGATTCGATTCGTCAGAGACACACTGGCGATGGTCGCGAGATGAGCGAGTCCCGTTCACGTCTAGGTTTAGGATTATCCAATCTAGATCGGCAGTCTGCCCTGGATAGGCATTCCCAGCAACACGCGCAGCAGCAGGCTGACACGAACGGTCTCGATTTGTACTACAACAGTCGACCACCAGAGACGAATTGGGGTTACCAACCGCCACCGCCCGTAATTACCGAACAGCCGAAAGCCAGTGTGCCCCACTTTCAGCAGTACGAACGGTCCTATCCTAATACTCTGGAGAGTTTGGCAGAAAAATGGCACGGGCGCCGAATGTCTGCCGGTGGTGGTCAAACCATGCCTTCCAGGTAACACTTATATACTATAGACGCCTTTCACCTATTTATTGGATTGAACTGAGGTGGCTTTCATTTGATAGACACAGGATGTTGTCGAAACAATTGTCATGTAAAAATATTATCATTTCGTGAAAAAACTTATAGTTCTTATTTATTTTGATTTTTTACTTATTGGATTAGGACTACTCCAATCTTAACTATGAACATATTGATTGGGTTCGGATGTTCCTTCTATCCGATGTTAATGAAATGTTAGAATTTTTTTATGCTAATGTCGTGGATGTATTTGACTTATATGACCTGTTAAATACTATGCAAATTACTAAACCGCCTGCTCCTGGGCTAGCAGACTGAAAATAATGATTAAATTGAAACATCGGACCTCAAAATTGAGTTACCCTGGATTAAGTTTAAGGGAAAAAGGAGTCTTGTTGATATGGCGATTAAGTCCGAGAAAAAGTTGTCTTAATGTTTGACTGGTGCCTCTCTCTAGTACCATTTCAAATGTTACGAATGCTAGGGTATTGCTGCAATCCAGCCGATGTTTCTGATGTGTAAACATTTAATCAGATTTTTAAAGAAAGTGTTCCCCTGGTAAATAGAAAACTAATAAAGATATGATTTCGGAGTTGCATTTGGATCGTGTTCATCGCGGAATTACTAATCAGCATAACCGTAACAGAGGAGCGTGGTTAGAGAGTAATATTCGAAATTAAGTCAAAGGTAAAAGGTTTGAGCGGCATCGATTTAAAAATACTACCGACATCATTGTTAACCAACCTTATGGAAATAGGCTAATATAATACATATTCCTAAGATAACTTCATCATCTCGAATCTCACATGTTCGTCCCACTTACTGTGTGTAATGTTTCAAATATTGGAGAGGATTATATATGATCAAGTTAATAATCATGTTACTGATTTATATATTTTGGCTGTCACCCAATCTGGATTTACGACCGGGCACAGTAGGACCACAACACTATTTATGGTCGCTAATGACCTTTTCAGGGCTCAGGATGTATCAACAAATAATTGCTTAATTTTGTTGGATTTTAGCAAGGCCTTTGATACCTTAAATTATAATCTTCGGTCGTCGGTAGAGGTTTTGCGTTGGCATCATTTGTGTCTACCAATTTTATGGGGAGTGCCTCGGGGCTGAATTTGAGGACCTTTATTGTTTTTTTGATTTACACGACTGACTTCTCTAAGCACCTAAATAAATATGCAAATATACTTCTCATTTGTCTTGAAGTGTTTTCTATAATCTCCTAAGCCCATGGTCTGATATTAAATGATTCCAAGGCGCAGGTTGTTCTTTTAAGTAAAATTTGAAAGACAATCACTACATTCGAGCAAATTTCTGTTTTTCAAATGTATCGTCAAAATGTCAGCGCGATGCAAGAAATAAAGGCAAATACGATGGCGAAAGATAAATGAATGATGAATTCCAAGCTGGAAATAACATGTGGCGTTTATTTTCAGGATGTCCTCGCAGCAAACTGCTTCCTCTCATTATTACGTGCAGCACACTGGTACGGGGGGTAGGAGGATAATGCCGCGTTCCGGATCCGATCAGCACCTGCCCCAAACGGAGTACACGGACTACACCAGTATTACCCAGGCCGGAAGGCACAGCCTGCTTAGGTCTAGCCTCAAGTCTGGATCCACTTTAAGCCGGTATTATTAACAATCATGCATCACGCATATCTGATCAATAGAATTTTTCTTTTGTATAATATTATTTTTATTATTGTCACTTTTCATACCTGGTGATTCATCATTGTTTTACCCGTGTATACAGTGTATTTGGACGATTTCAATCTTTAAATTAGAAAATAGGGTAGTAAAAAAGCGTGGCGTAGAAAAATAATGTTCTTTTTTGAAATATTTTTCCATTTAACTCTAATAAAATGACAACATTAAAAATTCAAATGCATCACCATGTACAAGGTGCTCCAAAGTCGAGGGACATTTATTGCGAGAAAGTTCAAAACTGAAAACCGCATCGTGACGTCAATTCTCAAAAATGTATATAATGTAAGAATATAGTTTTGCGAAAAAACATTTTTTAAAGTTTTTTTTAAGCTGGAATCTCTATATTTTACCCGTTTTATCTTAGAGCCTTTGGTTCCCGAGATATCACACAAAGTAATATTTCTTTTAATGGGATACCCTCCAGTTTTCTAAAAACTCAGTTTTCTAATAAAATTTCCTGTCGAACGATGTGCCATACACCCATTTTTATTAAATAGTTTAAAAGATATTTGCAATTTTTGATATTTGCCCTAGTACTAGTATATATATATATATATATGTATATATATATATATATATATATATATATATATATATATATATATATATATATATATATATATATATATATATATATATATATAATAAAGTGACAACAGAAAAAGTGCAGGTCATATCTGGAGTACCAGTCTACTGTTAGCAATGTTGTACAATGCATTGAAAAAAAAGAGTAATCAAAGACACACCAATAATTTTCATAGCATTCTCTATTTTATTTTTTACAAAGTTCATATAAACTACGGTCCAAAACGTCTTGGTTTTTAACATACAGGTTGTTAAATTTGAAGAGGTGATGGCGATTTTTTGTAAATATTTTCGAAACACCTAAATATTTTTAAATAAAATTTGGTACAGTTACTAAGCTTTTTATGCTCTATTTAAAGAACTAAAACTTAGTATTGGATTGTCTTCAGGAGTGGGTAACACAGGGGAGGCGTGGGAAAAATTTCCCCCAATTTTTTTGTTTATCAAATTTTCGTAATTTGGACTGCAGAATTTGGAAATCTAATAAAATAATAAAAATAACAAAAAAAGAGAATTAGCAGATACTAATTTTGTATACCACTTTTGTAATGCTAGAGGTGGGGAGGAGGTACAAGAGTATCGTATCGTATGCGGTACCTGATCGTTGAGTTTTTATTAATACAATACACATAGGCATTTAGTTGAGCGTGGATCATTTGAACGTAACGTAAAATTTAAAGTTTATTTTTATTTTAACAATTAGCTTTACAGTTGATAGTGGATTGGTTGGTAATAAAAGGATTCATAAGAACAATTCAAGCAAAAACTATTTTTTACCAACAATGAACAAAATTGAAAGCTGTCGAATAATTGACATTTAATTTTTATTTACCCAGAAACACAAACAAATGAAACTTCCCAGGCTTACTAATGAATTTCTGCACCTCGATTTTAGACATTAAAATAAAAATAACAATTTGTAATTAAATTTTCAAAAGCATTTTTATCGAAAACTGTGTGTTCTAGCTAGGTGCAACAAGGGAACCTTATTTACGTAGAAAACTTGAGATTTTCAAATTCTGCAGTCCCAATTACGAAAATTCGACAAACCAAAAATTTATGGAAAATTTTTTACACGCCTCTCCTGTGTTATCCACCCCTGAAGACAATCCAGTACTAAGTTTTAGTTCGTTAAATAAAGCCTAAAAAGTTTAGTAACTGTACCAAATTTTATTTTAAAATATTTACGTGTTTCGAATATATTTACAAAAAATCGCGACCACCTCTTCAAATTTAACACCCTGTAATTTAAAAACTAAGACGGTTTGGACCCTATTTTATATGAACTTTTATCCTTATAATAATGTATAATGGTATTTAATCAAAATGAATTGATATTATTGCTGAAAGTACTATCTGCTACTATCTGCAAATTCTTTCCTATTGTACCGGTTGTTTATAGATCAAACTTGCTGATGTTTCCCCAACCATCTGGATGGGTTTTTCGCTTAATATATCTAATGTGGAAATTATTACGGAGAAGAGCAGATGTGTGGAGTTGATGGGCAGTGATGTGGGATGTGATGTGACAATGTGAGAAAATAAGTTCAGTCCCTGTGCGTATGTTTTCTCTAAACAGAAAGACCGAATGATAATTCAAGGCTATGTTAGGGTGTAGTATGTGGTATAGGATAAATATATTCGCGATGAGTGGGTGACCGTTATAAGAAAAAAATGTTTCAGACAAGTATTTTTCAATTAAGGGAACAAGATTTGTTTCCAGGTTTTCTAATTTTAATATGTCTGAAATAATGTTGTAAGCTTTAGGAATAGGGACTTTGGTAACGGACGATTCTACGTCGAAAGTAACCATAATATCCTGTGCATCCAATGTAATGATTTTTAATTGTTCAAGAAGATGGAAGGAATTAAGTATCAAAGTACCAGTTTCCTTGTAAAGGGCTTTAATATAGAAGCTAGATATTTTGCTAGAGATTATGTCGGAGGAGCAATGTTGCTGACAGTAGGTGGAGGGGGTAATCCTGGTTTGTGAATCTTAGGAAGTTCGTAAGATTCATAGACCGAAATTACTTAAGTATTACATAAGTTTATTTGAAAAATTTAAATGTGTCGGTACAAAAACAAGCGCTATGGCCCATTCGTTTGGGAACAACCTGTAACATTTACATTTATCGCCGTATTAAACTAGATATACGAATCGGTGGCGAGTGCAGCTTATTGCATAACCAACAATCCTGAACACTGAAATTTTCCTAAAATTTTCTGTACTAACTGAAAGTCCAATAAGCTTTGCCTCTTCTTCTCGATGTTTCTGAAACGTTGGGCGGTGTGGTGCTGGAATATTACCCACCGCAAACCATCGCGCTTGCCTTGGTTCCCGTCGATATCATATTTTATCAGATTTTCTTATGATTTCGATCGCCACTACACGAATTATTAAAATGTAAAGGGACGTTAATGAATCATACGACTATGACACGATTAGAAATGCAAAATTCGATTTCGGTGTCAGAAGAAAACGACGCTATCATACAGTTCGTAATGCACTCTTAATGTTGATCGCACGCGACGTTTCGATTAGCGATGCAAAAGGCCGTTCCCGTAATAATTATTCATACGAGGTAATTATCGTTCTCCTTCTTTTCTCGTTCCAGATACAATCAGCGATACGTAGACCAGGCCGCGGTCGCGGCCCAGCTCTCCCAAACGAAATATGGGACGACGGGAAGCCAATATGGCTCTACTGCCGGCTCAGCGACCCTGAGAAGAAATCGGGGAAGTCTGGATTATTCCAGCGATACTGAGGCCACGGTCGGGTCTAGAGCCGGTTATTATTATTACAGGTAAAAAGTGCTAAGCATAGTTCTGGTGGTGTGATTGAACTAATAGAGATCAGCTTTGTTAGTAATCGCCCTGAAATAAATAGCATGAATGTCTTAATTGGTCTTATCACAGAAACAAATTTTGTTGGTAAACTTAATAAATGCTCTTCATCAATTGAGATTATGTTATAGATTAATACATCAATGAAAAAAAATAATTGGAAAAATGTTTTGCGATTATAATCCCATGTTACTGTCCATTACAAAAATTTAAAAAATATAAATATGTCTTCATTGTTTTGATGGACGCTAAACGTTTATTCAATCACCGTTAACAATTAATATTACGAGTAGCAATCGTAGGTGTGTTGACTACGTCCACCGCAAACTACACTTGCGTTCATTGAAATCAGCCCATCGCAACCTTTTTTATTTGCGATTTTTATACAACTTAAAGTCGTTTCTCGCATCCTACTCGCCAACGCTTTCTGTCTCTCCAGTCCTCTTCTTGTAGATTTCTTTGGGTCATTGCGTTTCTTATACCGTCTCCCCATGTGTTTCTGGGACGTCCTCTTTTCCTTTTTTCTGGAGGAACCAATTCAATATTTTTTTTGGCGATCTATCATCCGGCATTCGACATACGTGGCCGTACCATTTTAAACTTTTGGCATCGATAGTGTCAACAATGGTGGTGTCTATCTTCATTCTTTGTTTTATCTCATTGTTACTTATTTTGTCTAGCAGTGTTAGTCCACAACCGCGTCTTCAGTAGTCCATTTCCATTGCCAATAATCTTTTACGTAAATAATCAGTCATTTCCCATACTTCGGCCCCATAGGTTGTAATACTCTCTACAGTAAAGGAGTAAAATAACTGCGTGAGACAAATCTTTTTTATTACTAAAAGATATAGACTTATTGACAATTAACTACTTAACACTTATTTTTTAATAATGCCCTAATAACATCTCTCACACGATTATGCATAGATCTAATCAAGCTCGCTATTGTTTCTTGTGGAATGTTAAACCCCTCGTCCTCTACTGGTATCGAAGTTGGAGTCGGCTCTGGTATCGAGGTTCGGGTAAAAATTCTGGCGCAAAATTTTCATTTTAGCTCATTTCCTAAATGTTCGATCGGATTGAGTTCGGAACTGCATGCTGGCTACTCCATAAGTCAAGAATCGACTTCAGCAATGTAATGTTGAACGATTATTGCGGTGTGAGGTGTCATGCATAAAAACAAAGTCTTCTCCCATGTACTCGACATAAGGAACCACATGAACTGCTAAAATCTCCTCGATGTACCTAGCGCCCGTTAAGTCTCCTCAGCCGCCCCTACGGATGAAAACTAAGTACTCCTTTCTTCAATGCAGCATTCTGCAAATCGATTTCTTGGTTTTCGGTATATTTTTCTTCGTCGGTCATCTGAAAACAGAACAGATCCGCATTGTTCCAATGTCCAATTCAGATGATTTCGTGCAAAGCGTAGGCGACCTTGTAAATGAGCTGGAGTAAGTTTTGGACCAATTGCTAGTGTTTTTCGGCTCAGGTTATTTTCATGCAATCTTCTTCTCACTGTCCACTAACTGTTATTGCACTTGAATCGCGTTAAAGTGATCATTTCTTATTTTTGTTAACACAATAAAATGTGAGCCATTGTAAGTTGTCTTCTGCCTATTCCAGGTCGCCTATCAAAGGATTCAGTCTCATAACGTTGGCACAATCTTCGAACTGCTGCATTTGTTACATCCACTTGTTGATCAAGTTTGTTGCTCTCGTTATAACTACCACATAAGCATATTTATTTTGTTTACCCTTTGTATTAAAGCATATTAAATAGTCTTGCATTGGTTTCATTAGTTTGGTGCTGCGTCGTGGTTAGAGGTTGAAGTGCGTGCTTTGTGCGCAATAATTTTATTAATGTATGTTTTATTAACCAAAGATTTTAAATAATATATTATAATTACGCGACAAGTGTTGTAAACCTCGTTGGAGACTTAAAAAGGTTACCAAACGTTCAAGCCGCTACGGACATATTGCCACATAGGAGCAATTGGATGTTTTCGGAAATATTACCACAGGGCTTGAATTTTGACGTTTGTCAGTACTGATGGTCACGTCAGTGAATACATCCATCCGTGTTGTTTGAAAGATATTCTCTATTGTCATAACAATTTATATGTTATTCGCTGGGAATTAATGAAAATATTAGAGCAACAGCAGCTTTTTTACCCCATCTTGAAAAGCTCTTCGTGAAGGATTATTTTTACTCAAAGTAAAGTTTCAAGTGTTTTGCAGCACTGTATTCCATTTTGCAACAAATTTTTTATGGAAATTCTTTGTTCCATTTTATTTTGTTCCGCCTTACTTTTTGAACACACGCCATACACTAAATATTTATTCAAAATAAATAAGAAATAAAAGTTCAGATTTTCACGAAATTATATATTATGACATGACAGTTGTTTCGACAACACCGTATCTTTATCAAATGTCCACACATTTGATAGAGATACGGTGTTGGTGTTTTTATTATTTATTTTGATAAATGGATTTTCATCAAGTAAAAGCCACCTCATTTCAAATATTTATTCGCACCAACAAAACATACCATTTTTAATTGATTAGTTTTTGATGTTTCGTAAAAATTATACTTTCTGATTTTTGTAATGTTGTGAGTTCAGCTATTCAATTATAAAAAATAACGTTTATAAATCCAAATAGACTTTTTTTTTAATAATTACAACAAAAATGTCCTCATTCCAGAATGAAAAATTTTAATTAACGAAGTCGACAACGCACTGACAGACATAACTTATTATTTCTATGTTCCAATAAGGGAAGATGACTAAATAGTTACAGATACCTTCATGGTGTAGTGGTAAGACATCATCTCTCTGCCATGTTGTAGGTTGCAGATTTGATCGTGGTTTTAGTGATAATTTTTTGAATATTTCTTTTTGGTGCCCAAATTTATTGACATTTTCAAAAATTGATTTGCTTTTATCTCAACCAGCGTTGCAATTTGTTTATCATTAAACGTGGTGCAGTAAAGCAGTCACTGTTTGGATTGTTTCTTCGATTATTTTTATGGGGCTTTTTGGCATTTGCTTAACTAAGAGGACCAGATATGTTTCAATATTTGGACATGCACCGAAATGCTTTAAAATTCCGTGGAATTTTAACAAATTTCAGGAGATAAATAAAGAGAGACAAATCACATTAAGGCGATCCACGAAAAATTCAAAACAATGAGCATTTTACGATTCTTACACACCTTCAGCAAAAATCGGTCTCACTTATTGGTCAAAGATTTTTAATTATAAAGAATTGTTTAATCAAGCTAACTTTGGAAAGTGACACCTTACGGCCTCACCTATTGAGATTGGCATTCACGATGACAATAATTTCAAGAATTGTGATGTATACAGTTCCACTTAAAAACTGTACACCCTTTTAAAAATTTTGTTTATTTTGATATTTTGATTTTTTTTATTGTTGCATAAAACGTTGTTTTGCTGATTGCTTTTCCCTAAGAAAGAATAAATTAAATTCTTATTTAGGAGGTTTTACCATATTTGTATTTGAAAATTCGTTTTTGCCCCTCTTGTCCTTTTTGCTTGTCAAATCCTTGTTTGAGGTTTGATTTTTATTTTTTTTACTGATCTAGCAGAAACCTTTTACAAATCTTCTGTTTTCTTCCTGCGTCTTTTGTTAATAAATCAAATTTGCTTAGGTAACGAACTCTAATCTTTTATTGCTTATAGATTTCTATGGATAATCGAACTTTTCTTTGGTTTAAGAATTGGTTTCATGAAAGAATTTTGATTTTATCGAATGAGATTTGATGTCCGCTTTTATGATTGTGTTTCCCAACTCATGATGATTTTAGTTGTCGTAGTCTTAAGGCTCTTTAATGTTCTTTGAGCGTAGTTGATATTTTTGGTCCTGTCCGTCCAATCTATTCTTTGTCGAATATGCATGGAATGCTGTAAACTCTCCTGGTATCTTCAAACGAAATTTTATCTTTGACGGATCGAAGATGTTGAGAGATTTTTGGACAAGTGGTACATCTGGTTTTGACGTTATATTTTTTAAGAACTTTTAATGTGTGGTCAGTGACGTTTGGAATGTATAATATATGGCATATATGTGGCAAGTGTAGAGTTTTTATTTTTTTTATTTATAAACTAGTATTTCCTACAGAGAGACGCAGCTGTCCAATAAAAGGAAAAAATAGTTACTTTGTCAGTGGGCTAGTTTAAATTATTTTTTTCCAGATAAATCTAATTAAGAACTAATTACAGCTTTTTATTGCAGTATATTGATTAGTATACCGTCTTAAGTGTCGTTTAAAGTGTTATAAGTACAGGCACATCTGATAATTTGAGAACGAGTTTGAATGATATCTAGATACAGCGAACATTTGCCTGTTTCGAAGACTGTAGGAATTACAATTAAAGTATGTTTTTTCCAAAACGAAAGGAGGTTCCATCAAATTGTTTCCAACTTAGTAAAGAAATAGTAAATCAAAATTTGTCATACGATTTTCCAAATACTGTATACAATAGAAGTGAAGGTTTTCACAATAACTAAAAAAATGTATCTGTCTATTAAATCTATAATTTATAGCATCTACAAATTTTCGCTGTGCTCTTTCCAGCCGTACGATATATTTAAAATTTATGGGATTCCAGACGGGCGTAGCATATGCCAACAAGTTTCAGACAAGGCTGTAAAAGAAAAAAGTATTATTAAGGATTTTTGATTATTAAACCCATTACTAACCCGTAGAATAAATCCAAGACTCTTGAGTCTTTTGAACAATGTGCATCTCAAAAAGAAACCCCGAATCCAATGCAACACCCAGGTTCTATACAGAGTCCTAAAAGTTCAGTTTGTAGTTACCTAGGTAGGGATCACTTTTAATTTCCAATTGTGCCAATTTTTTGGCAAACAAAATACATTGACATTTGTCGAGGTTAACAAACAATCTGTTCAGAGAACAATATTCTTCAAAATTTGACAAATATCTCTGCAACAATACGTAGTCTGCCGCCGGGTGAACCGGTTTTGAAATTTTTAAATCATCTGCGTAGAAGGAGTAAGTCCTATATATAAAGCACTGTCCAACATCATCTAGGAAAATAGCAAATAATAAGGGACCAAAAAATCATCATTTGAGGTACCCCCGAAGATATATTTGTACTCTTTGATTTTATTCCATTTACAACAACATACTGAGATCTCCCGCACAAGTAACTCTTTGCTTTCTCTAATAATTTCCACATTAAGAGAGATATTAAGCTGTTCATCGTAAAATTCACTTCATCACAACCTTGCAAAGACAATGAGTCCAAAAGCAACCCCACACTTACCACTGTAAGGAGGCGGAACGTCAACAATTTCGATTCATCAACAACCGACGCAGAAGGGATCCAGAAGTTTTGTAAGTGGTATCACAGTAGCCTGTGGAAGTTTCTTTGAAAAATGGGATGTTTCTTATTGTAACAACCTGAAGTCGTGGCCAAGTGGGACTATCTGAGTGTCAAATATGGAGAAGGACTATTAAAGACTCCTTTACGAAGAAAGCGTCTACGAATTCTTGACGAGGATTACTTAAAACATGTCATACATGGGCCATCCGTGTATTATAATTATTGTGGAAATATAATTACATGTTATAATTATCATAAATTGTATAAATTAGCTGTTAATAGAGAATGTTCTATAGCGCAGGGAAGACTGCCGTAAATCGCTTTTAACTAAGTTTGGAAAGGTGCAGTAAATTACTCCCTACTAGTTCTCGCGGCAATATGATAGGGATTCCGGGGTCGCGGAAGGTAAAGGGCGTATAGTACGTTCGCGCCTAAACCGCAACATCCATTAAATCAGTTTGGAATCTAATAATTAAATTTCTTTTTGGTAGAGAGCGGGGATCGTCTGCGACTGCGGGGGCCGTCCCTCACAGCACTATTCCCACACTCGGGAGGCAGAACTCCCTCACCGCCACCGATATATCCACCAAGTTTAACTCGCTGCCCAGGGACTCTAGGGGTTCGGCCAGGTAAGGTGAAGATGCTCGAAATAGGGGTGACTCGATAGCGGGATTTGCCCTTTTGTCATAATCGGTATAATTTCAGGTAGAATGTTTGCGGGATGGGCTTTTCATCCGTATCTCGAATGCTTTAATGCGGTAAAGTTACAAGTTACGGTAAAGTTACAAGCACATAATGATCGTAATTGAAGCGTTTTAATAGGAATACAGAGAAAGATTGATAATTTATTCACATAATCTGTACTGGGTATTCGTCAGAAAACAATTACATAACAAATTACAACTTCTGCATACAGGGTGTTTTCTAATTGAATGTCAATAATTAAGGGTGCGATTTTTGGGTCAATTGTAAAAATAAAACTTCATATATGTTCTAAACAAGCTATTATCTTGATTCGGGTTTAAAGGCTGTCGTCGATTGGAATTACTTCCTAACGTTTCGCTAGCACGGGTGGCGAGCTTCTTCAGAGGTCCTTCCATCTCCGATGTTGGACGTAGACTGAGCCTTTAAACCCGAATCAAGATAATAGCTCATCAACGGGCCGCGAAAGCCTTAACCAATTTATGTTCTAAACGTCTAAACTTTTAAAGTGGTGCTAAAGTTATCAAAAATAAAATCTATGTTCTTAATATCTGTAACACCACTTATCAATGGACATTATGTGGTGTACCACAATTTTTTCAAAATACGCCAATGGCGGACGTACGGAATTTAACCTATACATTTTGGCAGATATTGATGTTACGCCACTGATTTCTCTTAAAAAATTTTTTTTTTTACAATCTGCAATCATTTCTAAAGAAATTTAATTTTCTGATAATTTTCAAGCCGATGCACCGTTTCCGCTGAAAAAAATAAAAACCTCTTCTCTGCATGACTATAACAATATCGTTAATATGACAGCAAGCAGAAAATTCTCATCATTATTATTTCTTACTTAGGTAATTGTCTACCGGTTTTATTAAAATACGAAGCACGTTAACTCTGAGGTGTATTTTTAAAATATTTAAAATTATTTCTTATCATCGAAGTAGGCTGTGTCTGAATTCTGTTGTCAAGGCGGTTGTTTGACAGTTGTTTGACATCAGTTTTTAAAGTTCATTTCTTCGCGCCTTATTAATTTGGTGCTTAAAATATTACGAGCAATATTATTTTAAAAAAGAATGGTCAAGTTTGTCGAGTTTAATAATGAGGAGTTGGCAGATATGCATTTTATGTATAGAGATGGTTGACTGAATCAGGGACTTTGAGGGCAGATAATCATTCAAAAGGGGCCCTTCGGGGTGTAAGAGCTCCAGAAATTGAAGAAGCAGTTTTAAATTCTTTTTATGAAAAACCTGAACTTAGTACTAAAAAGATTGGAAATAATCTAAACATCTCGCACGTCTTGGTTAGGAAAAGTTTTGCACGATTTTCTATCGTACCCATATCAATTCAACGAGTCCAAGCGTTACTTCCCTAGTGTTAATTTTTGTCAATGGTCGATCAAAAATTTCCACAACTACCAGATCTGGGCCGATAAAAACCCCCATTCAATTGTACAATTTAAACATCAAGATGAGTTTTCGGTAAATGTTTGGGTTGAAATTGTTGGAAATTACTTAATTACACGCTTTTTCCTGCTAGAAAGTCTAAATGGCCATTTTTAGAAGAGGATTTGCAAATATTTCTAGAAGAAGCATAACTAATTAATTAATTTAATTAATTAAATTAACTTTTTCTCAAAAAGTTTGTTATTAATTTATTAATAGACAATTTTGTTAAAAATTATTAATAGTAGGTGGTAATTTTTTTTTTAAATAAAAATCGTTTATTGTTTATCTTGTTATTACCGAGTTGTGTTATTTCATTAAAACTGTAAAAGTGGAATGAACATTCTTTTTTTTTTCTGAAGAACTAGATATTTTGGTTTATATAGATATTTTATTTTTCCCAAAAAAGTTCTCGATTTAATCAGTGCAGTGGCAACCTAATTAACCAACATGTTATTCATGGCTTGCCATTTCCTTAAAAAAAGACATTTGCGTTGATTTTTAAGCAGATTTAATGTTTTATTTTTTTTTAATCCCTCGCACCAAATAAAAAATAATTTTATCTTTTTTAGTGAAATCAGTGGCGTACCATCAATGTGTGCCAAAATATTTAGGTGAAATTTCATACGCCCGCCGTTGGTGTATTTTTAAAAAAATTGTGTGTCAAATTTCATTAAAATATCTAAACTGATATTACAGTCTTTAAAAAGAAATATTTTGGAAAATTTTACGTCCCTGTAGGTATAGGACATATGTTAATATGAAGTTTTCTTTTTAAAATGGACTCAAAACTCGCCCTCTTAGTGATTGACTTTCGATTGGAAAACAATATAGTCATTAACTTATAAAAAATGTATAAGACGAGTATTACAAGCAAATATATAACGACCAACACTTTGACATAAAAAACAAACACATTAATTTTGAAAAGAAAACATCGATCATTTGAATGCTCTCAAATACATTTCAAATCCTTCCAGGCTGTAGAAAGCATTCACTGACAGCAGCCTCTTGATGGATTTTTTAGACTTGGATGAAGCCTGCATAATTAAGGGACCTCTTACAAAACGTATGATTGGGTTTTTGTTTCCATAACTCTTCTTCATAACGGGTATAGTTACTGTAGACATCAGAAATGCGAATTTTAATTTTTATGTGTTATCATTATTAATATTTTATGATGTTGAAATATCTCTTTACATGGTTGTCTCAGAGGACGTTTAAAAATCATCCTAAGCAAGACTCTATTGCTGCATAAACATCCTTTCACAATCTTGTCCCTAATTTACATTATCATATAAAACAGAAAGGTAAGGTAGTACAAAGCAGCTAGTGGCCTCTCAAGCCAAGAACGTTTTGTTTGGTTTGCTGCAGAAACTACCACCTTAAGTAGCAGTCAATATAGGAGCCAAGAAAGTTCGTGGTCTGATTTGTGTCTAATAGCAATTCAGCAGAACTTTATCACAAGCGTGGTAAAGGTTTGATATAGTGGGTAGTAAATTCACCGTCTCACTAAACTCATTAAACTCAATCACAACTGTCTTCTCCAAGTTTACAATCAAGCGATTTTGCTTGCAAAATTCATTATATTGTGGAATGACAAGCGACACACTATCCATCAATCCTTCTGCATCCCCTCCAGTGATGAAAACATCGTTCATATACACTGTGTCCCACTTAAGAGCTGTTCACCCTTGTAAAATCTTTGTTTATGGTTCGATTTTGATTTTTTTTTGTTGGATATAGCTCCCAAAAACGTACTAAAATTTTGTGTTGCTTATTACATTAACCTGAAGTCATGGCCTATTAGGACTAATTTTTTATGTCAAATATCGAGAAGGGATATTACGGATCTGTTTAGGAATAAAGTGTCAACGAATTCTTATTCAGGACTATATAAAACCTAACTATACTAATTTCCATTAAGTTCGAATACAGAATGTTTGTTTATGGCTCAATTTTATTAATTCTTATTTTGTTATATAAATTTCACTCAAAGACAATAACGATTTTCTTAAAATTAGACATGCTTAGAGAAGTTTAGATATGAACTAAACGGTCTTGAAAATAACAGAAATATCAAAATTTATGGACGTCGGAATATTGTTTCCTTTGTAAAACCAAGTTTGTCAAGGAGAGGAGAATATTGGGCAGTCAAATTCATTCCCTAATGTATGTTTTAATTTTGTTTAGGTAATAACTATGGTTACTTTATCTTTGGGAGAAAAAGTGGTAATTATACGTCTAGTTAGCGATGGTGCGCGATCTTTCCGTGAAGTTGCTGCAAAGTTTAATTGAAGATATCCTGACATGAATAGGCATTTTGATCAGAACAGAACAATAAACACTCCAACCAACATCGTAATCGTCTTTTTCCTCTAAGCCCCAATACCAAAATGACCCTTAAAAAGTATTTGATTTTTTCTATTATTTTTGAAATTTGTATATTTAAAATTTGTATGATCTTAAAAAAAACGTACAAAATAAATGTTATCGACAAGGTTTACAATATTTGCTTTTTCAACATTAAAAACTTTGATCATTTGTCTAATTATAATAACTTTAAGGTAGTCTTGAATACGAATTTGTATTCAATTTCAATTTGAAAAAACCTCTAAAAGTAGTTTGCGATTTTCCTCTTCAAAAAAAATTGTGACTTCAGTCGATGCTATACGAAAAAACCGTATTAGTGCCTTTTATTAAGATATATCCAACAAAAAAAGAATTATCAAAATCAAAGGAAGTACAGTTCTCAAGTGGGACTCACTGTACAAATAAAATAATTCCTTCTGTTGATGCTATAAAACTCCGAGTGTATTTGTTTCTTTTACTGTGATTCTTATTTTCCTTTGGTTGATATATGATAAGATCCATTGATTAATTATGCCTAAGTACTCTAGCTTAGTTTAAGGAGTCAAATGCGCGATTCAAATCGAAAAACGCTCATTATTATACAGCTTAGTATAAATTTATTGAACGTTCGTTGGTCCTTGTTTCCGTGGAGCGCCCAAAACGGTAAGCATATTGCACATTTGAAATTATATCTTCTTGCTCTAAGAAATGCATCTTTCGTTTGTACATAGCATTTCTTAGCACTTAAAAAAAAACAACGTGCTATTGTTATAGGTCTATGTGAATTAAGGACAGCGCCTTTTCCACGGCATACGCACAAAAAACATACTCTTCTCTCTTCTCTCTTATAATGAACAGATGCAACAACTTAATTGGAGATGATTGGTAAAAAATTTTCCTCATTAGATATTACTTTATTATTAGCGACGATAGTTTTTTATTCTTATTGCTAGAGAGATTAATTAAATCAGCAAGACCTACAAAATTTTCCTCTGCAAAAAAGTTGTAAAGTGGGGCCTAAAAAAATGCGCACGTGTGAAACTGATGTATTTGGTAATTGGAAAAAATGTATTAATATAAAATAATTTTTATAACAATTGTTATAGATTATTTTATAAATTATTTGAAATAACATTTGTACTAAAAAAATGGGTCCATGTAGGAATTATTAAAAAATAAAAAGTGACTAATGTCGAAATGATTTGTTTTAGCACGAGGTAAATATTCATTTTATTAAATAGTTACATTGTCCTACCAATTTATTAGGTAATTTTTTTGGTCCTATATAGAACAGTTGTCGCTTCTACAAACTTTTCTCATTACTACATATAGGACACTGAATCTGATCTGATCTGATAAAGTAGCATATTTTTTATTTAAATTAATAAATTTCCCACAAAAAAATGGGGTGGTTTTGTTAGTTAACATTTATTCCTTGGCCTTATTATCCACACAAAAATTTATATATTAAAAAAGTATATGGTTTTTCTAACTCCGCTTCTCTCATTCCAGTACCGTTACCCCACCCACACGTCACCCATCTATTAACAGATTTTTAGTCGTTTATCTACCTACGTATCTGTTTGTAATACTACTTATTGGTAAATTATTTCGAATGTTATCGTGGGTGCGTCAGTTTCATAGTACACATGCCGATTTCGCACTTTTTACAAGTTTTTTTACAATCAAAGCTAAAGTCTAATATTTTTGTAGGACAAATGACCCAAAAAATTAGTAGGACAAGGTGAACATTTAATAATGTTAATACTTATGAAGCTAAAAAATAAAAATCAGTTGTCTATTAATCAAAATATTTTAATCACTAAATCGACGTGTCTTTATACCTGCTCAATTTCATATTTACTTTTTATTTTTCAATAATTCATACATGTTGAAGATTGGGGATACTTTTAATGGACCCATTTTTTTTGTAGGACAAATGTTATTTCAAATAATTTATAACATTTGGTTATAAAAATTAACTTCTATTAATATATTTTTTTAATTTCCAAAAACACCTGTTTCACACCTGCGCATTATTTAGGCCCTACTTGACAATTTTTTTGCAGGTAAAAATTTTGTAGGCCTTGCTAAAACAAAGTTGCTTATGAAGAATTAATATTATATAAATCATTTTAAACAAAAACCCTCGGCTCCCGGACTATTGACGTTTACAACCAGATTTTCATGACCATTCGAAAGCACGCGGTCCAGTGATGACAAAGGGCACGTCGGCGCGATTATAAGACGTAAATAACTTGTTGAACAGAAGGGTATCTCTTCCAGATTGCCGATGAACAAAAGATTCGCAGACAGGAATGTATCCATTTTGCAGGACGACGCTGACGGCGCGCTTTCCGCCCCCGAAATGCCATCCATCCGGAGAGATCGAGGTAAATGAATGATTATAACAGATGAAAAACTTTCATCGCCCACGATTCTGTCGTGTTTATTATTTTTGCTTTTTTCTTCGGTTTTCATGTTTTTTTTTACAATTTTTTAAATAAATCGCCCTCAATCACACGCGAAACATGAATGATGTCGGTTAAATTAGTCTATATTAAACGGCGCCACAGTTACCTACTGTGTCAGTTTTGGTGTTAGTACAGGTCAACGATTGAGAATTATCTCATTGGTTTCAAAGTAATGAGCAAATAGCTCCAAAAATTATGACGAATAAAAATATTTTTTTTAACCCAAGCATAAAATAAAATAAAAGAATTCTTTTTTGCTCTGAAATTATTTATTTTATTGCACTTAAGAATACATTACATGTGCCAAAAAAAAACTCGAAACATACAAAAAAATACTGGTGCCTAAACGAACCACTGGGAAAAAACATTAAATAATATTTTGCGGCACGTAAGTTCAAGAGAAAGTTCAAATTTGACAGAAAACTATTAAAAGTAGATTCTTTTCCAAATAGAACCTGATATGATACAAAAAAATGCATAATATTTTATGGTGCGTGAGCGCACCACTGGCAACAAACACCCGGTTTCATTTTTACACTTACACTTATTCCAAACTTAAATTGTGCGACTGACAATCATGAGGTGACCTTGATTATCATAACGCACTTCATCTATGGCAGGTGCATGATTTCTTTGAGTAATTGTTTTATCAACTTTTAAAAGTCAAAAACAATGTAAGATTTAAGATCAAATCAATCACTTTGTCTTCAAAAAACATAAAAAATATTTCAAGCGGAGTTTTTCCAGAAAACTTATTTTTTAGTTCCTCACATGATCTAAATTCATCGGATATAGGTGACATTGACAATAGAAGCAAGCCTATCGTTTGCAGAAAGCATACGTCTTCTTTTGAATTCCAGGGTTGCATCATCTGATTAGTCCCTTTCAGGTTTAGTAGTTGATGAATTACAAGACTGTTGAAGGACAGCTGTATCATTCGGTGTATGTAACTTGAAAGTTCCAACTATATCAGTTGGTTCCCCAAACTTTCGTTATCGTTCATATCTTCTTCGCCAGTCAAGGTATCCACGTCGGGTGGAATATATTCTGTAAATATTTTTTCAAGTTATTTTTAGCATAAATTTTCAAGGCATGGAATGCTACAATAACATAAGAATACGTAAATCCAAACAATACTTACTACTTTGCTATTGTCCTCATGCATCACGATCTTCTTCATAGCCGCCTCTAATTCCTTTTGAGTCAAATACCTCGGAAATGCCATATTTTACGAACTGTAACTTTCACTGCACAAGGCACAAACTAATTATAAACAACATGCTAATTGTTGGATCTTTATTCTACATGCACTGACTTGTAATAATAAAGTTTTGTTTCACAGATAAAACCAGTGGTGCATTCACGCACCAGTAAATATTTTCAAAAAATAAAGCATAATCAATATAGTATTTCCAATGTATGTTTTCTGCGATGTAATTTGCAAGCTATAGACAAAAATGGCAATACAAATCCAAAATATTTTTTCTTTACTATTTTGGATTTACTTGAAAATATGATACAAATTTATGTACCGCTTTGGCAAGTTTCAAAGTCATATATAAGATTTTTCCTTTACGCATAAAATAGCGATTTCTACAGTTTTATGTCCTTTAGTAGTAATAAAAATAAAATTTCTAAAAAACTAAAAAATTTTACCTAATAGAATAGAATAAAATAGCGTTTATTGACCTTTTATATACATAACAGTACATGTAAATTCATACAAGTTTAAAAATAAAACATGCAGCAATATATAGTTACTCTAACATAAATTTCTTGAATTAAATTAATTAAATTAGAATACTGCTGCTTTTTGCGGGATAAATACTTTGTAAGAGTAACACGAGTTTCCCGATAGCAAAATACCATTTTTAATTTAATTTAAAGATTAGAATCCAACACGACTCCAAGAAGCTTTGCAGGCTTTCATCACATTTGTCGGACGTAAAAATAATATTTTGACTTTTTTTCATTTAGTTTTAAGGCATTCGCCGAAAACCATTCACCAGCCCTAGCCAAGTCATCTTTATAGCAGTAGGAAAGTAATTTATGTACACAATGAACAGAATTTGGCCCCAATATGGATTCTTATGGTTGATTCACAGAAGTAATGAATCTTTCCCCTTATAGTGCACTTACTGCCTTCTATCAGTCAGGTATGACCTGAACAAGGATGGCTCGTTCTTACGAACTCCGTAAAACTCAAGTTGTTGTAATAAAACTTCAATTGATACACAAACGCCTTGCTGGAAATATATAATTTTAACTTTTAGTTGTTATTTATTGTATATACAAAAATCCACAATGTACGTTGAGGAGGAAATACATTCTCAAATACATTTAAGGCAACGAAGGGTCTGAAACAAGGATGCTGTCTCTTGCCTACATTATTCAAAATATATATTCAGGAAGCCCTCTGCAACTGGCGAAAAAGATCTGCAAAGATGGGTCTCAAGTTCAATCTGGCAACTCTATTTTTCGCAGAGCATCTAATCGTTGCAAGCTGTGAAGGAGACGCTGACTAGATGCTAAGAAAATTGCATGACCAATATGAAAAATGGATGTGGCAATCCAAATGCAGACCCAGATTTTGGCAGCGTCTAGACTAATTATTTTCCCTTTATCTTTACCAAAAATTATGAGTTCCGTCTTATTTTCGTTAAGTAACAGACTATGCTTACTAGAAATATCACTGAGAGCACATAGGTCGCTGTTTATATTATTAATGCGGCAAAAGTCGGGGGATAACGTATAATATCATCTTCCTATCAATTTCATCAGACCCCACTGCGTGAGTTCTAATTTGTTGTATTATTATTCCTACTTCGTTAGAGTTAACACTTGAAAATGAAAGTTTTTCTGGATTTAAAGAGTTATTATTGTTGTAGGACTGGTTAATGAAATCATTATTTAAGTCTGTTTGAGGGGTATCATTATAAAAGTATTGATTAAGTTCATTAGCATCCGCAATATTTGAGACATCTGTATTTACTGAAGGTCCGGAATACGCATCAAGATATTTAAGTACACGCCAGAAGTTTTTTGGATCCGTAAGAAACTTGTGTTGTAAAAAAGCATTTTTCTACGACTTAACAGCCATATTTACAAGATTTCTCAACTCCTGGTATTCAATCCAGGATTGTTCGGTTTTCTGTTTCTTATATTTAGACAGTGCTTTATGTTTCAACTTAATCATTATTTTTAAGTTTTCCGTGCGCCAAGGAGCTGGCGGTTTGGTTATCTTCGCAGTTTTTAAAGGAGCATGCAAGTTGAACACTTCCAGTAAGTTAGTATTAAAAAACTCCACCATTTTATCAACGTCAGTTAGTTCGAATATTTTATCCCAATTAATATTGTTTAAATCAAATAGAAAATGTTCGTAACAAAAAAAATGCTTTGGGTTTAGATTTAGGTATCTTCAATTTGCAGTGTACCATATGATGATCAGAGATGCCCTCCATGTTATATACCAGGCGCTCTATCACGATATTCGTAGAGATACTGACAATTAAGTCAATGAGAGTCAAGGTACTATGACTAATCCTGGTAGGTTCCCGAATATGTTGAAAAATACCGTATTTGCTCAAAAAATTGGAAAGAATAGCGGAACCATTATTACAATTTACTCCAAGAAGGTCAACGTTAAAGTCACCTTCAAATATAACGTAATCATACTCAGGAATTAATTGCACTAAGGTTATTTGAAGTGACTCCTCACAGTTATTCAGATTCAAGTGGAGGGGTCTGTAAAGGGTTCGCAAAGAAACCCTCCTACCAGTCTTATTTTAGATCGTCCTCCGTTGAAATTACAGATTTTTCACGTGTCTGGCCATTCCAGTTGCATATTTTTAGCTAGTCATACCTGATTTTGGTGAGATCCTCAAAAACAGAATAACCAGTATTTTTAAGTGATCTTATTATTATTATTATATTATGGTAAGAGATACAAGGTGACTTAAATTAGGACAAAGAATCCCCAAGATATGTACCTACAAGTTCTTAGTTTTTGTTACATTACTCTCTGATCTGATCTGATCTCTGATCCAAAATTACACTAATGCTGAAATTTCAAAATATTATTAATACACCATTCTTCGGTCTGTTCTCATTATATATATATATATATATATATATATATATATATATATATATATATATATATATATATATATATATATATATATATATATATATATATATATATATATATATATATATATATATATATATATATATATATATATATATTGTTGAAGTTGAAACACCCGATATAATTAATAAGGATAAAAGAGCCTTCAGAGACCTCAGATGGACTGAGCGAGTTTGATCAAATATCATTTTGAAGAATTCTGGCTGAACAAATTTGACCCAAATATATCAGCTGTTTTCTATATAAAGTCTAATAAAATGGAGGTCTTTTCTATTTAATTGCTAAGCTAATGAAATCTGGTAAGGGCCATCGGCTTTTAATCCGACATGGTGGTTTGCATCGCGTCCCTCTGTTGAAGAGGTCTTTTAGTTACAATGTCGTTTAGTGCTATCACAAAATCCCCCTTTTCCGCCCCAAAAAAAATCTTGGTAATATTAGAGCACTTAAGTTCGAAACCAGAGTTTTATTATTGTAGGTAAAACCTATAATGTATGTGGTTTTTTTCGTGTGGAGGTAACATCTTGTTTTTTAACAATTTAATTTGCTTTTTGATCTTGTTTGCGCACGACTTTTTGTTTATTTTTTCTTTTCGTTTTCTGGCTCTCTGTTATATTAGCCTTAACCAAACTAATTGTTGTAACTGATTTAAAAAAAAAGGAGTTTTATATTTATTTATTTCATTATTACACTTTCTTATTCGTCGTAGTTTATCATTTATTTTTTTATAGCAGTTAACGACGTAACATAGAAACATTATTTAATGTAATAAATAAAGAACGCGACCACTAGATGTATCGTACAACGGGAAATCGTTGAATAAACGAAAAGCGAGCTAACGAATTGCAAATAGGCACTGTCAGTTGCACAAAGCGCTCTCACGTTCCGTCAATTTGGTTCCTCTATAAAACAAAACAAGCGATCCTTTAACTTTGTGTTATATGTACCAAGATCATTAAATTAATACTTAAGCCTTTGTCAATGAGTAATTCAAAATATAAGTGTACATAAATGCAGCTAAAATCTAGTTTCCAATCTAAGCCAATTAGAATTGGAATATGAAGGACATAGTCAAACAAAACCTGACTCTCAGCTGTTTTGTAATTTTTTGAGGCTTTCTCTGGCTTTCCACCAATAAGAGCGGATCAGTATAACTCACTAGAGTAAGCCAATGCAGATAAAAATTCGTGTCATATTGTTTCAATTTCATAGATAGCTTTTAAATTTACAATAACTCTGTTGAACTGGATAAGACAAGCGAGGTTTGAGTTTCATTTTGTTATAAAAAATACTCCCAAATTTTTGCAAGAAGAGCAGGGATTCAATTTAATTTTATTAATATATACACCTATATGATTTAATGAGGCATCGTTACTATTGCCAAGCAAAAGGGGCTGAGAATTAAAGTTGTTATGGCGAATTTCGTGTACACTTATAATATTTAGATCATGATTTATTTGATGTTCTGCAATGTCAAGACACGTGCAGTTAAAACTAATCTAACTAAAGTAATCTGCAAAGTGATGCGAGATGAGATAGCTAAATTTTCAGATATCAGAAATGTAAAGCTACCAAAGTTTCCAAAATACTACTGGCGAAGCTATCGAACCACGTCCAACAAATCAGAATATGCGTATCAAATGCACTATTATGCTATGTTTAGCTTTAAAACCGGATTTTGTAGAAAGAGTTACATTCCTCAATGAGTAATGCTCAACTATTTGGTCATAGCTTCCTCAAAGACCTTAAAAAGAACCGGCAGGACATATATTGGACTAAATTGAGAAAGCTCACTAGGGTCACTGTTCTTGGTTACTGGTATAACACTGACCAACTTGCAGTTACTGGGTAACTTGCCGGAGAAGATTATTAGTGATTTAAGGGGTTGCTACAAGAATAATTGACACTCAAATCTATCAGCTTTTTTAGAATTAGGGAGTAGTAGTGAAATAATTTGTTCAATTTTGTCGGGAATGACCTCTAAAACTGAAAGTGACTATGAGCATAATTTGAAACATTATTAGTATAGTGGTCAATATATGTTTACCGGCGTGTTAACCACGAGCACACTTTTTAGAAAAAAACCTGTTAAACTCCTCAGGGGTGCCAATATTTAAAGATGGAAGATCACTAAATATTAATCCAACGGAAGGTGTGCCAAAATTACTTAGGATTAACACCTTTTTTTGTTTAGAATAGATGTGAGAATATTTAAAACAACTTTTTATTACTTCAACGAAGCAGAGGTTTCCATTTTTTGTATTTTTGTCGCATCGTATATTTAATATTAGAAGGTAGGATTATCGCATAGTAATAATGCCTTTCTTATTGACACTTATACATAAAAAAATATTCATAACTTTGCTATTGAGGAAATAAGAATTGAGGCTCAAAGAAAAGAAGTGTTTTAAGAAAGATGCAAAATGTACAACAAGCAATAAGAGTAAGATTTGACATGAAAAGAAATGCACATCACAAGAGCAATATTACGGAAACCGCAAAGATATGCAGGAAACCATACAGATCTAAAGCGATCCTTGAACTTTGTGTTATATGTACCAACGCTGGAGCAGGAATCAATGCTGTGGAGAGTAGAGTTGGAATATTATACTGTATTGTTACCAAACAATTTCTGAAACATGAATGTTCTGTGTCTATCAAGAGTCAGAAAATCCCTATACCTCGTGGCCCTTTGATGAACATCTGAGCCCCTGACTAGCTTATCAGATTAATACTTAAGCCTTTGTGAATGAGTAATTTAAAATACAACTATACATAAATGCAGCTAAAATCGAGTTTTCAATCTAAGCTAAATTTCTTAGGATTAACACCTTTTTTTGTTTAGAATAGATGTGAGAATATTTATAACAACTTTTTATTACTCCCACGCAGCAGAGGTTTTCATTTTTTGTATTTTTGTCGCATCATATATTTAATATTAGAAGGTATCCATGGCAAAGGTCGTTTGGTGATACGAGAGATCATGTTTATCAAACAAATGATTGACTGAATTTGTAGAAAGTCCAACTGTGTGTGAATCAAGTGGAAACTATTTTTTTTACAATACAATAAAATGTTGGTGCTTTAACAAGTCTCTCCAAGCAATGCTTAAAGCTCTGGAAACTAACTAGTTTTTAAGAATTTTAATAAGGAGAATCAATTTGTTTGCAGACTTTAAACCTCTCCTTAAATCATTAAAAGCTCTTGATGCATTGACAATATGATTATGCAGTCCTATATTGATTCATGTGTTAATCTGATATATATTGTTTATAATTCTCGTCTCAGAGTTATGCATGTGATTAGAATAAATTAATTAGTTAGTACTTTGAGTATTTATTTGTATTGTTCTTTGTATAGCCTAGTTGTGTTAGTTAGTGTCATACTCATAAAATAATTTGCTCTTTTGTATTGTAACCCTTGCATCCTTTGAAAATTAGTTTTGCTACAAGGAAATAGCGTGATATAAAAAAAGCACATTGCAAACCATGTTCTTAGTTTTTTCGTTTACCAATTAGGCTACAGTGATAAATAATGGGATTGTATCATCATAAAATTGTTGATGCTAGGCCAGGGATAATCCTCACTGGGTTATGAAATACTAGTCGTTTAGTTAACTGTTTCGATGGGCAATTATGCGATACTATGGAAATGTGCTATATGTATTTTCAGCAACAGTCCTTTTGAAACTTGGTCTTCGAGGTCCCCTGATATTACACCACTAGATTTTTATTTTTTTCTTAAAATGAAATAATTATTCCTTTGTGTTAGTGTTATGTATTTTACCGAAGAATTTAATTTGCATGAATTGACGACATTGTAGAGATTTTTCTTTCCATGGCACAGTGATTTATCAAACAAAAAATCGCAAACTTTTAATAATTTCGTGCATCTACCAAAATAATTAAAAAACTAAAAATTCCAATTTTGTCATGAAATTTGGTATGTGCCGTTATAGTATCACTGAAAAATTTCAAATCGGTATTTATTCAGAGAGTCAAAATATAGATGCGTCTTCATCTTAAATGTGACACAATCTATATTGGGATATATTATCAAACTGTTTTTAATCGGGACTTGTTTCAAAATTAAAGAATTTCACCTTCAGTCACTAAAATAAGGGTGTTAGCAAGAAAATACAAAATGGTTTCAATGAAACTTTGAACTCAGCAATGCAGCAGAATTAACGGTTTATCAGTTTAAAGCAAATTAGAAAAAACTCATAACATTGTGAACCAGCACTTTTTCATAAAAGTTTAAAACCAGGGTGATTCTTAGACATTTAACCAAGATAACAAAATTACATATTATTGGAAAGAAAATGCTTTAATGTTCAAAAAATTGCACAAATCGCTACAGCTTACCCAGGCTGTTTAATTGTTTAATTGACAGAAAGCAGCCGACAATGACATGATAAGTGAGGTTAGGATGGGCCGCTGCAGTGCGTACACAATATTAAAATTATTAAAATTAAAACTAGGCCTAAGTTAAAGTTAAAATTGTAAAATGTTTAAATAGGAAGAATAGCGGAAAATATGTCTACTAAATATAATGGGGACTCAAAATAAATAAGAACTAAAAGTTCAGATTTTCACGAAATTATATATTATGACATGACAATTGTTTCGACAACACCGTGTCTTTATCAAATGTCAAATGATAAAGACACGGTGTTGTCGAAACAATTGTCATGTCATAATATATAATTTCGTGAAAATCTGAACTTTTAGTTCTTATTTATTTTGGTAAATGGATTTTCATCAAGTAAAAGCCACCTTAGTTCAATAATGGGGATTGGAGAAGATTTATGTCAAAAGACACTAGACCCAAAAACTGTAAGAGGGAAATTAATAAAATATTGGAAATACATGGGTTGAATAATAAGTAGATTTTTTTAAAAATAAATAGCTTGCAAATGGTTTGGAGAGAGGAAGAAACTTTGTAATAACTAACTTAGAACAGCAGAAAGTTGAAGAAGGTGAATCTTATTACAAAAATGTAAGAGTTGAACATCCTTATGTGGTTCAAAGGAATGTTTCTCGTTTATGATGTGATTACCAAAAGTAAATCTGTTGTTTACTGGAAATAAGGAATTTTTATTTTTTTCTGTAGCATTAATGTGTTCCAGTGTATGAGAGTTTTTTTAATTTCTGCACTTATTGTTAATAAAGTGTTTTCCTTCCAGTTATATATAAGGGAATTCTCAATCCCGTAACTCCGCACGACTTGCCTTCAATTTTGAAAGTCCGTCCATGTCCTCTTCGTTAAATGACTGCTTTCTTCCTGGTGTTAAAGGTTTTCTCACTCCAAGACTGAGCCGGTATTTTTTGAAGTTTCAACGGCACTAATTCTTCATTTTCTATTAGGTTTCATAATAGCTGAAGTTGATGAAGAAGCCTGATCGTTTTCTTTTGGCTTACCTAATATTTAGTTTCACCGCGACTAGGTCATATTTTTAACATATTTTTTTCTTCCTCTTTCGTTTTAGTTACCATCGTTTACCATCTATAAGCCATTTTCATGTCTTTTGTTTGCTTTATGAAATAATGGCGAATACCCTCGTCACGTAGCGTGTTCTCCTTAGATGAATACAGGCAATGGCTGAGCCGTACACCGTCGACTTCCGCCATTTACGAGCAAATACGAGCATCCAGGGATGTACTAAACCAGCAAAGGGCGGCCAGGTTCACCTTCAGCGCCGAAAATATACATGACGCATTTAAAAACGTAAGTATACCGAATATCAACTAAAAACGAGAAGTACTAGTCTTCTATAGATCACTATCCTTAATTTTCAGTGGTCTACAAGACAATTTTTTTGGGCTAGTTAAAGTACAGCCCTAAGTATCAATTTCAATTTTTATAAGAAGAATTCTTATCGAACATTTTTTATAATACAACATTCTGATGCATTTTATTTGTTTTATTTTATTGTATTGGATATTTGTTAATTAAGAATCAATGTTAGCAACTGTCATGATGCTGAAAATAACCTCACTTTTTTCGTTTTATTGTAGCCTGAAAAACGAACATTGATTGTAATGCTCAAATCCTTCTATGACAAATGGGATATGTTGTACAGTACTGCTCATATTTTTTTTAACACTCGCCATTTTTATTGACTCAGAAACTGAATTGAATTCTTTTCAATCAACAATTTCAACATGGCAGTTTTCTCCAGTTTCTTCCGTTTTATATACGACTGTTGGAATAGGGTTGAAAGAATCAATTAATTAACCTGAATTTGCTGAGTTCGGGTGTTATAGTTCATATAAGTATAACTGTATTACATATTAAACAAAATTAGTCATCAGAATAGTTTGATTCTGTGCCATCACTATGTTGTCCCTAATTTTTTTATAATTATTAATATTCTATAATACTTAATACAATACTTAACTTAGGTACAACATTAACTGACGCAATATCTGCAAGTATTCAGGCAATTCTTGATGCAGAAGAGTGGATTAGTTCGAATCGTTTTAAATTGAATGAAAATAAATCAGAAATTGTCTTTTTTTCGGATGCACCCGACGTTAACTCCCATAACGCTAAACTCCTGGGTGTGTACATAAATTGTAGACTTAACTGGCATGTGCATATAGCTATGCTGGTCGGGAGAATAAATAAAGTTACATTTCAGATTGGAGAATTTATTCAACTCACATCTTTTGGGACGGTTCTAACGTTTTATTTTGGTAACTTCGTTAGCACATTGTTGTGGGAAGACTCTTCAGAGGCAGATAGAAATTTTAAAATAAAAAAAAAATTGTTTGAACGTTGTTTCCCTTCAATTTTGATGTATCAGTGCATGAAAAGTAATGAATTCCGACTTTCACATGCGTGCTACTAGACAAAAAAATGATCTGTGTGTTCCCTCTCATTGTGTAAATAAAACTCAATAGTCCATTAATTTTATTGGTATTAAATTGTATAATAAAATACAAGCAACTCTCAAAAACAACTGTTCCCCGATTGGATTTAAAAAAATTGTTAGTAACATACTAACAGAAGAATGCTTTTATAACTATTAAGGTTTTTTTGAATGCAACTTTGGAAGCTAAAGACGTCTAAATTTTAATATGTTAAGTCATATTGACAACTTCAAGTGTATTGTTTATACATGTTTGGGCAATAAATTATTTTATTTGTATTTTAACACATTAACTCCAACTGCTCATTTGTATTAGTTCGTACTGAGTTTTAATTACTTCATTTACTTGAACGGACAATTTTGGGTTCATGTTATTGCCTGTAAGGGGTATGTTAGCGGATTTTTTTATGACCTTCTGAACAAACAGAATATGTTTTTTCTTCTCCCGTCTGTCAAATATCTAATTATCCACCGATCTAGCGTGCGGGAAGCGTCACTTTACCACGTCAGTTTCGTTTCGCATGAATCCGAGCCACTTTGGACATTTCGGATGTTTTCGGAGATATTTCCCACGCTTTTAACTTTGACGTTTGTCAATTCTGACGGTCATGTCAGTGAATGTATTCGTGTTGTTTTGCGAAAATGTACCCAAATACTAACGGTCGTAGAAAAAGTATAGTATGCAACACGTTCGGTAAACTTTTTAACTCACTAGTTCATTAAACAGTCGCTCCGTTCGTGTCAAATAAGCTCGTGTGTCAAATGCCGTTTACCGCACTTGATGCATAATATACTATGATCATACTATTTTGTTCTTAAAACATCAACTAGTTGTCTTTTGTATCAGTATCTTCAATATAAAGGTCATGCTGACTAAGAAACTCTTGCAATACCTATTTTTTGGTGCCGATGGTTGATAATTTTTTAGCTAAAGTACTATGATAACTAGTATTATCAAGATCTATTACATTGCCTGAAAGAAAAGAATATTTTTACACAATTTTTAAAAAGTTCACTTCATGTCGTAATGACAGTGTTATGAGTAGTCTTTAACTTTTTTTTGCTGAGAGTAGCAAAGCTTTTGGTACCCAAATGCGAAATTGATGAATTTGAGTTAAATATCTTCGTCTCCATTCCATCAACCGTTTGGTCTCAGTAATGCAGCTACGCGTATCAATATTTTTATGTCTAAATCTGATTGTGTGCAGAAATCGGAGCAATGTTTCACTACTGCAAGTAAAAGGACTATTTTCTTTTAATTCCTGTCGCAATGATTCAGGTGACCCGATCTGATTACTCTTATATATCGCATCATTCCTAAATTTTAGTGATGCATTAAGAATTCTACGCAAGGTTGGTCTTACATTAGAAGATATTTCACTATCCTTCCGAAGGCAACTTTTACGCTCTCTGACGTTTTCATCCTTTGTGGTAGTGTTCCTTTATGAATATTTTGGGTAGCAACCCACTTCTCATTCCTTCTACATGACCATACCATATCAACTGCCTTCGCAGTACCTGGTCAATATTTGTTTTGTTAACTTGCATAATCTCCCTGATTCTGGTTTTCTTTGACTTTCCTGGCGATCTTCATCATAAGTCAATCTGTAGGGCCATAAGCCGTCTAATTTTCTGGGTCAGTTGCTTTGTTTCGCAATCATATAGTACCGAGCTTTTAATTTTTTTTTCGCGTGATATAATTTTTGACCATAATATTGAGTTTAGACGTTCACCTTTCTATCTTTCAGTATTCTTTACGCAATATCAGTCTCTTCTATTTGCGTTTCTAGGTTCGCACATATATTTACTCATTGAGTATTTCGCTAGCATTAGAGTGTTGATATTCTTTGTTCCATCATTAAGTTTCCCATTGCACAGCATTGCACTTCACTTTCAGAGTACTTAAACATTAAAGAGCGTAGAGATCAGACAGCTTCCATCTTATCGTAGCCGTTTGGGTATTATGAAGCTTATGCCGGGTCAATGTTATTATCTGAAGCACAACAAATGCTAATAATAATATATTTATTATACCACATATTTAGAACAACAACAACAATGTAAAAATACTTTAACAGAACACACTAATGCAGTGATTATATACATTAGTATATAAACTAGTAATTCAAAGTATATAAACATTTTTCTAGGATGAAACACTAATATTTAGATCTAAAAATGTTTGTATTACACTGGTTCTTTACATTTGCGAAAAGTTTATTAAAGACTATGAACACCACGGTTCGTACAAACTTTTTTCGAAAATTTCTGTTATTTTTTTAAATCAGAAGACAGCATTACATGTTGCTTACTACAAGTATTATAGTCGTGGAAATCTTTGTTTTTTTTTTTTGTAAGCAATATCCAAATAATATTCAATACCTATTTGCTGACAGTTCTCTGAGAGACCAAAACACAAAATGGCCAATTCAGAGTTAAATTACTATATTTCTATTATAGAAGTAATGTAATATGTTTCAGGTAGACATAAGATGTTGAAAATGACGCTTAGTGTTTCAGGATCAGCAACTTTACTAATGAGAGATTCAATGTTAAAACTGGAATGTCGTCTGGATCTAAGTAAATAGTTTTTAGTTCTTAAATAATATAAAAAGAATTATGCAGAAAACTGGAACTTGCTAAACATGTGAAAGGTTTTATAATTGAGGCTAGATATTTTGGTAAAGAGTACGTTGGTGAACTGATGATGCTAATGATAAACCTTTGAGGTAGATTCCATCGAACAAGTAGGATCTTTATTCGGTTTTCTAAGAGAATGTCTTGAATTCATGACATCGCTAGGGTTTCCCTACTAATATCTCTGGGTTAGATCCAAACGATATTCTGGTTAGTTCTTAATATGTAATGTGTAACGAAATGTTTGCTGTCTCAACAATAATTAATAATAATTAAATTTGCTAATAATTATTTTTGTTCAAAGATGGAAAGCAGCGGCGGAATCTACAGTTCCTACGGACGATCTGGAGCTACCTCAACGTTGGACAGACACTTCAGCAGGTCCCAGCAGCCATCGATACCCGCGAGATCACTGTCAACGCAACATATCACGTCCTCATCCACAGGTGAGCGCAATTCGAAATAATGCATTAACCTTTTAATTCCCAGAACTATTTTTGTTTTAAATTGGTCTCATTTTTGTATTTTATGGAAAAATTGAATATGCTGGTATTCAATGGCCCATTCGTTTCGAAACAGCTCGTAAAGTAATACATGTTTTTGGTATGATAAATCACACGCTGGGCATAAATGGGTTAAATCCATTTTGCTCGTTATTTTTAACGATGTTAGCTGGCAAGAAACGACGCGATTGGAGACCGGGAGGGTCGGATTTGAATGAAATACATTAAGCTCCATTAATCGGCAACAACGTTTGCCGACTGTACTAGACAATGATACGAAATGTAAATTAATGGGCTTTTGTTGCGTAGTAATCCAGGAAGTCTGGCAGGAGAGTGCTTTAAACAGTCTCCAGACGTTACGTTTCACGACCGGATTGGTAGGTGGAAACACATTTGTGTTTGCTAGCGAATTTAGTGGGAAAAACAAAAGGCGGCTTGCGGCAAAACGTTATAAAGGAAGTTTTCCTCCATGGAAAAGTATTTGATGGACCGATGGCGGCATATACCGATTATATTTTTCCACAAATAACTCTGTGGTACAGTGTGAGGAGAAAATGATAATGACAAAGTTGCATAGATTGTTAGGATGCGCAATTCAAAATTATTTTATAGTATGAAGAGTAGTTTTAAAAAGCGTGATGAATAAAACATACATTTTTTTAAAGTTTATTTTATATATTTTATATATTAATTATATAAAATAATAATAATAATATACCGGATTATACACTCTATACGTTTAACTTTGCAACGACTTTAAAATTTTGTAATCACCTATACAGGGTGTTTTCTAATTGAATGTCATTAAATAAGGTTGCGATTTTTGGGTTCATTTTCAAAAGAAAACTTCATATGAACATGTCTTAAACGTCTTATCTTTTGAAATGCAAAATGTAAAGATTTTCGCTTGCGTGTTAACTTTTTGTCAATAGTTTTTAAATAAATTTGCGCATTATCCGTTCTTTGACCAAGAAATACTATTTTCAGATGAAGCTAACTTTTCCTGAAACGCAATCAGAAATTTCCATAACGGTCATATTTGGACCGACGAAAACCATACAGTTGTAGAATTTAAATATAGGAAAATGTTTGGGCTGGAATTGTTGGAAATTACTTAATGGGAACCTTTTTCCTGTCAAAAAGGCTAAATGGGCATATTATCGCCGTTCTTTAGAAGATGATGATGACATTGCTAGAAGAAGTACCATATTTAATTAGGAACAGAATATGGTTTATGCATGACGGCGCGCCCGATGGGTAGGTCGCGACGCACCTCGGATTTAAATAGTTAGGATGCTTTCTTACCGGAGCATCCAAAAAGTCTAATATATATCACCCCAGTTAACACTGCAGAAGACCTGAAGGATCGTATAAGAGCTTTCTCCGATTTAATAAGAAACACTGGAGAAACAAAGAGAAACGTATTAACAGACAATTTCGTTAAAAATTATAGTAGTGTTTTTTTTTTTAATTAGAATCGTAAATTATTTATTTTGTTGTTAAGATGTTATTTCATTTAAACTATGAAACTAAAAAGAACACTATAATAATATTTTTTTTCCTGAAGGACAATAGGTGGTAAATATTTTGTTTTGTTTAGATGATTGATTTTTCACAAAAAAAGTTCTCGATTTAACCTAATTAATCAAAATGTTATTTATTCATAGACAGTGAGTTGCACGCCACTTATTTTCTTACAAAAAATGATGGCATGTGCATTCATTTATGAGGAAACTTGATATCTAAGTTTTTTTATTCGGTTGCACTATTTTCTGTCATTTTTAACGATATTGAGCATGCAGAGAAAAGGTTTTAATTTTTTCTAGGAAAACGTATATCGGATTGAAAAAAAATGAAATTAAATTTCTTTCTAAATGATTGGAGATAGTAAAAATAATTTTTATTTAAAGAGAAATCAGTGGCTTATCATCAATATCTGCCAAAATGGACATGTGATATTCCGTAAGCCAACCACTAGTGTATTTTAAAAAATTGGGTTTCACTAAATAATTCCTCTTAATACGTAGTACATGTGTGCCCGATTTCATTAAAATAAATAACACAGATACAGATATTGAAAAATAAATATTTTATTTTTGTAAACTTTACCGCTCTGTATGTCAAGAGTTAATATGTTCAGGACATACCAAAAATTACCCCTTATTTATTGACATTAAATTAGAAAACACCCTGTATGCTGGTGATACTCAAATTTATTTTTCTTCTCAAGATCATGAAATGACGCACTCTGAAACTAACATTAACGTTGAATTAAAGAAGTGTGGTAAAAAACTTTGATTCACGGGTTTATTTGGCACGAGCAGAGCGACTGTTTAATAAATGAGCGATCTAAAAACTTTAGCAAACGTGTTTTAATACTTTAAGTCATATTGTAAACTTTTCATTTGAAATTATTGAAGTAAATCAATTTTTAAATTCAGCTGGACGAAGATCCACTACAAATTCAAATTTTTGTTAAATGTTGCTGTTTGGGATAGAGTTACTAATCTAATCGATGGGAAATAATAACATATGGATATGGATATGGATATCTTATTACCAGTAATAATATTGCGAAATGCAAAGTCCTTTTTAACCCGATTTCAAAAATATGTAGTTTGTCGGTATTTGGCTTAACTACTTTTGAAATAAATCGAGTTTATTACTCAACAGTAGAATTTAATAATCAACATCATTATTGCTTTGGAAAACAAAAGTTTTGGTTGCTGCCTAACAGAAATTAACAATGTCGCTACGACTAATTATAATTTCCAGAATAGTATATTATGCAAGAAGTGTGGTAAACGGCATTTGAGTCACAAGTTTCTTTGGTATGAACGGAGCGTAGCGGAGCGGGTGTTTAATAAACGAGTAACTTAAAAAGTTTACCGAACGGGTTGCATGCTATACTTTTTTTAGGGCTGTTAATTTTCGGGTATATTTTTGCAAAACAAGAGGAATACATTCACTGCCATGACCATCAAAATTGACAGACTTCAAAATTCAAGCCATACTGTAAAATCTACAAAACATGCGACAATAGCCCGGAAATGCCCAAAGTGACTCAAATCTGTGGAATAAAAAAACTCATATGGTAAAGTGACGCTTCCAGCACGCTAAATCCGTGTACAATTAGATATTTTACAGAAGGAAGTAGAAAAACACTATTTCTTTATAATATGGATTACTCAGAAAATCAAAAACAATGAAATTGTTGGACGTTTTTATTGAAACAATGAAAATGTGTCGTATAAAAAATATTGTTCGTCGCTTTGATGAGACAAAAAATAGTACAAGAAATACAAGGAATGCAGTTGGAATTCAGGAGAATACAATCAAACAACAGGACAAAAAAAGGTTTGCGTTAAATTTATAGAAAATCCTGAGAGGTCAGCTCCAAATACTGCAAATTGTATAAACAGATCATGAGAAACATTTCATAACACTTTAAAAGGAAGCAAGTCCTTGCAAATTACAAGCGGTCAAAATACAAGGGTGGGCTCTTTCATATTTGGCGGTATATTGGCTGATAAAGTAATGTTTGAAGTTACTTTAACGAGTAATAGGTATTTGCACTTGCGTTAAAGGATAGTTTCGTCGAATATTATTAAAGAGAAATTTAAATCCCCCTTCGAAATCCTCTGGTTTAAGTCCTTGGTACATGCTAAAATTGTACTCCTATGTTTTCCTCGATTTGCCTATTTGATATCTCAGGATTAGCAACAACTGTTTGTAAAACATTACCTTGTGTTTCTTCTAAAAATCCCTTTTTCCCAGATATAACAGTTTTTTTAAATGAATCATGTTCTTTTAAATTTTGAACCAGTTTTAAAAAAAGAGGACTTACATGGCTGCCTCCTTTCTGAATATGCATAAGGATACAATGCTGCTGTTTTTACATTATTCATTATTCAGACGATATATAAGCGGGACAGTGTAGAATGCAAACCAGTTTCTTTTAAACTCTGAAGAAGCCTTTAGTCAATTACGTGGCAATCCGGGTCGCAATCGTGTATAATTACTTACGCCTAGGCAGATATCCAAAAATGGACAAATATTACAAACACTAGTTTCAACCAGTAAACCAGTTTGTATAACCCTCACATTTTGGGATACACTATAATTTATTCTTATCTTTTTTATTATATTTACAGCTTTAAGTAGTAGTAGGTCACCGTCGATGCGTCGAATGAGACAACTTCTCGATTTGGACAGCGCAAGAGCCGGCGCAGCTCCTAGTCCAGTGCCAACACCGAGCGGTACATTACCCAGAGGTCAAAGGCAGTTAGACATTAACCCAGCAGGTAACCGATACCGTTAATTTTCATTTATATGCAACCTATCTCATACATTTGACCCTCATTATTGACCTTATAAATCTCTATCTGTATAGCCAACAGATTAGGCGCAAGCCAAGAATGCATTAAATATAATAATGGGTGTTTTTTTCGGTGTATAGAACTTTACGTTGGCATTACTGTTCAAGATGGCGACCGATTTAATAGCTGTCAAGTGATTTATTCTCAGTTTGGTTTGGCAATTCATCATGAATAGACTCACGCCTGAACAACGCTTACAAATGGGCCCAAAAGGATATTGTCGTTGTTCTCGATTTTCATAAGCGAATTTTGTTTAGCGATGAAGCGCACTTCTGGTTGAATGGCTACGTCAAAAACAAAACTGCCGCAATTTGTAGCGAAGCTAATCCTCAAGTGTATGTCGAAACACCATTACATCCAGAAAAACTGACTGTTTGGTGCGCTTTATGGGCTGGTGTACTGGAAGTACGAACCAATGTACTTCTTCAAAAACGATGATGGCCAGAACGTTACAGTCAATGGTGATCGGTATAGAGCTATGACTACTAACTCTTTCATTCCTGAATTGAATAACCATGATGCCCAGGAGATGTGGTTTCAACAAGACGGCGCAACATGTCACACAGCTCGTGCCACAATCGATTTATTGAAAGACACGTTTGGTGACCGCCTAATTTCACGTTTTGGACCTGTGAATTAACCTCCAAGATCTTGTGATTTAACACCGCTAGACTGCTTTCTGTGGAGCTATGTAAAGTCATTGGTCTATGCGGATAAGCCACAAACGCTTGACCATTTGGAAGACAACATTCGCCGTGTTATTGCCGATATACGGCCACAAATGTTGGAAAAAATTATCGTAAATTGGACGTCCAGATTGGACTACATCCGCGCCAGTCGTGGCGGTCGTATGCCATAAGTCATATTTAAAATGTAATGCCACAAGATTATCTTTCGGATAAATAAAATTCATGTGGATCGAATAATCCATCGTTGTTTTATTCCAACTTAAAGTTTTATATATCGAAAAAAAAACACCCCTTATAAATCTGTAAAATTATATAATGCTAAACTAAGTGAACAAAATGTTTCCTGTGTTCTTGTGAGGCTTGCTACCATCTCTTTCCATGCCCAATTATTAATACTCTAACATTGATATGCCTAAAATTTTAACACCATTAACAGCTTGTTTTAATGAAATTAATTAACATGAACATTGGTATGCCTAAAAATTTAAGACCATTTAATTATTAACTGATTATTTTCGGCAAATTTGTTTTCTCCCCTAAAAAGTTCATGAAATTAGTGCATTTAATACATTAGTTTTCATCATATGAAGTCCTTTCGTTTTTTTTTTAATTCGGGTTTTTACAATTACAAATTTTCTGTCAAATTTTTAAGAAACTTATAATACTAATACTCCGATGATTCCGGAGATAATTCTATATGTGTTCGTATAATTTATGCTCAGAAAATATTTGCAACGTTCTGTCACTTCTTGTCAACATGTCTACTTCAAATTCTTAAATGGAATGAATACCCAGTATATTATTACATTTTCAAATTTTGTGTGAAATTCAAAACATATTTTATCTATGTATTTATGTATGTATGTATGTATGTATGTATGTATGTATGTATGTATGTATGTATGTGTATGTATGTATGTGTATGTATGTATGTATTTATGTATGTATGTGTATGTATGTATGTATGTATGTATGTATGTATGTATGTATGTATGTATGTATGTATGTATGTATGTATGTATGTATGTATGTATGTATGTATGTATGTATGTATGTATGTATGTATGTATGTATGTATGTATGTATGTATGTATGTATGTATGTATGTATGTATGTATGTATGTATGTATGTATGTATGTATGTATGTATGTATGTATGTATGTATGTATGTATGTATGTATGTATGTATGTATGTATGTATGTATGTATGTATGTATGTATGTATGTATGTATGTATGTATGTATGTATGTATGTATGTATGTATGTATGTATGTATGTATGTATGTATGTATGTATGTATGTATGTATGTATGTATGTATGTATGTATGTATGTATGTATGTATGTATGTATGTATGTATGTATGTATGTATGTATGTATGTATGTATGTATGTATGTATGTATGTATGTATGTATGTATGTATGTATGTATGTATGTATGTATGTATGTATGTATGTATGTATGTATGTATGTATGTATGTATGTATGTATGTATGTATGTATGTATGTATGTATGTATGTATGTATGTATGTATGTATGTATGTATGTATGTATGTATGTATGTATGTATGTATGTATGTATGTATGTATGTATGTATGTATGTATGTATGTATGTTTGTATGTATGTATGTATGTATGTATGTATGTATGTATGTATGTATGTATGTATGTATGTATGTATGTATGTATGTATGTATGTATGTATGTATGTATGTATGTATGTATGTATGTATGTATGTATGTATGTATGTATGTATGTATGTATGTATGTATGTATGTATGTATGTATGTATGTATGTATGTATGTATGTATGTATGTATGTATGTATGTATGTATGTATGTATGTATGTATGTATGTATGTATGTATGTATGTATGTATGTATGTATGTATGTATGTATGTATGTATGTATGTATGTATGTATGTATGTATGTATGTATGTATGTATGTATGTATGTATGTATGTATGTATGTATGTATGTATGTATGTATGTATGTATGTATGTTTGTATGTATTCTTGTATGTATATGTCCTATACCTATGTCTAACCTTTTCTGAGATATTTCCACCTTAAATAAAAATTGCCCCTGCGGTTAAACTAATTTTGAAGTTACATATTTTTGTAATTCCTAAAAATTTGATCTTCATATGTGCGATCAAGTCCAGAACTTTTTCTCTATAGAACTGCATTAGGATCACCTATACCTATTTTGAACTATATGAAAAATAATTAGCTTTTATTATAGGATCCTATTTGTTCGGCTGAACATTTTTCCATCACGTACATGGTTAAGGAAAAATATTTTTTGTGGTCTGTTGTTAAACATGACAATTGATCTTGTTTTATCGACAGCTGTCACTGGCAAAAATTTAATTAATTATCGAAGAATACCCAAATGCCCAAATGCTGACATTCTTAATTTGTTTTATATTCAAGGTGATTGTTAGAATGTGCTGGTTAGAATGTGCTGGGGAGAACTTGTAGAGTTTTCAGTGCACGTCCCCATTTTCTGGTAATTAACAAAACAAAATTCAAAAAATTAACTTTACTAAGTTACAAAGAAATAAGAAAATTTAATTTAACAACTAAGTTACAAAAAAAAAAGAAGAAAATGAAAGATGTTCTATATGCTGCCCGTGCATTTGTTGTTCTTTGTACACCTGCTGTGGCTCGTTGAATTGTTGATAGTCCAATTCGGCTGAAGCTCTCTGTACCCTCTCAGATAAATCTTCTCTGGTATTCACTTGAGAAAAAAACACTTTACTTTTGATATATCCCTGCAAATAAAAATCAAGTGACGTCAAATCAGGTAACCGCGGAGGCACCTCCAAGGCCCATGAGGACCAATCCAGCAATCTTCAAATAATTGACCTGATATTATTGCAAAAACATTCAAACTAAACGTGTTTTGAAAATGTACCGGGTGATATAATGTGTAATGTTATAACTTTCGCCGAATACTGCTGTAACGGATTTTAAAATAACTCGGATTAGATTCGTTTGACTTGAAGCCTTTAAGTATCTTGGCAAGTTCGATAGAAATGTAATTTTTACAGAATTTTTGAAGTATAAAATCGATAAACCCGGAATGACCAGCGGCACCTCAATGACTGGCCTGTCTCAGCTCGCCGGTGGTTCTTTCCAATCGTCTGCCGACGAACCAGTCAGTGGTATGCTTTGGGTGCACCTTTTAGCTGGCAGGGGCTTACGGGCTTCCACCGGTACCTCAGCCGCTACCACCCCCGTCACACCCAGCGGCGGAACACCGATTATCAGCGGTGAGTAAACTATGCAAATACCTAATGCCTAAACATTTGTCTTCCTAAAACCTAAATCTATTTAAAATTGCGAAGAAATTAAACTTAGGACGGTTTAATAATAGATGGATGGATGGATGGAAAAAAAATTCAAAAGGTAAAGTAAAAAAATAAAAAAATTCAAAAATAATTTTAGCAATTCAGTATCTGCTATTGCCAGCTCTAACTCTAATGATGTTTCTCACCTTCCGTGGAAGGTAAAGCTCTTATATACCCTAAGTTTAATTTTTTCCATTCTTCTCTTTAGGTATTTTCCAGTTCATCAAGATTCTCTGGAACAATATTACTCATGCTCTCATGCTCCTTCCTACGTAGTCCCAAATATGTTCCATTGGGTTTGGCTCCGGATTCACTGCTGGCGAAGCTATAATTTGAACGTCCACCTCTAATAGGTTGAACAAACGGCACTATATTTTCCTCAAGAACCTCTCTTATATACCAACCAGCTGTTGAGGATACCCCACGAAATACTATTTGAGAACAAATGCCTCGCTCAATCACAATCACCTCCAAAATTTCTGCACTTCTGTAAACTGGAATACGTCTATCAGATACTAGTAATAAATACGAAGGCTGCTACTTATATTTCTAGCCTTGGCAACATCGAGTGGGTTTAGGTACAATCTGACATTTCAATTGAAAAATTTAATAATTTTTAGGTCAAATGTTCTCAGAACGTTTTGATCTACAATCATATTTTATCAATCAAACAATCAATTTCGACATGGATTACCAAGAAAAGAATGCACCGATGAACTTAATTTTTTATATGGCGAAGAAGCACCACCTTACAGCTCTGTGAAAAATTTGTAAAAGAATTCAATCATGGTCGATGTTCGCTTCAAGATGAATTTCGTGAAGATTGTCCAAAATCAGTTGTTGTGCCACAAAACATCGATGCTACGGTTGACCTATAATGCAAGATGGTGTTATATGACAGACATATGGTGATATTGAGGCATCCTGACGATTAGTATGACAAGCAAAAGGCTCGTGTCGACTGGTGCAAACAAATGTTGGAAAAATATTAATGTGGAGTTTTAAAAGCGGTCTATAAGATCCGCACAGATAACGAATCATTGATCTGTTCATAAGCAATCGACCTAGATGAACAAAATCCAACAAAAGTTGTTCGCCGAAGAAGCACATCGAAGCAAATGGTTGCTTGTTTTCTCGGTCACGTAGCCACAGTGCCGTTAGAGAGACGTAAGACCATTTGTTTGCCCGAAGTCATCGAAAAAATTCGTCAAAATAAACAGAATCATACTTCATCATGACAATGCGAGCTCTCACACATCACTAATGAAAAGAAATTTTTGAATATCCAAAACATCGAATTGACCCGCCGTGCAGCCCTGATTCGGCACCTAAAGACTTCTTTTTATTCCCGCACATTAAAAAAAAAGTTACGTGGTCAACGATTTTCTACGTTTGAAGAACCATTTAATGTGCTCAAAAGAACTGTTTTGAAGCTAACTCAATCAGAGTGGAAAAGCTGCCAAAGGTTGGTTCCAACGCATGCAAAACTGCATTAATCTTCATGGAAAATATTTTGAAAAACACCAAAACCAATTTCGATGATAAATATTTGTTTTTTTTATTATTTGGCCAGATATATAAGTAGCAGCCCTAGTATGATCTGTTCATAGATATAAGAAAGTGACTAATTGCTTTTGAACGGATTATCCAAGGGTCATTAATATACAATGCAACAAGATTAGTATTACATTAAGGTAATTATTAATTAATTCATTATTAATTATAGTAATAATCTTGTTGCATTGTGTGTTAATGACCACTCTTGGATATTCAATTCAAAAGCAATTGGTCACTTTCTTATATCTATGATCAGACCTTGACCCATCCGTAAAAATAACATCAGCTCAGTTGTGGATATTCCAATTTTAACATGTTCTCTGGCGACCCTTAAACGTGCCAGACGATGTTGGTTAACAAGGGAGCAGTAAGAGGCAAACTGGCTCTTTTTGCAAATTCCCTTAATTTATTCTTAACTGAATTCCAAGATATCTGAACATTACAGACTCTGTAGAGAACAGTTTGCAGGTGTTGGTTGATTCTCAGCGCAAACATCTACAATTAAAATCAGCATTTTGGGCTCCATGTTAGAGTATATAGAATTTAAATGGCTTAAAAATATCGTGATATCCAACATCGACACCTTCCATAGAGAACAAGACGCTACTTTGGTGATACTCTTGTTATTTGGTCTTATATTCAAGAATACTTCCGATATTTTTTAGCCATTAAAATTCAATACACCCTAACATACGGTTTACTATTGAATTACAAACAAATAATATTCTCACATTGTTAGAAATTCAGACCTAACATTGGGTCATTCTGTTTACAGAAAACACACACACAGCACATAGAGCGACAGCTTTGTCACATCACTATCCGGTCCAATAATCAACGGTTATCAACTTTCTTGTTTACAAAGTCGTAAAACTATGTTTACGCTAGTGACTGAATCCAGAATTAAAATACTTTACATCTGCTCTTCTATCTAATAATTTTCACTTTAGAGATATTAAGCGTTCCATGACAAAATACACTTCACCACAACCTTCCACAGACAATGATTCCGAAAGCAATCCCACTCATTCTACTGTTGTCCTTCCTTATATTCAACCACATATAAAAAGTTCCTAAGTATAACGTTATTATTAAAAAAAGGAGTTTCATAAATAATATTCTCGTAAAGAATATCTTTAGTTCAAAACTTTTTAAAGTTTTTTAGTTAAACAGAAGAAAGCAAATATCGAGTTATGGTGATTTTATATTAAATGTGTGTATTTTCTTATCCTAGGTTCGACGGCACTGAGGGACTTGTACTGCGTACTGGAATGCGACAGGGTACACAAAGCGCGCACAGTGGTAAGGCACATTGTTTTTAATATTTCTATGATCTGCAGCTGTAAACTCTAGACACGCTCGTACTTTATCCAACAAAACTCAGGGTTAATAGAAATGGTAATAGTAAACTATCTGTATTAATAATCAAGAAATTACAAAATAAGTTGTAATACAAGATTGGCGACACTCGCAAATTACGTTGTTCCATGTATCCACAAGAACCTAAAAAACGTAATATTTATTTAAAATATTTAGATCCATACAATATTATACTATTATTTGCTAATTGCTAATAAACGATTTATAAGCTTGATTTAAAGACTTTGTTGTTGAAAGACACGTTTTAGCATACATTATTTCATTAAATATTTTAACGCTATTAGCTACCAGCTGCGTCTAGGAACAGAATAATTCAAACATTTATTATGTTTATTATAGTTTATCATGCACGGAGCCTTATTAGAGTATAGATGGCCAACTGATCTATATAACGGTCCTCTAGCTTGAGCCAACCCGAATTCCAAGGTATAACTTAAACGGATTCTGAAGTCGTTAGAGTGTCTCCTTATCTCGATTTAGAATGGATGGCCATTAGATGATACCACAAAGTTTAAGTTTGACTTCCTTACTGAGAAGATGTTTATGAATACGCAATATCGTCAACTTATCAAAGTGTCCAAACGTATTTTCGTAGCCGCATGAAAAGCTTTTCTAGCAAAAAAAAGACAACTATTACTAAGTATTATCGGCGCATTGATAAGAACTACAAAATGTAGGAAAAGTAGAAAAATTAGCTGTAAACATTACATTAGGTGTCTGAGCAAGAAAATTTTTTAAAAATTAAAAAACTATTCAATTTTTGTCAAAGTATTTCAGTTAAACTAAAAGAAGGGAGCGATCCAAGGTGTCGAACGCTTTGCTAAAGTCCAAAAATTTGAGACAAGAGTTTATTTATCAATTAGCTGCTGTCAACAAATCAGCAGTAACATGAGGTAAAGCAGTGCTGAGACTGAGAAGCTTGGAGAATTTTGTTATCGCTTAGAAACTGACGAAGTTGTTTAGCCGAAAATTTTTCAACAAACTTTGAGATTGTGTGCAACAAGATGGTTGATCTAAAATCGTTAATGACTGGATACTCTTTCTTCGGAACGCGTATAACTTTAGCTTGCTTCCGAGAGTGATATGATCTATTAAATATGGAGTAGTCAAAAGATTCATTTTGATACTAACATTCGCTGAGCCCCGGTGGTAACTTTTAATACTTATCAAAGTTTTATTAACTTACTTCGGGTAGACTTTAAACGAATTGAATTAGGATTAAACTATTTGTTAGTGTAATTTGCAGAGACAAACCACCATCGGCTCCAAAAGAAATAAAAACAGCATTAAAACTATTCAGTTGGCCTCAATTGTTTCAGACATTAAAGTAGTATTAGTGTGCACATGAAGTCTACCCAAAGTACACCACAAATGTTTAGGATCAGCCATACATTTGCCAGATATGTCCTTTTCTCGGCTCTCGCACATGAGTTTACAAATATACCAAGTTTTAAAAAGTTTTTATTTTTAGGATCTGCAAACTTCTGTTTAACTATACAGTTTGGCCCAAAAGTGTTAAAAGCATCGAAGCTTTGTTTTTTGAAATGCATATTTCGATTATACTACCAAAATAAGTGTATTTTTCAATAATGTTTATGGAACTTGAAGCTTTAATTTTTTAAAATAATTTTAATTTTGTCAAAATGCAACCTAATTTCTCAAATACATAAAGAAGTATTTCATTAATAAAGGGCTTTCCATCTTATATAAATAAAACGCTTTTTTTATCTCGGTGAACGTCAGCTGTTCTGTTAAATTAACTGTGCATGCATGTGAAAGCACATAATGATAATATAAATATAAAAGGTGTTGAAAGTAAATTTAAAAGCTTTGCTAATCTGCGAATATTGAATCAACAGTATAACAGATGTATGCCAGATAGACCTTTTAGTGTTGTGGCGATTAATATAAGCCTTTTGAGGAATTAACTTGGGAAATCTTTGTACGAAATATAAATTCGTTATCAAAGATTGTGCTTAATTGCGAAGTTTTCTAAATATTTTTTTTATTGCATCTAGTTAATGTCTATTTTAATTTAATTTAAATATTTTATAATCGCATGGATCACTTTCACTGATATTTCATGTTTTCATACTTTTTGAGACTAGTTAAAATTTTATTATTTAGAAACAATTCTAAATGCAACGGACTGCAAGAATTAAGTACACTAGACAACAACACGAAAACTATCAATATTAATGGATAATGTTTTTCCATTTTTTATTTATTTATTTTATCTATTTTTTTAAATTTATTATTTATTATAAAGTTTTTAGGATAAATACTTGGTTACCCAGGATGGAAACTATTTCAATATTGGGATATAAAATCAGGTTTAGGTTTTAGATTTAGGTTTCGAAAATGCCATTGAAATAAAAACTTATTTTGATCAAGGAATCATAAAATGCTTTAATATAAAGGGTATTCCGTACAGAAAAATTCAACTTTGATCATTTTAACATTTTTTCTATAATCTGTATAAAAGTAAATTTAAAAAGCAACCATAATTGGACTTCACCTACCTCAGAAGCAAAACCTTTTGGAAACCTTGTATTTTGGTCACCATATTGCGTACCGTATTGTTGATATTGTTAATGATTCGACACATTGGCTGCATGTTAACGTTCTCTTAAATTATCACAATTACGTTTATGTTAGTAAAGAAAGTGAATATGACACATCCAAATGAAACTCAGACAATTAAAATTTTAATTTTTATTGGATATGAAGGACTGGAGTTCAAGAAGTTTGTAATTTGTTTAACGCAAAATATCCAGAAAGATCTATTCTATTACAAAATCCATGCATGAAATTAAACATGTGCATGATAATTTTTATTACTTATTCTTATTTAAACAAAAGTATTATTAGTAGTAGTAAGTAGTAAAGATAGTAAAATAAGCATTCGAAAATATTATTTCAAATTTTGAAAATAGCAATTTAAAAACGTTGTAAATTGCTATTAATGCTATCCTTGGAGTAGTCCTAATTTTAGTTTCGGGCACATGCAATCTTAATGTAACCCGTTTAGTGAAAAATTCACACGTTAAAAGAAATAAAAACAGACTTTTAAAATCATTTAACGTATGATTAATAATAATGATAATAATAATAATAATAATAATAAATTTCTTTTACTTAGGTTTTGGTAATAAAATGGACGTTTATGCTTATTTTTATACTGTTACTATATGTACTATATATAGGGTGCTTGTTTGCTTGTCGCCAACAATGTGGAAAATGAACTAAAAACAAGTACTGGAGAGAAGTCCGCAGGCACTAATGGCGGCTTTATACCTTTGTTTTATTGGCTGGTAAAAGTCACATGACAGAAATGTCTTAGGAAATCTTCTAGAAGTAACAACCGAACTCCTTTAAAATATAAACGTTCCAGTTTAATTAATATAGTAATAATATCTTATAGTATAGTAATATCTTATTATATTATTATTATTGTTATTGTTATTATTATTGTTATTATGATTACAAGAGAACGGAAGAAGCTTCAAATAATAATGTTAGCCAACGAACAGCTTTGCGTAAAGTATCATCCCTACAAAATTAGCTAAAACAAATGCTTCGGCAGGGATTTTGAATAACAAAACTATATGGTCTTATTTCTACTTTCGCAGTTTCTTCCCAAATCCAAATGGCCCATTTTGCTGGAGAAGTGGGTGAAAATTTAAACACGGTATATCCCGGACATTGGATTGGTAGAAGGAGATCATTAGAATGGCTGGAGATTTTCCTCTGGAGATATTTAAAGTCAAACGTCTATTAGAAAAAACCACAAAATTTAGATTGCGTCAAATTTGACACAGAATTCGAAAATGGATCTAGAAAAATGCTATTCTAGTGACATCTACTTTTTTTAAGTCATCCTATATAGTTTCTGTTTCCTGCATCGACGTGTGCCAGAATTTTTCTGGCAATCCAATACCCGATTAGTTTCTTATTAGTTAGTTTGTTTCTTATTTTAGCCGTTCACTCTATATACAGGCCTACGTCGAAAATGCAGGTGCATTTGACAGTTCGTTAGTTCAACAGTTTGAAGCGTAGTTTCACGAAAATATTATTTGTGTTTAAACACAGCGTGTGTAATAACAGTATATTATGCAACAAGTGTGGTAAACAATTTATTCATTTGGCACAAGCCGTGGGAGTGTTTAATAACCAAGTGATTTAATAAAAAAGTTTATCGAATATGTTGCATATTATAATTTTTCTAACACCATTAGTTTTTGACCGTCAAGACTGACAAACGTCAAAATTCTAGCCGTGCGGTAATATCTCCGAAAACACCCGATTGCTGCCTAACCCATGGGGTAATATCCGGGATCCATGGGAAACGAAACTGACGCTGTAAAATGACACTTTCCGCACGCTAGATCTGTGTATAATTAGTTGATTTACAGAAGAGAACAAGTGCGGTAAATGGCATTCGACTCACGAGTTTATTTGACACGAGCAGAACGCAGCGGAGCGAGTGTTTAATAAACGAGTGACTTAAAAAGGTTACCGAACGTATTGCATAGTATTCTTTTTCTACGACCGTTAGTTTTTGGGTACATTTTGTCAAAACAACACGCATACATTCACTGACATGACCGTCAGAATTGACAAACAAAATTCAAAACGTGAGAAATTGTTAGCACTTCGACTGGCTAACAAAAAAAAAGCTTGAAAGAAAAAGCTAAAAGATAACGGGGAGGTAGACTCTTATTGAAGTATTAAATTGAGGGTGGTCAGATTATAATTGTACTCGGTGATTCACTACTCGAAAGTTGTTTAAAGTTGAGGAGTTCGTCCTATTTCTGCCCTGGCCACCCATTTGGTGAGGGGGTGGGTAAAACGTAAGCAAAATTAGAGAGATTTTGGCGCCACCCGTTTTTCACCGAACGTAGCTCCTCGAATAGTGAAAAACTGATAACGGGAAAGGAGGAGTATTAGCTACAAAAAAAAGTCTAGGCCTTAAGTTAATAGCAAGCGTCTATTGTTATTAAACAAAGTCTCCAAAAGAAAAAGGGGGAAAACCAATATAAAGCATAAGCTTCCAAAGTTATAAATAATCGTTTCAGCTTTACGGTCTTGAGTGCTCAATCCTTACATAAGCCGGCCGCATAACATGCAAGTAATACACAAAAGCTCAAAATCAATCTATCAATCCGCTTTAGAACAGTGTAAACTACTCACAAATACCAAATTTTACTGCTATTGCTCTATTTTCCTCTGGTGGATGTTAATCAGCATGACTGTCTAGAATATTCTGGAATGAACGTTCCTCAATCTCAAAGGTCGTCGAGACACAAACTTCACCGTTCACCTTGGGCGACCTTCTTGGAGGTATTGACAAAAGAAAATGCCTGTCGCTAGCTGTCCGAACAAACTAGTGCTTGTTATTTTGATAGGGTCATTTATAATGTCCAGAAATAAAAGGCCTAAAAGGAAGCAGAACCACCCTAAGTACCGAGTTACATCATGCCGTGGCAGAAGAGACCATGTGATAGGGAACAAAAAGTGAAATTTCAAGATAATAACTGGTATAACATGCTTACCAGGTTGTTAGTGGCCTTCCTCGCTAGTTATCAGAGTTGTTTAAATTCGCGTTGCCCAATATATTCAAATCCACAAAACGTGATAACAACTGAATCAACCTTAAAATATGCTTCCAAGAGTAAGGTTAAATATGTCCGCAATTTGGATTGGAAACCTCGATGTCGCCGGTGACACAACCAATTATTATGAACACCCAACTGAATTTCAGGTAAGTGCAAGGTGCAAACATTGTACACTAGTTGAGTACCGATAATATGCCTAAAACTGACTTATAAACATGATTTTATCTTTTTTTTTAGTGTTTTACTGGCGCATGCACCATTTGTGTTTAGATGGATGAGAAGGAAAGACGAGACGTGAGCTGGAATATAGAGGAGATGAAACTAATGACTATCCCTTTTATAGTTGTATATATGCCTATTATTTGTACCTGTTAAAATTATGTTAATTAATACTGCTGGATTAAACTTAGATATTTAACTAAAAGCAATTTTCTGATTTGGGGTAAATCTAGCCTGTAACAAAATATCTCCGAAAACATCCGATTGCTCTCAAACTCGTCCGGTAAAATCCCGGAATTGTCCGTAGTGCCAGCTCGGTGTGTAATTAGGTATCTTACAGACGGTAGTAGAAAAACAAATATCCATGCAATCTCCTTTGGTTATTATGTCATTAGTACATGAAAAAGCTGCCAAACTTAAGTATCAAAATACGTCTATATAGCCGTGCCGGCCGTAAAGTGCATTTTATGATTTTGCCGGTATGAAACCCACTTTTATGCATTAGATAACTAACCATTAAAAACACATAAACTGGTTTATGTCATAGAGGTTTATTTTCTGAATCTGGAATTAGAACGCAGAGAGAATGTTGTGTCCAGACAATAATTTAATTATCAGTTAAGAGTCAAATCAATACTACCGCGAAATTTAAATATGTTTAAGAAACTCGTTTTTAGATAAATGACATTTTGGAACTTTTTCAATGTGCCATACTTCAAACGCGTCCTCAAATTAGATATGTTTTATACATTCTCATTTAAGAATAAAAAGTGTCAAGGAATTCTTATTGAGGACTATATGAAACCCAACTAATTTCCATTAAGAACGAGTGTTCGAAATATCAGGGACGTCTCGCTTGGCAATACTGAATTTTTGTTTATGTCTCAATTTTACTCTTTTTTTTTGGGTCGATTTTGCTGAAAGGCACTAACGAGTTTTTCTTAAAAGTAAGTGTGGTTCTTTTTTAAAGGCTAGCTTGTTGTGAAGTAATGAATATTCGACTGTCTGGTAAATATATGGTCCTTGTTTTTTTTTATATTAAAACTCTTTCTAAAATCTAAAATGTTTCCCGTAAAGGTACCTAACAATATTACTTTAAATTTCCAACTAAAAAATATAATCGGTTTGAATGAATAAAAATTGAAGAGTTCGATTTAATTCATATATCTCGGACGCTTTTCCAGATTGCATCATTTATTCCTTAGTCGTTTAAGAAAATTAGTATCTACGTTATAGCTTTCGAATAATGTGAATTTATTAATGTTTTTCTTTTAAAATGATACTAAAAATAATTTTTCCATAATAAATATTTTATCATAATTTAAAAAAAAAATCATAATTAAAACCTATATGTAAGATCCTAAAAGCACATACAAAATAATCGTTATTTTTCTACTAAAATTTTGAATTTTTTAAAACACTAAAAACTTTGGTCGCTGGTCTAGTTACTTTTAAGTATTCCTTAATAGGAATCTATTACCTTTTTGGCTTTAAAAAATCACTAAAAGTACTTCTTGATTTTCCGTTTCACAAAACTGAATGATGTTTCCAGACAGTAATTTAATTATCAGTTAATCAATCAATACTACCGCGAAATTTAAATCTGTTTAAAAAACTCGTTTATAAATAAACGTGAATGACATTTTGGAACTATTTTACAGGCGGGAGTAGAAAAGAGGTTTTACAGGAATATGCGTGAATAATATTTCAAACACCCTGCGTTTAAACTCATGGAAACTGGTAAAATTCTAACAGTACTTCTCTCTCTCTTTTGTTCAATAGTCCCTTAACTTTAAGTTCAAGCAGTAAGCAAAACAAGGTTTTAGTGCAAGTTCTTAAGTGGGAACCCGTGTATGTCATATAATCCAAATTTCTCCAGTTTTCAAAAATTCGGCAAATAACATTTGTGCTATTGACCAAATTACTAATTTAATAATAATATTACTATTATTCGTTCGTTGTTTTTGAAGAACCAAACAAAATTAATAACATAAGTGCAGCTTTGATATGCCAATAAAGCACTACAAAAAGTTGCTATCAAAATATTCATCGCTTTTATAAAAACTGAAATTGATTGAAACTCGGTTCACAGCGAATTTTGCTGTCCTAAATAATATTAATGTTTATAATTAGATTAATTTGTTATTAATTAAAAGTGCTTACGAAGTAACACTGCATAAAACTAGAGCACTATGGTTATCCGAAATTCAATGCTTTATTGTATTAAAACCTTGTTTCACTATATTATTAATCCAGAAAAGGCACGTTACTGTTGTTCAACACGTACAGCATTGAAAATGCATTCGATTATAATTATTATTTTTATGATGACAATACATATAAAGAAAAACATATATTTAAACCATACGCGGAATATGTTAGATCGGATAGGCTGTGGAAAATTCTATTATTTTAAACTGACTTTGATAAATGTTTCAGAAAACTCTCGATAAAATGATAAATGTTGGCGTCATTATACGGGGCCAAATGAATTCATGGGGTTAATTTTAGATTACCCTGTGGAATAATTACGTTGCTAAGTTTTAAGATCCAATTATGTTCTACAGTGTTTCGTGGTTCATGTTTTTATGATTATCGGTTCATTTTTAAGAGCAAAATAAACAGGTCACTACTTTAAAGGAAATGTAATTCTTCTACTTCCGTACTTTTATTGGGCCCTTCCACTATCGACACTCACATTCACATCCGTCGATCGCAATGTGAACGACATCCGTCGATCTGTCTTCCTAAAGTTCAAAGAACAACATTAATCGGCTAGTAAACTTTTAATTCCATGTACAGCAAACTCAATTAATCTATTATAACCAAGCATGTAATGTAAAGTAATTTATTTCACAAGGTCAGACTACGGGCTCAAAGTACATGCCAAGAAAACTTTAGCATTAGCAGTAGGGTCCAAATTACATTGGGAAATAAAGCAGAGAGCAAAAAATTATGGAAGGGAACAAGAACATAAATGAGTTTGTAGGAACCTATGCCTATCTATATTAAAAACCAGACAATGCATAACATGTTTTTAGCAGCTCTAAAAAATTCAAGTATATGTGAGTTTACTTCCAGCGGATCCATCTCCTATACTATCTACGATTTAGCTAATTTTTCAAAGAAACTTTCACAGGCTACTGTAATACTATTTACAAAACTTCTCGATTCCTCCTGCATTGGTTCTTTATAATTCAAACTTGCTGACATTTCACCAAGAGGACGATGGACGAAACGTCACCACGTCAGCATGCAGCAAAGAAATATTTGGAACCATTGGTGACATAGGACTTATTTTTACCTTCTAAAAGATTCCTACTCGTTTTTGCATTAAAGTTGGTAGACTACAGACTCGGGAGGAGTAATTTATTTTTTTGCTCGTTATTTCCCTAATGCACTTGCTCATATATATTGTAAGAATATTTCATTTACATCGCTCTACTTTCAAAAGAGCAATCGAAAGTTTTCTTCAAACTGGCAGATATAAGTTTTAGGGTACTTGCAATTGAATTGGTTTGTTAAAAAGAAATAAATTTTTAGTATTACGGCGTGTTAAAAGGATGTCTGCTAGATCTACATTAAAAAGAAAGCTCGAAAAATTATTGTATATTTGAGACTAATATTAAGTTTGTGGACATCAATTCTAAAACTTATTTTATTGTAAAGATGTGGAGATCTTAAATTAATAATTTTCTGGCAATTCTATGAAGTTTTATTATTATCTCTATTAGTAGAAGACATGAATTTTACATTTTTCGTATGAGTTTACTACAGAATTTTTAAATTGATATAAGATAAGGCAGGTGAAAATTTTGAAGTATAAATAGAAATTATCTTTGGTCCTAGTACAAAACTCTCTGGAACTCCCTTTTTCAAATTCATTCAGAATTTGGATGTCTACAATTTACAGCTTTCATTTTAATTTTAAACGACGACTTAAAGCATCAAAAGCTTTTGTGTAGTCGAGCAGTCATAAGTTTTGAGGTAATATTTCATTTTTCTTCAAATATTTTTCAATTTGTTTTTTTTTTTTTAATTTTTCAAAAATCTTGTCAAAGCTAGGCAAAATGGTCGAATATTATTGCAAGTTACAGGACTAGAGATTTTGGCGAGAAGATTTACTTTGACAATCTTCCACTTTTCCGAAAAGAGTGAAAAAGAGTGAGTTTATAATGCAAGAGTTAATTAAATAAGTTATTTATGACAATAAAAAGGGGTCAACAAAATGGTTATTTTTTTTAATTGGTAACCTAATTATTCCAGAGGGCTTTTAAAAGAAAAGTCATGAAGCAACCTCAAATTCCTCAAATTTAACCTAAAATCTCAGTGAGGTATTTTTTGCAGTATATAATAACGGCTTAGGGAGATGTGCTCCTTTTTATCACATACAGGGTTTCCATTGGAAGTTTTGTTGGAAACAAAATAAATATTGTTATTACACTTGGGATATGACCTCATGCAGAAACGTATTGTCAGTTATCACTGAAATGAAGTTTCTCGACGAAAAATTACAAGAAAAAGTGCCCGGAATTTGAATGAATAAAATTCTGGGTTTCTTGGTAATACTTGGGGAGTGCAGCAGAGTTGTGAGTAGAACTTTCTGATTAATTCATTAATCAGAAGGTTGAAAAAAATGTTTGGGGAAAATGGTATAAATGGAAATATCATTAATGTGTTAGTTTATTTTCATGCGCATGTGGAAAAAGATTTGGGGATGTCAAGAAATTTCGTATACAGGATTTTGAAACAGAATGGATTGCACCCCTGTAAATTTAATACCGCGTACCCTCTCCACCAAGAAGGTTTTGCCGGGCGTACACAATTTTGCGAGATATTCCTAATTCTTAATTCATTCATAATTTGGACTGATAAATACAAATTTACAAGGGAAGACATTTTTATTACAAACAATCGACATAATAATAATACTAATGTTTACGAATTAATTGTTCGAATACCCAGAAATTTAGACTCATTATATCAAGGGGAAATAGAGAGCATGACAACAAGGTCTGCCGTGGACCGCATTGTGGAATGGTTACTACAAAATGGGGGACATATTGAATATTTACATTAACGGTTACTTTCTGTACGGTGTTTATTTCGCACTTTTGTTTCAAAGAAATACTCTCTTTGGCATCTGACAATACGTTTCTGCATGGCCAGTTGGAATAAAAGTCAGCAATGGAGAATATTAAGACATAGGTATAGGTATAGGAAGGTGGGTGTAGGTAAAGGAACATGTATAATCAAGAAAAATTGTGATATGCATTGTAAAGGGTTGGGGGAAGGTGGTTGTAAATCACTCTCAAAATTTTACGGGAAAGAGCGGCAAGAAAACGGTAGGACATACAACACCCGAAACGATTAAACCCACCTCAATGGTTTCCCGCGTCGTCGTCTGCCCGGCCAGGTCTTCTTAGGGGTATTTTCTGGAGGGTTGAGGATGGTAAGGACCACAACACAGCGCGGGATTCTCGCGAACCGGTCACAAAAGAGAGCTTGTTTTTTCGTGTATCACACTACGGACGTTCACGCAAGTCTGTTTTTTCTCATCGTGTTTTTTTTTGGGTATGGTGGGGGTGTTGTATACACAGCGCGAAAAAAAAAGTCAACTCAAGGGAATAAAATTATGAAGTTACCGAAAAATGTTATTCAATCCTTAACATGCATAAAAAAAATGACTTTTAATAATATTATATTTATATTTACATTATTATATTATATTTATATTATTACATTCATTAGCTATCATATGTGTATGTTTTAATTGAATGTTACGTTTTTACGCCAAAATATCACACTTTATCGAAGCGAATTTAAAACAAAAGGTTAAATTATGTTGTCTTATAGCGAACAAGATGGCGGATAGGTGTAGGAACATTAGTGGAATCTCAATGATACCACTGATTTCGGGTACAACCGGCAACATTGCAAAAGCGAATAAAAATACGTCAGGGCCAATTATGGTCTTATACCAAATTTCACAGTAACATCTATTTTGTTTGTCATAGTTCTGTTGCATTTTGTGCATTAGAATCAACAAATGAGTTTCTGGAAAAACAATAATCAAAATGGCTCATTTATATCAACACGCTTGGGTTTCCGATAAACATTCTATAATTGTTGAGACGCTTTGTGTAACGGTGAGGTTACATACTGTAAAATCTAATCCGTACATAATTACTACTAATCTATCGCGGGACATGGGACAATCTTGAACTCTCATTTCCTTCAAATAATCAGTGTTTCACTACTCCTTTTTAAAAAATCAGATGTCGATATTTGAAAAGAGACCTGTTGAGTCTGAACTGTTTAGATTGCAAAGATCAAAATTATAAAACATGCGTTATTCTTTATTCATTTTTATCCAAATTTCGGAAACAATCATCACACCACATCCAAAAATTAACTTTTCTGGTTCTGGTCGTGTTTTTTGAAGTAAGTAGCATAACTCCGTTTGTGTTTTGTTGTTCTGCATCCTAATACAGGATTTTAAGTGCAAAAATGCGCAAAAGTGTTAAACTGTTCAATTTGCCCCTTTGTTCTATAATGCTTATTGCTTGTCGTTGTGGTTCTCCAAACTATATACCGTTTTTACGACATAATCCGGTATTTAACTTTAGTAAATTAAAAAAAACCCGTAGACCTACCTCGATTGGATTTCTCTTTCTAACCGTCAATAAATAGATACGCAATTCCACAATAACATTCCAGAACCGTACTTCAGTACTTCGTGCATGCAAATGAGGCAAGCTGAGGGATTTGTGGAGAGTTTCATCGGTGAGATTTCTCTATTATTATTCGTCCATGCAGTGAAAAATCGATTCTTACTTTTAAATCCTTAACAGTCCGCAGTTTTTGTCGGCTAACATCTTAAATACGACCCTGCCTTGTGGTACACGTGCCATAGGTTGTAAAAACTGTAGATATTTTGGAGAACTCTACCAAATATTTACTGGGCAATTTCGCTTACATTTAGAAATTAAATTGATTCATCCATATAGGGAAGTTTTTTAGTATATTTGTTGGATACTAGGAATAAAATTATTAAGAAGCTCACCTCAATTAATGTTTGAAACATATACATTTTTAGATATATCAATCATATCTGTGTTCTTGAAATTGTTTATTATTTGAAAGGGGCACCTGACTTTTGCAGAAAGCACAAATATTAAATTAATATTCATTATTAGAAAAATTGATGATGAAAATAAACACACAAAGAACTAGTTCCATTCGGGAAGTACAAAATGAATAACAAACCAAAACAACTGTTTGAGATTTATGTCTGACTACAAAAGTCCAATAGGATCGGGTGTTCAGTTTACATTCTATTAACTTCAAGCTCACATGACAAAAAACCCACCTAATATTGGTTAGTTTTGGTTAGGTTAAAAGACACTTTAGTAAAAAAAAAATCGTTTGAATGAGTTGAGCACCCATGGTGAGCAAAAATCAGACCGTACACATAAGGCAACAGCCCGTATTAAATGTCGGTCATATTTTGCAGGTGAGAACCGGCGATTTAGTGTTCGATTGGGACGAAAGTTTCGAACTCGACCTGGTCAACAACAGGGAATTGGATTTGTTAATTTACTCGTGGGACCCGCAGTACAGGCACAAACTCTGCTACAAAGGGTCCGTGTATCTGCCCACTCTGCTCAAGTCCGGCCCCATACACCAGCTGGCGCTTAAAATCGAACCCAGAGGTAAATATTTGTGGGGCTATTATCGAAATGCGGTTATGTGGTTGTTTTACGGGTCGCGGGGCTTTTAGAGTTTACCACTCGATAGTTTAGCTTCGTTATACGAGCCTGCCTGTTTAATTTATTATTCACTATAGTAGTATTCTTGAGTAAAAGGTCGACGTGTTAATATAGACCACAAAGAATATCCATATTTCAAGTGCGCGAACTTCAACTAAAGTATTATATAGGGTATTCACTTCCCGAATGTATCTAAATCAATGTTTATCACACAAAAAATCAATGATTTATCTACAATTACTACAATATTACTACTCTAATTACTTTCATTTTTTTTGTTCATCTCTTCAACTTGCGACAAAAATCTCTTTGTTGTATAATCATTTTTAAGTAATTAATGCAACACATTTCTATCGCTTTATTTTTTATTAAACCAGACTGTTAATTAGGATCTAAATTATAAGTACACTTTAGTTTTTGATTGTTGGAATGCTCAGAAGATTAACTCCCACCAAAATGTGCAAAATAGTAATTAATAGTTTATAATAGTTAACTAGAACAACTTAAAGTGATAAAGCATATTTCAAAAAGGCGTAAAGTAATAAAACCTTATTCTGGATAAAAAGGAAGGCCGTTTGCATGGTTTGACGTTGATTTTATTGCAAATTCGGAAAATTCTTAAAAAGGAAAGGATTTTATTTTAGCAGAATAAGAATTAAGTATTACGTACAAAAATTTAAATAATAAGGTTGCTTGGTTTAATTTGGGCATTTCATTTATTATATTTTCATGAATACGATTTAGAAAGACGTTTCGGAATTATTAACGTTCATCCTCATTATTGGCCTAAAAAAAGATGCACTTGTTGCTTATTTATTTTGAAAAACTTCATGTTTAAATAAAAAAAATCTGGGTTGCTGGGTTGCCGTACTTCGCTCATCATCAGTTTTCTCGTTATTTTTTTTTGAAATATGAACCCCACTATGTTATACTATATTTAGATAGGCTACATTCAATGATATATAACAAGTCAATGTTTTCAAATTATTAGTCATCCTCGAAGCTCAAGAATACACCCACAAAATATCCACGGCAAATTTGGAAACGTTCTGTACAATTGAAGAAACAGCCAGCGTCAACTCTCCAATAGTAGCAATAACAGTTCATTTACTAGTAAATAATTTTGAAATTTCCTTCATCCAGTATTTATACTATTAATTATTTTTCTCTATTCCTTCTTTTTTCGCTCATAGTGTTTACTGTGGAAGGAAAAATAGGTATCGTAGAATGTTATTTATTAAGTAATCAAAGAGGAACTATAGCTGTTAAAAACTACATGAATAAACTTCCATTTGGGAAAACTCTAGCAAAAAAAAATATTTTACAAAATCTACCGTCGGTTTAGGAAAAAAGCGGCTAGATATTCTATTGCACTTTCACCTGCTTAATCTTACTTAGAAAACATTAAAAGTCCCTTTTAATTTGTCTTATCTGCCTAAAAAGCTTATAAATTTTGAAAAATCTATGAAATCGAATTTTTCGAAAGTATACGCGCTGGGCAACGAAACATATCTCAGCAACGGTAAGTTCTAGGGGATCGCCATTGGTACAGAAATGATCAGCGTCAAAAACTTTTTTTTTCTGTTCTCCATTATCCGTTCTCTGTAGACCTGACATTAATTGGCTATATCTTTTGAACGGTTTATAACACGGCCTTCAAATTTGGCTCCTTTTAAGCTGTGCATGAGCTACACAAACCAGTAAAAAATGGGTCCGCTGAAATCACGGCGTCCATCTTTTTTTTAGATTTTCGACTGTTTTTTGAACATTGCCATGAAACACGATAAGTGCCCGAAATTCGAAGCCATCCACCTAAAATTTGACAGATATATAGAGCTTAGCTCCGTAACGAAGCTTATTGAAACTGGGGGGCCTGGGGGGTCGGGAAGTATTTTCAAAAATTTAAAAATTGAACTTGCAGAGTATCGAGAAAAAAATCATTTCTCCAAGACAGTATATGCTATCGAAAAAGTTCTTTACCCATGATGATTTTTTAAAAATGTACAGGGTCCGTCGGTAATTTACAAAAAACTGAAAATTGAGCTCCCTTTATATTGATAACAGACCATAACTAGAAGTCTGTGATTCTGTTGTCAGTTTCTTTCACATTTCTATATTGCCCGTATGAACGGCTAAAACTTTTGTATTTAAGGTTTTCACATATTATACAGGGTGTTCGGAATATTCTGTGCTATATTCTAAAACATTATAGGTATCTCAAATATGTAGTCATTAAATTTGGCAAGGAAGTAAAAGTCCGGGCGCACATCTAAACAGTAGAAATTGAGATTAATAAAATGTCACTAAATAGTTTTTAAAAAAATTTGAAAAATTTTCTTTGATTATTTTGTCGTCCAGAAAAACACGATTTTCTCAAAAACTATTGAACCGATCGGCAAAATTTTATAGCCAGACAATGCGGGAGATCCGAGGCTATGACTTTTATTTTAGGCATTTTAGGAGTAAATTATTAACCGCAAATCATAATTCGTAAAAAATATGGTCAATCGGTTCAAACATTCAACGGTTCATTACGGCGGACTACATAGTTTCAGTAAGAAATTATTTTCTCGAAAACCATTTACTCCATTGAAAAAATTGGACCAGGAAATGTTTGAAATCCAGGACTAAAACCTCCATTTGTGACATTTTTTCAATTATGTACAGGGTGTATCGATTATGGACAAACAAGCAAAGACCCTGAAAATTGCCGTTTTCGTGGGTATATTACTAGCCATTAATAAAAAGCTGTAAAAAAAGGAATAATTTGGTTTAAACGGTATCATAAACTGCATCGAAACAGTTCCAAGTTTTGTCTATCATACTGGGTGCGCGAGATATTAAAAAAAGAACATTACAAATACCTGTTACTTGTACAAATTACAACATTTATCAAAGTTTGCCGGCACTTTGAAGTTCAGCGGGACTTAAAAGATGCTTTATACAGGTTGTATGCATACTAAAATTACATTGATTTTGCGAAAGTTCCATAGTGCTCCGCTGGAGCGCTATAGAAAAACAATGCATCCCTCTAGGACAAGAAACCGCGAAGCGCCTTCTTTTTAAAATAAAAAGCTGCTTCGCTCTACGAGCTACGAACTTGACCCCGCCCACCGACAATTTTTAGAAAGCAATCTTGTTTATATTAGGGAAATATATAGTAGTAATACAAAAAAATACAGTTGGTAATTTTACGTCGACATAACACTACATTGTGTCCGAAATCTTTTTCAGATAAAGCTCCTAAATTAATCAACGAATTGAAATTTTTTACAGGATTTATCCTTACTTAATTACAAAAAAATTGTTAAATATATAAAAATAATAATAAGAAATCCAAAAAATATTTTGCGAATCTATTTTAGTATCTTAGTGTTGGAACTGGTCAACTGACAAGTTTTTATAATTTTTTTATTATAAAATATAATGCGCTTTTTATATTTAATTTTTTATAATAAAATATGATGCATTTATGATATCCAATTTACCAATACAATAATTGGCGATTTGCGGAATTCCATTTTATTTTTAAAATTATTTCGATCAATTGGCTGGTCTCAATTCCACAAAGCTAGTTAGACTAGCAAGTGTCAGAAAGATGAAACGTTTCTCCATATGATTATTTAGTCGGACGAAAGTTTGGTAACAAAGAGGATAAACTTCTGGAAGTCTTTGAAAATATTACAACTGATATGTTTAGATATGTTTTAAATCCAACAATTCCAATGTGTAATCTGTGTTTGGAAAATAATGGTCACTTGTTTGATCATTCTTTATAATTTAACTTTTATTTGTGGTAAGTACTTAGCATGTGATGTGATCTACCTATTTAGCTATCATTTCATCTTTTTTTATTTGTCATTTCACCAAAACACTGAAACAGTGAACACCAAAACATTGAAAATTTAATATAAACCCTTTTTTGTTATTTAAGAAAAATGAAAAAAGCTGTATCTTGTAAAAGTTCAAAAGTGGCCACGAGAAAGTGACCTTTATTTTTATGCATCTCTTTAAAAAATGCCAAAAAAATAATAAAAATAAAATAAAATAAATTTTGCAAGTTTTTTCTAATTTAAAAATTAGTTTGGCAAATATCAGTCAAAATGCGAGATTTCGTTTCTCTTCAGTTAATCCAAAATGGTTAAACTGACAGCTGTCAAAATGTAACATTGTTCAGACACTTTTTAAGATAAGTAAAATAGCGTTTGCAACATGCCTTAATTGTCTTTTCTTATCTCGCAACCCGAATTAATTTTCATTTTTCTTATAGTCGGCATATTGGTTTTTCTGGAGAGAGCGTAGAATTTCCAGTTCAGTGATATCTCACAAGTGTACACAAACTTTTATTACAGTTCGTAAAGTTAGGTCTTAATTATTTTATAAGGCCATGATTTGTTTGTCACTTTTTTTTTCATCTAAGAATTCTTTCACTTTGACGTTAAATAAATCAAAATATCAAAGTAGGTATTTTAATTTTAATTTATCTTATTACAATCGTAAATGTAATACTATTCAAGTAGGGAACTTCTTAAGTGAGCAGTTTGACGAAAGAATTATTTCATTAAATGGTCCGATATCTTGGCTTTCTAGATCCCCTGACCCTTCGCTCATGGATTTCTTCCTCTGCGGTCACACAAAAATGAGGTGTATGAATTTTTTAATCCACCGAAGATTATAAAAACCTCGTGATAAAAGGTTTTCGATACATTGAGAAACATTAACCGAAATACACTTGCTAGGATTGTACGATAAACAGTCACCAAAAATTGAAAGTTCAATGCGTTTATGCGTTTTTTATATGTTACCTATTAATGTTAATGTTTAAATGGCCGACCTATGAAGGAATAGAAAAAACCTATTGCACACTTGTCAGACATCACTAAACTGGAAATTTTTCCGAAAATCTAGAAATACAATATGGCGACATAAGAAAAATGAAAGCTAAGGCGGGTTTCGAGATAACAAAAGACGACTAAGACATGTTATAAACTATAAAGTGTCTGAACAATGTCACATTTTCACATGGACAGTTGGATTTACTTTTGTTTACTTTGGATATTTCCCAAACCATTTGACCGATGGTAAATCTGAAATCGGTTAAGAAAGGCACTAAGTTTCCTCAAAAACTTTCTCCTTATAAATTTTGGTATAGATATAATAGGTACGAAGATCCCTGTATAGAGAAACGAATCTGGGAGACATTGTACAGCCCGTTTCATTTAGAACACAGAACTTTAGTTTGTATCTTCAAAATTATGCTTTTATTATTAGTAAATTATATGTTTAAAATACAATGTGCAAATTTTCTGATTAAAAATAAATCTCTAAAACAAAGTTAGTTGAGATTGTTTCTAAAACGGAATCCTTTGTTTCACGAAAACCGCATCGTTGTATTAGTAACAGTAACTGATATACTGCGCAATAACCACGAAAAATGGCCACACGCTGCGATATTTGCAGCATCCGTCTATAACGCCATATCTCAAAAGCTGATTTCAACGTAACTAACTTCAAAACCTATTATTTTTGCAAAGTGTATTAATATTAGGCTACTATTTGTGAGTTATGGACGAAACGGTCATTAAAAAAGTTGATTATCGTAAATCTCAACTTAAGACATATCTTGTACTTAACCTAAATTATGTGAGTACCTTTGTTCTTTTTTCTTTACACAGGAACTCTATATCTAAGACTTAGACACACCGAATCGAGTACACTCTACCGGAGAAGGCCTCTCGCGACGTTAAGCTTGTCAAGGACCACCCCTCTGTTCGGAGTCGACTTGGAATCTGTGGTCAGTAAGATAAAGTTCAATTTAGAATTAAGTCAATTAAGTAAAATGAATTTAACAAAATAAATAAGAACTAAAAGTTCAGATTTTCACGAAATTATATATTTTCACATGACAATTGTTTCGACAACACCGTGTCTTTGTCAAATGTAATAGTTACAAACTACCTGCACCTATACCGAAAAATGACATTAAAACTTTAATTAATGGTGTTGTGAGAATTGAAGTTTAATAATGGAGAGGTATTTAAATCTAATAGATCGTTAAAGTCCAATAAATTTAATTTTCTACTTTTTGTGAAGAATCTAGACTATTGTTTTTAAACGGTCTTTCATGTTCGTTAATACGTTTCTTGAAGGATCTACCAATATAAATTTTATGACAAGATCAGCATTTCAACCTGTAGACACCTGATTTTTGAGATTTTGACAAATGTTTTGAAACTTTTTAACTGGCTTCTCCTATGTATGTAATTGTTATAAATTGTTCGTGTTCTCTATTAGGTTTCGGATAAATAGAGTTCACTATTGTCTGTATTTGTTTTTTATTTATAATCTTATCTAAAATGGACCGATTGTAGCCGTTGTTCAGTGAAATATGTTTAATGATATTAAGTTCTTTATTGTAATTTTCTGTTGAGAGTGAAGTATTAAGAAGTCTGAAGAGTGAAATTTTGTGTGTATAAGGGTGATTTGAGCTGTTGTGTATGACTGTGACCATGTGTGAAGGTTTATTATGGTAAATGGAAAAATCTAATTTGTTTTGCGTTTTCGTAATAGTCCAAAAATTAATAGAGTTATCCTGTTCAATCTTGATATTGAATTTTATACCATTATATATTGAGTTAATGTAATTTAGAAAAGAATTCAATTGTCTGTCCGTTCCAACAAAGCAAGCAAAGACATCATCCACGTATCTATACCACCATAAAAAACTTTTACTTAAAGGATGTTCTAGTATGATATTTTCAAAATTATCCATAAAAATCTCAGCTAACAAAGGACTAAGTGAGTTTCCCATTATCAGACCTTCTTTAGATATGTAAATCTGTCCATTAAATTCAAAATAAGCATTCTAATAAATTTTGTTTCACCAATGGGTTAATCTGATCCGAGTGAGGGTGAAATCTACTAAATCTATCACATCCGTAGGTGCAACACGGGAAAATAAGTTTTGTACATCAAAAGACAATAGTATTGCGTTAGATAGGATTTGATATCTTTAATTTTGTTGATTAATTCAAAAGAATTTTTTATTGCAAATTTTGATTTGAAGATAAACAAAATGAGACATTCAAATGTATTGCTTAACGATCAATTAGATTTAAATACCCTCTCCATTATTAAACTTAAATTCTCACAACAACATTAATTAAGGTTTGAATGTCATTTCTCGATATATATATATATATATATATATATATATATATATATATATATATATATATATATATATATATATATATATATATATATATATATATATATATATATATATATATATATATATATAGGACCAGGTAGTTAGTAAATATTACAGTTGATAAAGACACGATGTCAGTTTAGTTCTTATTTATTTTGTTAAATGGATTTTCATCAAGTAAAAGCCACCTCAGTTCAAAATGAATTTGTGTGCTCTTATTGTATCATTGCGATTGCAGGTAACGCGAGAGAACAAGACCGGAGGAGTTCCGGGTGGGGTTGCTACCGGGTTAGTGACCGGAGTGCAACAAAACATCCCCATCATCGTCAGACGATGCGTCGAGGAAGTGGAGCGCAGAGGTTTGGACATTATAGGTGAGTTGGTAAATTGGCTCACGGCTCTTTCGTTGCTAACCTATGCACCAAGGTATTAGGACGTAATCAGCAGAGAGAGGGTGCCTCTGTATTTTATGTGCTTTCACTCGGATTATAATGAAAAAAAATCACAGCCTGCGGAAGTTTCTTTGAAAAAAATTGCTCAATTAGTTAGAATAGAAAGTAAACTAATTTAACAAAAATATATTGTCTAACGATTTATACTACTGAATTTTATTTTATATATGGGTGTGTAAACGGAAATTCCTTGGAAGCATAAAGTCATACATTATATCGTAATTTTTAATACTCACCATGAAAATTGTATTTTTTGTTTTGTCCAAGGTTTATTTGTTTTTTTTTCGTTACATCTTTTAAATTAAATTGCTTTTAATATTTCAATGTTTATACAAAATGTTTCACAGGAACTCACTAATTTTTTTTTTATTTGGAAACTACAGGTTTTATGAAAGCACTGCAGTAGAAGAACAATGATAGGGGTAGTTTATATCAAGGACCTCCTTTTGCAGAAATAAAAAAATATCCAGAAACTGTTTTTTTTAACGGCAATGCTTACTTTATATTTTATTGTATCTTAAGGCAAAAAATAAAAACATTATTATTCCGCCGTAGTGGTTGCCTGATACCTTGCTAATGCTTAGCGTTTGAACCAACGTCTATGTAACAAACCACTCTTAGAAATTACCCTCTTAAGTTATTCAAATTTGTTTTGAGGGGCCTCCCAATTATAAAGTAGACAAACCAAAGAATGGTCTCAGTATTCCTTGGGTAAACAACCCTCAACGCATTTTCTAAGGCCCAACTATCATAAGTTAAGTGTATAGTGTATAAGTGGGTAAAGTTGCTTTCCTTGTTTAATTACTTGAAAATTCTCTTAGGGTTGTACCGATTGTGTGGATCGGCGACGAAAAAACGAATTTTGCGCGAGGCGTTCGAACGCAACAGCAGATCGGTAGATCTCAGCCCAGATAACGTGCCGGACATCAACGTGATCACTGGCGTCCTGAAGGACTATCTTAGGGAACTGCCCGAGCCACTGTTCACCAAATGCCTCTATCAGATGATGGTCGATGCCTTGGGAGTGTGTCTGCCCGACGATCCCGAGGGCAATGCCAAACTCATGTTCTCCATACTGGATTGTTTGCCGAGAATAAACAGGGCAAGTGACAAATAATTAATGACCCCACAATATATTACATTTTATTTGTATTTTAAAAGGATGAAGTAGTTCTAACCAATACTAGGATATCATATACTACTTAAATTTAAAAAGATTTGAGTTTTTTGCGTTTTTTGGTCAACCAAAAATGTTCCTACTTATTAATAAGTAAAGCAATGAAACGGCACACCGGTACGCCCGGTAAACCGGTAAACTGCGAGATATGAAGGAAAATTTTAAGTTTTTGAGTGAGATTCCTCGTTTAATTAAGGATATAGAAATAAAAATTTAGAAAAACATAATATGAACGGAAAACAGGCGTCTCTTATAATATAAAGCAAGGGCAGTAATTAATTCAAATAGGAAAGTGATGGAAGTTCTTTTCGAGTATCTTAAATGGATGCTAGTTTCTACAAAAATGTCTAAGATTTGCCGTAGTCTTAAAGCTGTGACAAACTCAAGTCATTTTGCCTTATCTCTGAAAGGAAAATGGCGGAAGAGTTTGAATATTTTCGTAAATAAATAATAATAAATAATTTTCTTAAATAAATAAAACGTTGACGCATTTTAATAAACTTGGAATCGTTAAAAAGGGCTTTTAGTAGGTCATGACTACTGCAATGAGTGACGTGATTGTTACTGGTTACTTTGCCGCCAGGTGGCGCTTTTCACATAATCGCCAAAAATTTAATTATTTTAATAAATACGTCACTTGATAGTCAAATAAGGGCCCAGTAACCTAGTGAAAACTGCATCTCAATAAATACTAACCTAAAATATGATTAAAAAACTTATAAAAAGTTTGATATTGGTAAAAATTTCCGCTTCATAGGTTTGCCAATAAACACTAATTTATTATATAGGATGCCAAATTATATTTAAAATGAAAATATATATTTTTTTTAATTCGCAGAAAATTACCTGTCAGCCGATATTACTGTTTGGACATTTTTGTCCGTTTTCAATTAATTTATCATTATTAACTAATAAATTGTTAAAGACTTGCCAATTTTATTAGTTACAAAATTATTATATAAGTAATAAAATGTGCATTGAAAAATAAATTAATTAAAACGATGGGTAATCAAGATAATTTGACAATCAATATATGACGACATGAAAAACTCGTAGTGTTTGATCCGATAAAAAACAACTTTATTTTCAATGCAATGTTGATAACAAAAAATGAACTATATCTGTGAAAAGAGATATTTTATTTATTTTTAAATGGTTTTTCACATTTTACTACGCAAACACCTGAATAGTTAGTAAAACTAATCAATAATTGATTAGTCACCGAATTAGTGACTGAAACTAATATTTAATGAATCCTAAGCATGTCAAAATGACTGCTACAGGGTAATTTGGTGCCTTTCGAATATATTCTAAAAAAGTAAAAAAGATAAATATAACATTTTGTTCTGGTGTTAAATGAGAAGCCCAGTTTAACTCACATAATCACGGTTACAGCGAACCTGATCAGCACTCACTTATTACAATTTTCTTGCATTAGTTCTCCGCCTATCTAAATAAAATTTTTCTTATAAAAAGGACCTTTGACATTTAAAAACGAAAAACGATCGAAATTGTTTCTCAAGGTACCCAATGTACAAATGGTTTAATCCGTAAGACCTGTAGAAAAATTGAGAAATAATTATAAAAAAGGTTTTATTACACTTATCTTGCGTCACTATTCACCTCCATCAAAATAAAATTTTACTCACGAAATTCATATTCGCTGCATCAAAATGTCAATATGTCCATTGTCAAAAAATTCAAGGCCTCTGACATTTACGATCACAAAACACGATAATGAAGAACATTTTGAACACGACTTAACTTTTATTTTCTAGTTTAGACTAAAACCAACTAGTGTTTGTTTTTGGTTTATTAAATCATATATTTATAAAAATAAGGTTACCATATAGACAAATATATGAAGAACAAGAAAAAGTATATTAAGTTTATTATAATTATTAATTAACCCTAGCAAGATTGCTTCCGTCAAAAATATATCACAACCACTCCTCACAAAGAAGAATAAACGATTGAAATGATTTCAGTTTGGCAATTTTGACAATTTAACAATATGCCCATTTTCAAAAATTTTAAGGCCTTTGTCATTCACGAAACACAATAATGAATTTTGCACACGACTGTACTTTTATTTTTTAGTTTAGACCAAAACCTATCAAACTTTGTTAATTGTTGATTTATTTAATTATAATTCAGTTCAATAATTGGCATTTTTAAACTACATATTCGTATTTTTTCCAATTTCATGAAATATTGCAATTTTGTTATATTTTTCATGAAATATTTATAGCATTTACAGAAAAGTTGGGAATTAAATTATGATATAATAATATCATAGCAATTTTAAGTCAAAACTGACAAATGCTTGATATTATATTATTATAGGCAAAAATGCAAATAATATTATTAGATATACCAAAACTGTATGCTGAAATATTCGGAAAACCCCGAAATTATCGAATTTTAATTGGTTTTCAAGAAGTATTCCTGGCACTAGCACATCAAAACTTAACTGACATTATTGTCATTGACCGCGCGGCGTAACCTATTTTCCAGGCCACGTTGATTTTCCTTATGGACCATCTCGCCCTGGTCGTGTCCGCTTCCGATCGGAACAAAATGGCGGCTCAAAATTTGGCGACGGCCATGGCGCCACCGCTAATGCTTCATTCGGGAGACCTGATGACGTCCACAGCGCCGTCGAAAGATCTCGACTATCAACAGCCCATCAGCGTGCTGCGATATTTGCTGCAAATATGGCCCACTCCTAAACATCACTCAGGTAATGTATAGTGATAACTGCACTGAATTAGTCAAGCCATCGAAAATAGCCAAGCTTAACTTACTGGATTCCATTTTGGAACATAATTAGTGTGATTCTCATTTGTCGCAGATGAATACTTTCTTTTATCAAGAGTAAAGTCTTATAAGGCTCCCACAGACACTCGGTTTTTTAGCACAGCTAACTCTGCAGGCCCATTTGGGCAAATTAATCTGTGCTCTCGTATAGTATAAGTATATTTCTAGAATTAAAATGGCTTCTCGCAATACGGCGTAACAATTTCTTTCTTTTGTTGTTAGACTCAAACAAAAAAATGTGCCAGGTACAACGTTACAACCTTCAAATGACCTGGGCTATAAAAAAACTTCTTGGCTGATTAAAAAAATACAATTTATTAAAGGAATGTATGAAGTAAAGTTGTTAAAAGTTGTTAAAACTGAATTAATTAATAAAATGTTGAAGAATAGCCGCCAACTCTCAGCATTAGGGTTAAAGTAATGTTAAGAGATACAGGGTGACTTAAATTAAGGTAAAGTTTCGCATTGGTGAGTTCAATAATGTTCCGCTATTATAAAAATGATAGAAACTGTGTCAAGACATCTGAAATGTATTTGAATATGTACCCTGAAAGACGACAACATCATTAAACTTTGTTTAAATTATTAGATTGAAATCTCGCTGAGTTTGCTTCATTTAGGTGCTGAGTTGTAGGTGTCTCCAAGCGTTCGTATGATGAGAAGCACCTACATCAGAGTAAAGTTGGAGTGTGGATTTTCCAGGGTTCATTTTTATCCGCAAAATGTCAACTTTTATTGAAAGTAATAAATTAATTTCACGTTAACCCAGGGTAGGCTCGTCACTCACTAACTAAATTATCTTTAGTTTTCTGATCCATTCTTTCTCCATATTTTTCTTTTAGTTTTTCAAACCAAGCAAATTCAGCCAGATTTCTATCCAATAATTTAAACAAAGTTCGACGAGGTTGTCGTCTTTCAAGATACATGTTCGAATACATTTCCGATGTCTTGACACCGTTGCTATCGTTTTTATAATAAAGTTTTACCTCGTTTTTCTTTATTGGTAAAGCCCATTTTTAACGACACAGTAATACACTATATATTAAGATGTCATCGATTTGAAAATTTATAGCTTACTATGGTATAAAAGTTTTTGTTCAATATTTCGAATATAAAGGAACCGAACTTGAAATTGTGGTACATCTAAAGGTAATACTAATAATAATAATAATACGGGCTACTCAACACTGCAACAATCCAATATGGTGACTATAAAAAAAAGTAGATGATGGTTTGACGAAAACGAAACATCGTACGGGATTTTTGACCTTAAGATGAAGTATAAAAAGTTGCAATGAGAATGTATTTATAAATTTTAGCTGTTTAAGATAAAGACAACAAAATTAAAACAAAAACCGGAAGTTTGAGATTTTCTACTATAGCTCAGAAAGTGACAAAAATAACTTCAATTTCAAAACGGAACACCCGGCTCTCTTACCATTACCGAAATCCTAATGGTTAGAGTCGAATTTGAAACATCCTGTACACACTGCACGGAATACTTGTACAAGCATCGGGGCGCAATTGGAAAGTGTTGATCGAAGTTATATCAAGATAAAAAAAAGGATATCAGATCAGCCGTACATGAACGTAAAGTTGAAAATTAAGTGATATATAAGTTTTACATTACATAGAAACGGAAATAATTTATGTGACTATAAGTGAAACCTCAGTTTCTTTGATATGAATGGATCTAACCTTAATGGTAGTAACTTTATAATGCAAGCACCAAACCGCTTTAAAAATGCACAGCCTCGGAAAAAGTCTTGTCAAATCCATAAAACCCACCTTCGTCACCTTCGGCAAACAGAAAATCCGAATCTCAAATCCATAATATGTCTTCTATGGTAAGCATTTCTATATCGTTAAACTTAACATAGGAAAACAACGGAAATCATTTGGATTCGACCATCTCAAAACGCCAGTTCACTAAAACGGAAGTGGAACTCCAAAAAGAGCAATCTCGAAGAGATAACCCAGAGATTGAGAGAAATTTAATAGAAACGTCGACGGCCGATCAAGATAGATGTTGCCACGTTGGGTCAGAATAAGATTAAAAAAATAAATATCCTGATACATAATTATCTTTTTTTCAGCAAATCAGAATACCACTGGACAAGCCCCACTTCTTAAAAACCTTCTTAGGTTCCTTTGTAAAAAAACTTTTTACGTGATTACTTTTTCAAACTGCTGCTGCTCAAAATGGAATGTGTAAAAATCGCTATTTAGAATTAAAATAGGGCAAAGTGTAGGTTAGTGGCTGTGTTATAATTATCGTGGACTGTAAACTTTAATCCGTGGAGCACAAAAACCGCTTGTTACATTTTATACTCACGGTTTTATTTGGACATTGGCACGGGCGATAAATTCGCTGCTGCGTGTCAAACAGTACTGAAGGGTTGTTCTAGCCGTTTTAGGGCATAGGCAGCGGTGCCAGCTTTACAATACGCATAAGTTCTACATTATTATATAATTTTGTTTTCTAAATCTTTAACAGGCTGAATTGTAGGGACATGCGCGGAAAATCATTATCTTCTCTACGAAATTTTAAGCACGCTTTCATTTCACTCAGGCCAGGCCAATGATCTGCACAATCGTGCCGCTATGCTCGCACAAAACAGCATTGCACTGTCAGCCTGTGTTAAAAATCTGGGTGTCTATAGGGAGCTTTACACTTGATAGTGCGCAACGATCCATCTACCATCTCTCTAAAATATGTCAAATGAAATCAATGGAAAGAAATTGATCCGTTCTTCAGATAATTTACTGTGATTCACCTCATATTTGTGGAAATGAAATAAAAATTATGGTTTTGCAAAACTTCAAGTTTCGAATTATCTTACATTATTACACTTCAAAAACCAATCCGACACTTTAAGTGCGTCATCAGGAATCGCAGCTAGTCACCGGCAGAATAGTTGAAGTCATACAGCTACTAGAACCATAGAGGCGCTGCCAAATGCTGGTAATACAGTAATTTATGAAACAACTGTGCAACTCGACCTCTGAAAGATCATCCATAAGTTTCGACCGGTACTTTTGCGACAATTTTTTTTTTTTCAAAATACCATCTTGATCAAAAAGTTCCTGGAGTTTATTCAGAAAATTAAAAGGCACAAGTTTATTCGTCTAAACCTATTTTGTCACCTTCAAAATGATCCGCATCGACTGCAACGCACTTATGCCAGCGCTTTATTTTTCTTATTCGGTTGTCCTGCGATTGTTCAATTACTCCTTCTCGGCTGTTTTTTTGACTCGATTGACGATAAAGAAGTCACAGGAAGCTAAATCAGGTGAAATCGGTGGCTATTATGAATAATGAAGCCATTATGCGACCCGACGGTGCGTTGTCATGTTTCAAAATCTACGAGTTTTCTGCCGACAATTTTGGCTTCTTTCAGCGAATTGCTTCAAGCAACCGTCTTATAATGCCTATTTACTTTCTGAGAAAAATTTATGATGCACTACATTGTTGTCGTCCATGAAAACCGAAAGCATTGCCTTATTTTTTGACGGCGTATTTTTTTTTGTCTAGCCTGATTTGGTAAACGCCTTTTTCTTACCTGACCCACATGTCCTCTCAAGTAATGATCCTTTTAATGAATATGGGATCGGATTTAGCCTCGCAAATCATCTCTTTGGCACGGTCTCCATTTGCATGAAATTAAGGTTTTTTTGGTTCCAACTTTGTTGCTACACGACTGATATCCAAATCATTAACCAAAATGTCTTGGACCGATCCATTGGCAATGTTCAAGTCCTCCACTATCTATCTGATTGTTATTATTGTTATTATTATATTATGATTATCTGTTAATCTATCAATGTTTTCGTCGATCTTCGATGTCGATTGTCTGCCATTGCGTTTATCCTCTGCGATTGACAGGTCCACTTCTGAACCGTTCGTTTCGTTGGTAAATGACCGTTTCTCCAATATTTCGCGCACAATTTTTAAACTTATAAAAATTTGACAACACAAACAGAGGTAGATGTATGATAGATTTATGTGCGCCACACGGTGGTTGTTCCGGGAACTTTTTGATCAAGGTGTATGCGCTAAATCTTCTTGGGAAATGATTTAAGTGTTGGGTTAGAATTAAAATGACCAAAAGTGCAGGTTAGTGACTGAAATGCGAGGAAAATCATTATCATGTCTACCAAAATATGAATGCCGCCTGCGGCGCATCAAACTTTACCATAGTAGAGCCGTTATATCATTTAGTAGCTATATGGCTAGAGTAGTTAGAGGTTAATGTGTTCGGGGGTTGTGTTGGTATTTAGAGGGGTGCTTTCCAGACAGGTCGGCGCGGCAGGCCGCCCGGGCCGCGTGGAGACAGTCGCAGTGCGTATCAAGCGGCGCAGCCGGGGGCACAGGCCCCCCGCGAGCCGTCTCGGCTCTCAGCGGCTCTGTCTCCTCATCCTCCTCGCTCAGCAGCCTCGGGCCAGCCGCACAGAGGCCCACTACCGCAGGTCCCATCACATCAGATACTCGTAAGTACATACATACATGGTATTTCGAAGTAAAAAGACGGAGACATTTGTAAAAGGAGGTAGAGATCATTTAAAGAGGTTTAGATGAACCATATATCAGTATAAAATGGAATCAAGCTACGAGAAAACAGAATGCACACCTAAATGTACAATGTTTATATGCGTAATCTTCCATCTTCTTCTTCCAGTGCCTATCCGATCCAGATGTTGGCAATAATTCTGGTTGTTGTTGAAGAGAACCAAGTTCTTTAACAAAGGAATTCTTTTCCCGCCATGTCCAGGTTTTCCTGGGTATTTTTTTTTGTGATATTCCTTGTATTCCTATATCTTTTCTCGTTCCGGGTTATGTGACCCAGGAAGTAGAGTTTCCTTATTTTTATTGTATTAATTATATCCGTATATTTTTGCATTAGTCACGTGGTGTACTGAAGAGATTTTCAGATCCTGCTGTAGAGCCCAATCTGAAACGCGTTCAACCTTTTGGTTGTTGCTTGTGTCAAGGTCCAAGATTCTATACCATAACGTAGAACAGAAATGATATAGAAACGAAAGAGCCTTATTTTTATATGTAGTGTTAGAGACCAGTCCTTGAAGAGTAGGAGAATCTTAATAAATATCGCTCTGGCTTTTTCAATACGTCAGCGGAATTGCTGTCAGTGATCCCATTAATTATTAACGTATGTGGCCAAGTAACTATACTTATTAATTTTTTCTATGCGTCGCGGATTTATTACACCTGACAAAACGCTTTTTGGGTCTGAATCCTATATGTTAAATTTCAGTTTATCTTACACTAAAAATAAGGAAAAAAAATTTTTTAATTAAAGGTTGCTTTTCTAGAGACTAGAGCAATTTTTCATTTTTTCTGCAAAATTCATTAAATTTTACGTTTTTTGTTTATAGTTTTACTTCCAATTATGCTAACAAACGTTTTTTTATTCAGAATTTTTAATAAATAGCATATAAATGTAAAATAGCAACAACACTATTTTTTCGTATTTCGTTTATGTTCGTATTGGCTCTCTCGGATCAAATTTCAAATGTAATCTCCCTTCATATTCTCGTTATACTGCCCTTGACAACGGCGTTCAGAGTCCATCTTGGTGAAAACGTTCTGCTTGTTCTTCGGAGTTGGCCCCTATGTTGTCTGTAAGTTCATCTAAATGAGAATGTAGCATATAAAATTTATGAGACATTCTGCAGCCCATAATTTCAAAGCCTTGCAGCATGTTTTCAATCAATTGTCAGCCTCACGATTTCCGAGGAAGCCATCAAACTGATAAAATGTGGCCCAAAACCTTAGGATTTCATCATGAATGCACTATTATCAGGTTTGGTTAGTGCTGTATCGGATTCTGTTTGTGACGCTTGAACTTTAGACCTATCTGATATGCTTCATAGGCTTCGCAAAGTTTCAGATTTTACAAAGCGAATTTTTTACTTCTAACCTTAATGAATTCACCACAAATAAAACAAAATGAATCAACGTATTTACACTGCCTTGGTGCCAGTTAAATAGTTAGACCAGTTCCTAGTAACTTTGATGCTACTTGGAATTAATAACACAGTTGATTTTCAGGTCAATCAAAGTGGCTCATAAAATAAATTAAAGCATACTCATCGCAAATCCGACAAAAGCAAACTTTATGCAGTAAATGTGGAAATTTGAATGTCTAAAATCCGAATTTCCCATGAGAACAAAAACCCAAAAAAATTTACCTCCTTAACATGGGTGAAGCTTCCTGGCAGCTTCTAACGGTTTTGAAATAGCAGTCAGGTGATTTCAACGACTGCAGTGTTACTTCCACATCCGTAAGTATATTGGTATTTCTTTGAACGCTGTTCTTGAAAGCAACGCTGTCCCATCCCCCTGAATTTCTAAATTCCCTGCTTGGCAGGTTTACTTCATGAGGAAGTATCGTGGTAGTTGCGTTAGGCTTCATATCTGATCGCGTCTCCATTTTTTACAAATTTCGATTAGAGACCTGAATAAAAAAAAATGAAATAAAAAAGTTAGTGAACTGAACCGCTTAATTTCTTCAAATTCTTGGATTGTTTTTATTTTCATCGTCTTTAATTATTATTATTGTTCCTTTCCGGTGCCTATTTTTTTTCTCTTTTCCACATCTACAGGGTACTGTAATATTTTTTACAAAACTTCTGGATTCCTCCTGCGTCGGCTTTTGTTGATTCGAACTTGCTGACGTTTCGCCAATCATCCTGTTGGCTTCTTCGGAGCTTGACTGAAATTTTCTAATTTTCACATTAAAGATATTAAGCGTTCCATCAAAAAATACACTTCACCACAACCTTCCAATAGCAATGAGGCCGAAAACGATCCTACACTTAGCACTGTGGTGCTTCCTTACATTCAAAACATCACTCACCACATATCAAAAGTTCTAAAGAAGTATAACGTCAAAACCAGATTTACCACTTGTCCAACATCTTCGGTCCGTCAAAGACAAAATTCCGTTTGAGATGCCAGGAGTCGACAGCGTTCCATGCATATGAGGTAAACAATATATTGCAGAGACCGGTCGGAGAAAATATCAACTAGGCTCAAAAAACACGAAAGAGCCTTACGACTAAGAAAAATAAACTGTTGCCGAACACAATCACGAAACCGGACATAAAATTCTATTCTATAAATCTGAAATTTTTGCATGCAATCAAATCCTCTACCAACGAAAAATCCGAGAGGCTATAGAAATCTATAAACAACCTAACAATCTTAACCGCGGTGTCTACCTGTCACCAATATGGGAATCAGTCATCCGAGAAGGTGTTTATGCCCCTTTTTTAGCTCCGCCCCCCTCAAACAATATATGAGCAGGTACAGAGTAAAATGCGAGCCAGGTTCAGTTAAGCTCTGAAGAAGCCAACAGGATGATTGGCGAAACGCCAGCAAGTTCGAATCAACAAAAGCTGACGCAGGAGGAATCCAAAAGTTGTATAAAAGGAATTCTCTTTTTTTTGTTTTTGTTAAATCCTAAATATTCTGGGATCTACTATATTGTATCGGTAATTAGGTGAAGTAGCGCTGCTAGACCTATGACACTTCTATTGTGGTATATTCTTTTGTTGTTATATTTTAATAAAGACGATTTATTATAATATTTATTATGAATTTCTGTATATGTATAAAACTTATACTAAGCTGTTATTCGAAGATGGTATTGATAACAAACCAAACGTTGCATACATGCGTCGGTTGTTTATAAATCAAACTTGCTGATGTTTCGCCAATTATCCTGTTGGCTTCTTTAGAGCTTGGCTGAAACTGGCTCGCATGCTATTTTGTCCCTCCTTTACTTTATGAACATAGTCTCAGATGACCGATTCCCATATTGGTGAAAGGTAAAAATTATAATTTTATCGAATAAAATTTGATATCACATTTCATGGTTGTGTTCGTCAATTGCTGAAGAGATTATTTGTCGTAGTCTTAAATGCTTTGAGTCTAGTTGATATTTTTGGTCCGGTCTCTCCGCTGCCTCTTTTTCCAGTGTGTATTCATTAATGGATTGCTTATATATTCCTTGCGGTGTGTATTAACTACCGTACATCGTGTAGCCCTGTCCACTGTTTGATATTTTGTAGCCAAGACATTTTTTCTTCCCTCTACGGCCTTCGATATTTCGTTTAATCAGATCTTCTTAATCGTCGTAGGACCTCTTTATCTGTTAGCTTAGCGGTCTATGGTATTTTTGGAATTCTGCTGTGCAACCACATTTCGAAAACCTCCAATTTATTGATTGTATTCGTCTTTAGTGTTCAACCTTATAAACCGTAAAGAAGCACTGATCAAACGTAGGTTTTAACGAATCTGAGTCTTCAAACATGTTTAGGTCTGTTTTTTTGGTGTTTATGTTCAGGTCCATTGATCTCCTATCTCGTTGACTTGTTATTGTGGGTCCTGTACGTTTCAGCAATAAAGACCGTATCGTCAGCATGGCGGATATTGTTTGATCCACACTCCATTTTGACTTCCATCTTCGCGTCTTCCAAAGCCTCCTGAAAAATCGCCTCCGAATACAAGTTGAACAAGAGCGGAGATCGCACATATCCCTGACGCATTCCCCTTCTGATCTGTATAGTTTGATTTGCGCTGTTTGGTTCCAATATTGGTTTTCAATGCATCTGATGTCTTTCTGGTCCATATCAAATCTATTGAGATGCATTAAGTTGTAATGTTGTACGCTATCAAATGCCTTCTTGTAATCTACGAAACATAGACACACATCTTTTCTCTAATCATAGCTGTTTTGGACAAGTACTTGTTTTGCTTTCGAATATATTGTTTTTGGAAGGTTGTGGTGAAGTGGGTTTTGTAATGGAACGCTTGAAGAGCTATCGCCAATCATCCTGTTGTCTTCTTCAGAGCTTAACTGAAACTGGCTCGCATTTTACTCTATACCTCCTTATCTATTGTTAGAGGCAAAAACACCATCTCGGATGACTGATTCCCATATTGGTGTCAGGTAAAGACTTGAGGCGCGGTTAAGATTGTTAAGTTGTTTATAGATTTTTATAAATTCTCGGATTTTTCGTTGGTAGAAAAATTGATTACATGTAAGAATTTTAGTTTCTTCGAATAAAGTTTTGTGTTCGATTTTGTGATTGTGTTCGGCAACTGCTGATGAGTTTATTTGTCTTAGTCTTAAGGCCCTTTCATGTTCTTTGAACCTAGTTGATATTTTTCATCCGGTCTCTCCAATGTATTCCTTGCCACATATTCATGGAATGCTGTAAACTTCTGGCATCTTAAATGGAATTTTGTCTTTGACGGATCGAAAATGTTTAGATATTTTTATATAAGTGGTAAATCTGGTTTTTTTGTTTTTGATGTTTTGAATGTAAGGAAGGACAACAGTGGCAAGTGTGGGATTGCGTTCGGCCTCATTGCTATGGGACGGTTGTGTATTTTGTAATGGAAAGCTTAATATCTTTAATGTGGAAATTATTAGAGAGACCCAATGTTAGGTCTGATATTCTATTAATAAGAATATCTAAGAATGGAAGTTTCAAATTTAATGGTAAAAAGTATGTTAGGGTGTATAGAGTTTGAATGTCTAAGAAAATCTACTAGGGATTCTTGACCATGAGGTCAAATAACAAAAGTATCAGGTGTCGAGAGCTTTCTTTTCAAAGGCTTCCATAAATATATTCGCGATGACTGGGGATAGTGGAGAAGCCATTGACCATTATAAAAAAAAATATGTCCCAAACAAGCATTTTTCAATTAAGTTGAGAAGGTTTGATTCCAGATTCTCGAATTTTAATATGTCTGAAATTATGTTGAGAGTTTCAGGAATGGGCACTTTAATAAAGCGGGATTTTAAGTGGAAACTAACCAGAATATCTTGTGCATATAATGTAATGCTCTGTAATTGTTCAATGAAGTTAAAGGAATTAAGCTCGAAACTATCAGTTTTCCCTGTAAAGGGTTGTAATAAAGAAGCTAGACATTTTTATAGAAAATATGTTGGAGAAATAATGGTTCTGACAATAGGTCGAAGGGTTAATCCTGATTTGTGAATCTTTGGAAGTTCGTAGAGACGGAGTCTGTTAGAGAAGAAGCCTTAATAACGGATTTTAGGTTGCGTTCTATAGATGATGTAGGATCTTTTTTAAGTTGACGATATGATCCGTCTGCAAGAATATCTTGAATCTTTTCTTTATATTCATTTGTTTTCATGACCACCGTAGCATTTCTTTTATCTCATTTTAGTATTACGATATCGGGATTACATTGTACAGATTTTAAGGCAATGCGTTCAGGCTTTGGAATATCAGATTTAGGCGGATTTGATTTTTTTAGAATTTTTGCGGCTTCAAATCGAATTTCATTAGCTGTTTGAGATGGCAGTTCGTTTAAGATACACTCGACATTTGAAATGATTTTGGGATAATACGTGGGGCATGGACGAAGTTGGAACCTTTTGAAAGAACTAGTTTTTCCGTTTCCGAAATTTGTTGCGATGATATATTTATCACAGTGTTTGGTAGTTGATGGCTTCACTAGTGTTGACGTTAATTTTTCAAATTTCTGAATGTGATTTTGGGTAGTAGAAGATAAACGAAAATTTAAAGCTCATGTTTGAAAGGGTATCGGACTCGAATGGGGACAAGATTGAAGCAATTTTAAGATGTAGAGACAGAAGAGTCTTATTGATTTGGACTGTTTCCTTACGGGTATGATGAATTAAAGAAGTAAAGCGAAACTAGATTTTCGGAGAATTTTATAAGCGGGTTGACAGAATGGGATAATTAATGAAAATTGGGGATAACGTTATGATCTCTACAACGCAACAAAAAGGTCAGTGTACAGAGTAATCTTACCCGTTTCATTCGGTGATCCGCTTTCCGCGTTTGCGCTTGATGTCCTCTCCATAAAGACTCGTTAATTTTTCAAGCCTGTAGAATTTTCTTTGAAAAATAAGCCGACGTTTTGTTTTCCGATCGACCAGGGCCCATCATCAGTAAGCAGAGGTCCCTACCGGCCGCTCTCTCCGCGAGTCGGCCCGCCAGCAGCGGCGCTGCCGCCTCAGGGGGCGGCCTCGTCCCCGTCGTCGGCGGGCGTCCTCAAGCCCCGCCATGTGATAGTCTCATCCCCAGGATCGCCAAGCAGCAGTAGCGATTCCCAATCGGGTTCGGACTCTGTCAAACACTGCCTACCCGGCCGCGTTAGTTCGCCTGCGATCCGCGCCTCCCCGTCAGCCACCGCCCTGATTCGCTCCTCCCCGTCGGTGACGTCGGTCCGGAACTCGCCCTCAACTACCCTGTCCCCGGCCGCGGGTCCTCGCAACTCTCCCTCAATCACGAACATCACGAGATCGTCACGATGCAGTTCGCCCGCGATGCAAGCCAGCTCCGCAGGCCTGAACGTCACGATAGGCGGAAATTCACCGTCATTCTCGTCGCTAACGGGATTGCAGAACACCATTGCCAACATGAACACTACTACGAGCAATATGTTCGGCATAAACTACCCCCAGCCAACCACTTACGTCAGCACGAATCCCTTTTTGACGGGCGCTTACTTGACATACACTTCATCGGAGAGCGGTTACAGCGAAGGAGATAAATTCAACACGATCGGGACGACCAAGGAGGCGAAGTCGTTCTACGAGGGTTATTCGTCAGCCGGAACGAAACCGGAGATGTCGTCGTATAACACCACAGGCTCCAAGTTCCAGGAGCAAAAGACGAACTACCTGAGCTCGATGTATGGCGGCGCCGGAAAGAACGGCAGCGGCAGCTACGAGGACGGGGACGTCAACTCGCTCCAGATGAGTCCGCGGCTGCTTCAAGTGGAGGAGACTCCGACGCCGACGAGCAGCATCGAAACGGAGGACAGCAACACCAGGGAGGTTGGGGAAAAGGACGTGGAAGGGGACGGCGAACAGTCTGACTGAAACGCGCGGCTCGGGCCCACGTACAATAACGGTAATATTTAAACAAAACGGCTGCACAAGTTAATATAAAAAAACAACACGACGACTTGGTCGAAAGTTAATAACATAACCTATCACTTTCATCTCTGTCGATGTATTTACCATTTTTTCGACTTGTATCACTTTGATAAGGTACTTACGAAATATTATTTAGTTACTTACTATTGGGTAACGACCGTAAGACATGCTACGTGTACTTGCTTATTAGAATCAAACTTGTTTACCAAAAATAGGATCGTTGTTGAAAAAATGTATAATTTTAGTTTATAGATAGAGTTAATATTTATGACCGGGAAGTGTGTCTCTAAATGGAACCTTAGACGGTACCCGTTGCGTGTTACACAATTTATTTGCTATTCAAATGTCGTTTCGAATTCACGTGTGATATATTTGTCGACGTCGATGACGTTGGCGATTTAGCAGGCGGCAGTTTGATCGTTAAGGAAATCATCTCTTTATCATCTTAAAGTTTGATATTAGGGGATACTGACGAAAATCCTTGTTTTGTCCAAATTCATATCCACATTTCGGGATTACAGCTATTTTACTATAGTCTTGCAAACGGCTTTGTAACAGCGAAAATGTAAAACATACAACCAAAAGTAGTCGTTAAAAGAGTGCTTACGCTACTTCCATTCGAGAATATATCAATAGTCAAATTGAAATTCGGTATCTGGTTTTGTTTGTCATGCTAGTCAGCGAAGTAATTGAATTTGGCTTAGAAAAATAAATATTATTGTCATATTAATAATTATGGATCTAATAAATTTAGTTAAAAAAGAATTCAACAAGAAAGTAAGTTTTGATCAAAAACGCTGACAGACCACCAAAAACAAAATTTAGGTTTTAATTTATTTAGGCAAGATTTTTGAGGAATATGTCAGAATTTCCTAGAAGCAAGCAAAACATTTCTGCCTGAAGTCAGAATTTCTATGAAACAAGTCAAAATTTCTGAGAAACAAGCAAAAACAATTGTCACTTAAGTCTGATTTTCTGAGGAACAAGTCAGAATTTCTAAAAAACAAGTGATAGTGTCCGATTTAAGTGTCTCGTAAGGAACATTTAGAATCTAAACCTCAAATATATACTACTAGACATCAAATATTACGAAACCCCAGTATCTGTTTCGAAGTTTTTTTATTACTGTTACCAAAATTGTGATTGGTAAATATTAGCCTCCAGTATCTTTTAAGTATTTATGGGAAAAAAATCAGAAAGAATAAATGCAACTAGTTTGTACGAGGCATTTTGAGCCGAAATTTTTTGTGTATATTCTTTATGAATTGCCCTGTATACCTGGTGTTTTAATTCGCAATATCCCTTACGACAGACTTAGTCAGAAATTCTGACATGCTTCTCAGAAAATGTGGCTTATGTCAGAAATTCTGACCTGTTTCCCAGAAATTCTGAATTTTTCTTCAAAAATTTGCCTAAATTAACTAAAAATTTTATTTTTGGTGGCCTTTCAGCGGTTTCGTAGGTTTGCCTTATTTCTGAAATTCTTCAAATTGAACATCATGCGTTTAACGAATACTCTTTTTTGTTGCCTTTATTTTAGTCAAATAAAATGTTTTTCTACTCTTCGAAAACTTTAGAATCCCGTCAATCAAAACAGAAAGGTTACAATTTGTTCCGAACGAAAAATCCCTTTAATGATGAAAAATCTGATTTACTAATGCGCATGCATTGGTATTCACAATGCGTTGAGGATCACCTCAAAAAATGTGCTTTTCATTTGCAATAATCAACTAAATGAAAAGTTATGAATAAAATACCATTGTTACTTCGTTTTATTCCTTTGGTTCGGTTAAGGACAATGTTATACTTTGTTCTCTGTGCTTGATAAATATTTAGACACTGAGTCAAATTCCAAACTATTATAACATAACCTCAAACACACCAACATTATCGAATTCTGGCGCACGAATGTCGCAAATTGGTGTTGTACTGTTCTAGTCTGCAGCATTTAAACTTAAACTTAAATACAAAATAAAAACGGATAAATCCCATTTAAAATCCGAATAAAAATCTAATGGTGGGTGAATACAAGTATATAAATGGAAATAGAAAAGCAAATACAAAATTAGACAAGCGTATTTTTACGAACGTAGCGGAGTAATGAACGTGTTTAATATTTTTTATTTAATAAATAACTGTTCCCCACTAAAATTGTTAAGCTGAAAAAGTTACTATAAATGCCTGGCTCACAAGCAGGACATATAAGGGACATAGTTCGGGAACTATTAGTGCCTGCCTTTCTATTAATCCTTCAGCACAATGGCTTATCTTGTTTTATTTCCCAACTACTCAAACACGGCTATTAAATTTGTTACTGTTTTCTCTCTATACATCTACGGGATCCCTGTTATTGTAGAAACGTATAGGGCTTGGCCGCACCTTTAGGTGGCACCACAATCGCTCGAATCTACGCCGTACATGAGTCTGATTTCACAGTCATAAAATATGTGCTGAATTGTAGGAGTATATCGGCTTTTGTGACCTGATTATTGACATATCTGGCATTGGTTTATTTGTGACTTAGCTTATTATTTCGGTGGGTGTGCTTTGCTCGTAGAAAAGTGATCTCTACTGGCCCTAAAATTAGTGTCGCTTACAATCAGATGCAAGGCAAAACGTTGGGTCGAAGGATTGCTGTAATGCTTAAGGTCGATTCGCACTTGGTTAGTCATTTTTTCGTGCCTATCTTGAAATACTTGAGCTTATGGTCATGGTCATAAGTAATGGTTGTATCACGCGTTGAAACAAGTCCATTTGCTTGGCTATAGATTGTATGAGATTTTTGATCAAACGCTGTTGTGAGCAAACTGAACGCGAAAACATGAAAGTTTTATGGGGGCTCCCTGCAAATTTAAACTGTTGACGAATTAGGTACCGCGACAACAATCTAACGACGCAATTTTAATTTCAACATTCTGAATTTCGAAAGCTAAGAATTAGCTCTATGTAAACTAGTGATCGGCCATCTTAGAAAACCTGGCGGTGTTCCGGTTTAATTATAAAATGTAAGGCGTTCTTCTAATTGGTCGATAAAAGGGAATTTATAAAATGAAATAATATTGTTCAAACTCTTTCATAGCACTATATTACTTGGGATGGTTAATACAGTAAATAGCAAGAGATTTTAAATCCAACAGTTTTGTTTTCGACTGGTAGGATTATTAAACAAATGAAGATGGCGTGGTTAGCTTATGAGAACAAAATTATATATACAAAAAAAAATTATTAAGTGTGTAAATGCGCAATGCATTCCAAGTAAGGTGATTTATGATAATGATGACTTAAGTAAAATTAGTCATATTTTGATTCACAATTGGAGAATCTATGCAATTCCTGTGTAGTATCGAGTCTTCCTTTCCAAATGGCATCACATGTACCTTCCGTTTTTCCTTTTTTCTTATTTTCTGCCTCCAATATTCTCTCTGAAATATTTGTGAAGATAAACGTTTTTCCTCTATGTTTGTGTTAGGCCCTTTCAACGTATGACAAATTGCCCTTTTATAAAGAAGAACAGCCTGTTTGAAAACTGTAACACAGGAGTAGAATATACCGCCATTACAACGCAGTACACATCTTTCTTCTTAATATCCGACGTGAAACTTTTTACAATAGTGCTTTTCAGTAAAAGTCGTCCTTGTCGCTGTATTGTATTGTTGAATAATAATAAGGACCTCTTGTATACAGGTCTCTGTCGTGGCACTCCATATCTGTAGAGCTTTATCTAGATGAAAATACGTGTGCGCCTGTTTAGCTTAGATGGCTTTTAAGCCGACAGTGGCCCGACAGTAGACCTATTATTATGCTTATTTGTAGCTTAGCAGTTTGCTGTAAATCTGGTCCATGGACCTCCGAGAAATTCCTTTGCCTGACCAAAAGGGTTAAGGTCGAACATTTGTTACCAATGTGGCCTTCATTAGTTGGTTAGTTAGTATATGAAAATTCAAAACAAACTTCAATGTTATTTTGCTGAATTGTATGGCTTTTATTACCGCGGTGTAGATCGCAATTGTTTACTTCTTCTTCAGTTTTTGAATCAAATGTGCAGCAAATTATTTCTGCCTTTATTATTGCGTCATTTTTCCAGTCTTGTCTGGTTGAATCTGGTTGAAAAAAGCAGTACTTCGTCTGCCTTTATCGCCCTGTACATCTTGTCAAGCTATGTCTACCATTTATTGGTGACTAACCTTGCGACGGATTTTGCTTCGGCTTGAATATAGATCTGTATTGCAATATTCAGTGGGACCTTAAGGGCTCCGGAGGGTGTGCTCATCGCTTTGTGGCTAGCCTTTGCACGCTACCCCATATACTGTCATTGGTCTTGGTACTGTTGGGTACAGCCAAACTATGATTTTTGGATTGAAGCCCCAGTTTTTTCCACACATGCTTCTGCGCCTTCCTAGTACAACCTTTGATATTTGACGCCGGTCTTCCTTGCAACTCAGTTTTCTTATGATTGAGTAACTGTTAGTAATTATTTTGTCATGTTCATTTGGTGGTATCTACCAAACGTATTAAAAAAAGATGATTGTGTATTCATTCATTCAATAATGACGACTACATTTATCACCTTGCATCAATAGAACTCGATATTTTTACTAATCTCTTTTTCCCCATAGAGCAATATTTTAGTATTTTGGTAATAACCAACATAGATAGATAGAGAATTGGTATATAGTACTCCAGAGTAAAGTATTTGCTAGGGAAAAAAGTTTTCTTTTATCGACACTCCAATGAAGAGCGCACTTTCAAAAAAAAATTCCGAAACTTCTGCACAAATGTTTAAAAAATCACTGCCAATTTCAATAGAACACGACGTATGTAAGTTAGGCAAAATTCATTATAATTCATTAGCAATTTGTACACAACAAATAAACAAATTCCTTTACTTGAACGATTGGATGTTGGTAGGCGTTTTTTAAAATCCCTGCTGTTTTCCCCCAGCTCGTATGTTTTCGATGTCGACACGCTTTTGATCTCTGTACATTCTTATGATGTATATAATTGTATAACGTTGCTACTAGATTCTTCTTTAAACGACGCATTTCGCTGTTTGTTGTATTCATTGTATTGTATTTTATGTAGGTATGTACAGTTCGTTTCACGTTTCCATTATTATCCGTTATTATAGTCGTTCCTGTGCAAAAGTTTATTTCCGTTTTTGTATATTGGTTTTGTTGTCGACTGAGGAATATGTTTAACGTATAAATGTGTACATAGTGAATGCTAAGCGGTTTCTTTAGTTGCGTGGCAATAAGCGGATTCTGCTAGCGGGTGTTCCGACTTAATAATGACGACGATGCTTCCCTTTATCAGCATACGGTAATCACTTCGTAGAACGTCATTTACGTAATGTAAACAGTACTATTAGGGAAGTCCGTAGATCTGCGAATAACTAAATAGGTCCCTTGTTTTTCACCACCGCTAGCGAAATTCCGACATTTTTGAAAATGGAATTGTTTTCTATATCAATTTTATTCCAGTTAAAATATTATTGCTATTTTTATTATTTTATTACAAAATTTAAGAATAAAATACAAAAAATGGTAAACTTCAGGATAATTGTCTAAGACGTTGATTCCAGAATTCAGTTGCGTCCTCAGTTTTTTATAGTGTTCTAAGTGTAAGTTTGAGGTTCAGGCCAAACCCAACTCCATGTATATTTTTTAGTACTCAATTGAGCTTTTCGTACTATTTCTAAAAATATGTTTTAAAAAATGATTATAAATATTTGCTTGTCTAAAATTATAATTTTTCTAATCAAAGACTTACGCAATATTTTTAGAGACTACTCTAAGTAGCCATTTTTTCTAGTAATAATATGTGAAGGAGAGCTTAATTAAGATAAGTAAATTAATAACAAGTATATTTTCCAAAATGTCAAAATATATGTTTATTTCAAATAATATATAAGTATTATACATTCTCGGAAAGTACAACATAACTATTAAAAAAAATATTACTTTTCCAATAAATCAGAGCACGCCACTGAATTTTACCTGCATCTATACATCTACGAGATTCCGTTTCAATTGTCTCAAAAGCTTGGCTATAATTATTTTGGAAACGCCATTTTTTGTTTCACGAAAATTGAGCACAGTAATAACAACAAAAATAGACACGGTGTACGCGGTAACTAGAAAATGTTTAAGGAAATCTCCTAAACTCGATTGGCAAATTTAAATAGGAGGAAGTTACATGGAAATTGAGGATCCACAAAAAGTAACTTAAAAAACAAAAGACCAAAACACTATAACAAAACTATAAGAACTGAGATTGGGCTATCAAACTGGCTAATTTTTCATACTGTGGATCAAATTGGGTCATCTTTTTGAAAAGCTCAGACTAAAACTGATGCCATTATTGACATGACATTACCATTTCAGATGTGCTTTTCGAACATATTCATTTTTAAAGAATCGCTCTTGTTTTATATGAATTTAACGGTTAAAATTTAATATTGTCGGGAATACGCCGTATTTGTTTTAATTATCGAATAAAGCTTAGAATTACTATCCAATTATCTTTTTGCAAGGGTAATTCTAAATTTTTTTTATCGAAAAGGTCATTGTTATTTATTAAACTGGCATATTTTTTACAAAAATTTAGCCCGACATTACAATCTTAGAAATTGAAGTTTGCCTTTAAAAGTGTTCAATTTGACCTGCCATGTAACAACTTACGTTATACTTATAAAATTGTTAAAAAAAAATCTGCAATTTTATTTGCTTTTTAGGTTATCTTAGCCCTATTATTGTTTTATTGAAATTGAAATAAAAAAAAAGAAAACATTAAAACTTATTCTATTTTCTGCTCCCAATAAAAATGACATAGGTAGAACTTTCGTATTCAGAATATTTCTCTACAATTTGTGGTGGATGTGTTTCTACCGATGCATACCGGGTTCAGAAGCGTCGAAAACAATACACACACTTTACTATACTAACGGAGTGTATTACTATACGTGAAAAACAGAAAAGTACAAATTGCATGGACCGGTCGTACCGACTCTGGTCCAGCCGATCGAAATCGAACAAAACAATCAAAAATAACATCAACACAATTCGTTCCCTCAAAAGGAACTGGCCACCCCGCGCTCCTTCGCCGACTTCGCCTCCGACAATTGGCAATATATGGCGCTCCGCACATCAGCACCATACAGTACACTCCAACGAATCTTTAAACCATCACAAATTTACAATAAATATTTTTCGGAGCGATTTACATTATTACATATATGTTTTTATTTACACAAAACCATTCTGGAAGGAAATCCGCGATGCAAAATATCATGTTTCAAAAATTTTACTTGTTCTTGTTGGTCATGTTAAGAAAGATATTTTAGTTGCGTTAATTCAGTCTTCCTCAAAAATGAAACATCGAGTTTACCGGATTTATGATTTTAAGTGATCACAGCGAAGCGTTCGATATTCTTCTGGTTCCGTGGTAACCATTGGTGCTGCTTTTTCGCAAAGGTGTTGAAAAATATGAGACCGTCCTTGCCTTTTCATTAAATGTGACCCCATTTTAGATAAATAAAAAATTTTTGCAATTTTGTAATAAGTTGCGGGGCTAGTTGGCAGCGGAATATTCGTTTCGTATATTACAATAAATGTTTGAGAATGCACACGATTTATCTTAACAAAATACATACCACAAGGCCTGCAGGGCGAAATATCAATGGAAAAGCCTAAAGGTCTTTTGCCTAAGTAGTAAATGTGGGTAGAAAATGGATCTGTATATTTATTACTATAACTATGTTTAGATAAAAATGAACGTATGATGACAGAGCTAAAGAGCGAGAGCGAGAGAGATACTCTAGTCAATTTTATGTTTTGTCAATTTTAGAATGAGTATAGTAGAGCAAATTTGTTATTTAAGATGTTATTCTGTGAGCACTATCGAAAAAAATTTATGTTACTTTACATAGTTGTTTGGACTCCACATAAGAATTATTGATTTTTATAACCCTTACCAAAACCGAAAGTGCGGAAAATCCAGTTTTACCATTATTTCAAACCCATAATATGATAGTTTTACTTTTGTTTTGTTAAACAATAATCATAAAGACCGACGAAATAATCTATTGATAGTTGTTGCGTGGAATCCAAACTAGTTCACGCAAAAAAGTGCATGGAAGTGTATGTGTATGCACATATCATAAAAATTTATACTTTCTTAACGATAGCCACGGCTGATGTGTGTACAATAAAGTGAAAAGATCGACTTCGACCATTTACCAGATTATTTTCCATTTTTATATTCCAAACGTGTTCGTAACATAATGAAAACGTCAAATCAGTGTAATCGACAAAGCTACTAAATTACGTGCTGGTCAAAGATGCTGAAGTGTCTGAAATGATCACCAGGGGGCTCAATTGTTATATCGGTTTTAAACACTCGGTTTATACAAAATTTCTAACGTCAAGCATTGTTAATGCTTAGGAAAATTCAAATCTGGAGGTGTTGGAACATTTTTCCGAAATAAATGACGAAAGCTCCAAAAAGTTTTTTTTTTTAATTTTAATAAACTTAACAAGAACTTATAGCTAAGAAAGTTTAGTGATGTGAATCATTTGTCGTGTTTTGTGGGTCGTTATATTGCCGTTATCAATTTTTAATTTATTAAATAAATTTCTAAAATTAATCCAATGTCGGATATACTCTAAAGGTCGGGAATACTTAGGTGAATGTTCATTCCGATTTCGCAATGGTTTTTGCGGTTTGGAGGCTTGTACAATTAACAAAACAGATATCGAACGCATGAGTCATAAGTGTTCCAATGCAGATATACTGTCCCGCTTAAGGAATTAAGGAAAGAAAGCTGGAGTAGTTTGGTGATGAGAGGTAGGAAGTACCGTCTACTACAAAATGTTAATCAAAACAAGATAACAGGTAGACGAGAAAGACATCCAAGATGAAACATTTGAGAGACTGGTATAACATGAATTTCAGTTCATTATTTGGACTAGCATGTGACTCGCTAAAATTTACCAATACCCAACTTTCTCAAAGGACATGGTATTTAAAAAAATCAAGAGTTTAATAAATAGAACTCCAATTTATACATTCATGTATATTATAAAATTTTGTTATTTACCTTTTTCTTCATTGCATCAAAGTGCACAAAATTACACATCAGCTGACATTACTTCTTTTATTTATTATCACTTATTTTTTCATTAAATATTGGGTTTAGACAACTAACCAAAAGTTGTTCTTGAACACTAACTAATTTTATTAATTATTGGCTTATTTCGATAGAAAAATGTGAATGAAATAATCATTTTTACCACTTTAAGTACGATATTGTTAACTCAAGAAACACTTTACAAATTTAAAATATTTAAAACGGTAAGTAATCAAGAGAGTTTGATAAGCATCCATGAAAACTTTGATAATTCGAAATGAATCAGTCCTGTCAGAAAAATATTTTATGCATTTTTAAATGTTTTTTCACATTGAACTAATTAAATACGACAATAATTAACGAAATTAGTTAGTCCTAAAAAAATGAGTAATGACACACCTAATTTTTAATAAAGAAATAACTAATAATTCTAAATATAAAAAGTGATAACATAGTAATTTAATTTTGAATATTATTTAAAACAAATTTGGTATGTTCGGGCTAGTTAGATATTAAAATCGGCATGCAAAGCGGAAATTTTTCACAAAATTTCATTTTTTTTTTAGTTTAGTTAATATTTTAGATAACTATCTTCATAGTGAGATTCCGGTGTCCATTGGATTATTGGGCCCTCAAAAAATTCATTTCGTTGAAATTTATTTTGTATCAGAAAATTATGTTATTTTGGGATAATGTCAGAAAATACCACCTGGTGGTAAAGTAAGCAAACGTAATCGAGTCACTCATTGCAAAATGCTATTTTAAACTACTCCAAGTTCATTATAATGAAATTAAAGGAAATGGTATGAAAATATTTTAAAAACTTGGTTTTCAAAATCGATATGGCTCATTAACGGTCATTTCAGAAACTCGAAAATAATTTCCAGCATTTTCTCTTAGTAAATTTACTTCTTAATTCTTTTTTCTAAACCGTTGTTCTTACTTTGACACACGGTATAACTATTGGAAAACTTTGAGTGTACACATTTTTTTGAGACAATTTTGATATATTTTTAATTTTTATTCAAGCTGTGCAATATTTAAATTCAGTTGTGCCGAAGAGGATGGAGATGAACTTCCCATAGTTGATCATATGGCTCATATGTTACGAATGCGTTGGGACTTTTGTCTCCTAATAGATTACGGAAACTGTTATGTATACACGTGTATTTTTCCGGAATATTTTTACGCCGTTTCCGAGTACGAATCGCTTGCTTACGCCTATACGTGTGTGTTATATAGTAGTTTGTCGATTCATCCGCATGTGCGTCAGTGAGATACGCGGCAAGCAGCTCCTGGAGTTGAGAAGTTGTGGAACGTAAAAAATAATATTTTTAAAATAATGCTAATTTTGTTGGGTATAAAATAAGGCAGTATAAAAATTTTGGAACGTCACCTTCCCTGCTACTATCTAAGGCTAATTTAAAAAAATATTAAGCTAATTTATTATCGTTGTAAGCTTAGATAGCTCACACACACATCGCCAAATAGCAACAATAACTTTGGAATTACGGGAAACATCACGAGGGCAAAGAAAAAGAAATGCATTCATAAAAATACACTTTTTATCTCCATAGTCGGTTGATTAGCATTAGCAATAGGCAGAACCAAAGCACATGCAATGGAAAAACTAATCGAAATGTAACAAAAGAAACTGAGGAACGTGAGTCGTTGATCACTGCGCGCAATTTACAGAAACCATTTGCTAGTTCGTCACGTGTAATCGCATTATATTTCATTTGTACCCTAATAAAGAAATAGACAATAAATTTAAATAAATGATATCGGTAGACGTTTTTTTGTACGCGATCTATGTAACTACGTATTACTAAGGAACGGAACGCCAGTGAAAATATTCCCGGAAAAGTATCGAGAGAAGAAACCATAGATGTTAAAGAGTAAACTATTATCAGTATTTAAGATAGCTTTTCGAATGGCTAGACCCTCCTAAATATGTACTTACAAAATAACGAATAAAGTAATTCAGTTGACTATTGTTTTATTCTTGTTTGTCAACAATTCCTCAGTTATTTAAAGAGGGGAGAAGGGAGACACTTAACTAGCAAAAATGTTCAAATTTGGTGATATAGGATCAGGTGCTTCCAGTTATATGCGACCGAAATGTAGGTAAAGATATAGAAGATATACTAAGGCTATAGTACGGGAGTCACCGATAAAATCCATTATCTCATTGGTTTCAAAAGTTATGATAATAGTAAATAGAAAAGTTATAAAGATTGCTGCACAATTCAAAATTATTTTAAACGAAACAGGGTGGCTCAAAAAATCCAGATGAATAAAACATATATTTTTTTAAAAGGAACTCCCTATTTTAAAATCATGTTTTCAATTTCTTTTAAAATTCTACAACTTTTTTTATTAATAACAGTATGTACTTAAGTCTAACAGTTTTTCCAAAATTTTAGTTTTTTTAAAAAAATGGTAGTTTTCACAACTGCAAAAAAATTACGATATGCAACGGAATTTGAAATAGATGCTACCAGGTGTTCAAACTAAACGAATATATTTGGATCATTTAAAATTGAAAAAACGATATTTTCTTAACTCACCAAAACTAACCAAATTATTATTTTTTCTATAAGATCTTACAAAAACCTGCAACTTTTATTAAGTATCTCATATACCAGTTTTTAATACTTTGGGACTTATTTGAACTTTTCCAATATTTGCACTCTTTTCTATCTAACACTATGGCTATAACATTAGTTGGTAATGACAAAATAACTTTGCTAAATTTTTACCTCTCAATTGAGTAAGTAAATTCATAAATACTTTTTATAAAAATTCTGGATTCCTCCTGCGTCGGTTTTTGTTTAGTCGAACTAGCTGACATTTCGCCAATCATCCTGTTGGTTTCTCCAGAGCTTGACTGAAACTTGCTTTTATATTGTTTGAAAAGGGCGGAGCTAAATGAGGGGCGTAAACACCGTCTGGGATGACGGATTCCCATATTAGTGACAGGTAGAGACCTGAGTTGCGGTTAAGATTGTTAGGTTGCTTATAGATTTCTATAGACTATAGACATTAGCTAGTTCGACCCAACAAAAACCGACGCAGGCGGCATTCAGAAGTTTTATAAAAAGTATTACAGTAGCCTGTGGAAGTTTCTTTCAAAAATTACATTCATAAAATTTATTGTGATATCAGTAGATCTTAATAAAGCTGAATTAATTGATACGATTTATATACTAGGTGAGGCGGATAAAAACACTTTGTTGGAAGTAAGTACAAGACGAAGTACCCTAGTAGACGTATGCCAACTAGACAATTGCTTCAGTGTTAAATGGAACCGTTCGATGCTAGCAGTAGTATTGAATATAAAGAACTCAAAGTGGTAAACTGGAATGAGAGGAAAAATAATTGGAAATTTTATTTCAACTTCGAGATAATCCCCTGGTCAGTTGCTGTTAAGCCGTTTGATGTGTGATATATCCGAATCTACCACTAATCCCTTCCATATGGAATTACACCAAGAACTTCTGGACCGTGATTTTGACTTCTGTATGGTTATAAATGAAGCAATAGAGGTCGATAAAATTTTTTGTCAAAAATAATATTTTCCGATGAAACTACTTTTCACAATACCTAAAATTTCTGGATGGCGAACCACTCGTTGGACCTAAATATTTAAACTTTTTGCAGAATGACTTACTTTAATATTTTCAAGAAATTGATAACATTGAAATCCAACAAATGTAGCTTCAGCAATGTGGAACTCCGTCGCATTACCATCGAGAAGTTCGAGAATTTTTAAATAATCATTATCCGCAGAAATGGAACGGTAGAGGTGGATTCATTGGATGGCCCCCTCACTCATGTGACTTAACACCACTAAATTTATTTTTCTGGGAACATGTTAAATTTTAATAGCTAGGGCGGGTTTCTTGAAGATGCGTACACGTGCTCTGTAACCCACGTCTATCAATCGGAGTAAGACTGAGAACACTGAAGTGCTATACGTGACCCTTGCTCTGATGTGGATGTGAGTCCTGGACTTTAAAGTGGGAGGATCTCAGGAGGCTGCAAAGCGTTTGAAATGTGGCAATATACGCATAAGCTGGACTTCTGGAACGACCAGTGTAGAAGTACTAATTATAAACTACTGCAACGGAAGATTAAAAGAAGACGAGGTACCGGAGGAAAAAAGAAATCGTGATTGAGAAATATACGAAACTGGACAGACACAGAAGGTAACACCTTAATCCATCAAGCCCAACATAGACACGAGTTTACCATGGTGATCGCCAACCTCAACAGAGACGGCACCTAGGAGGAGGATGTTAAATATCGTGTTTATGCGAAACCACCCTACAACACCAGAAGATTTAGAAAAGACTATTCGGCACGCGCGCAGGGAAATAATAACTTTTATGCTAAGGAACGTCCAAGAAAATATACAAAAAGGCTAAATGTGTGTATAAGTAGATGGGCATATTTTTGTGCCATAATAATTAAAAGTAAAATTAATTAATTTGTAGTTTTAGGTATTTAATATTATATACTTTTTCTGTAAATTTAAAATTGGGCCGTTATTATTATTTATTTAAATAAATCGCAAACTATTAAAAATAGGTATATAACATTTTGGGTTTTTGTAAGATGTTCCCGAAAAAAAATTATTAAATATATAGGAAAATCCAGATTATTCAATTTAAAATGTATTTGCTTATTTTGAATACCCTGTTGCACCTTGTTCAAATTCCGTTGCATATATCTTTTACGTAATTCCTGGATAACGGTAATATTTAATATGATGAGAAAAATTAGGATATTGGAAAAAATATGAGAATTGATTATGTATTATTACTATTAAAAAAGATGAACAATTTCAAAACGAACCCAAAACAAAATTCAAAAATAGTTTTTTTTTGAGCTACCTTTGTGTACTTTAAAGTAATTTTAAATTTGGCATCCTAACAGTCGTTACAACTTTTGTATTTACCATTTTCTCATAACTTTGGAAACCAATGAAATAATGTTGACTTACTTTGTACAATACCTGGTTAGTAAAAATTGTCGGAACGCGTAAATATGTCCAAAACTGCCAAAGCTGGAACGATAAAATACAACACCTGAAGGTTTTTGAACAATGCGTTAAATAAATTACAAATTTATTCTTAAATCCTCGTTATGTCTATATTTAACTAAAATTAAAATTTCAATTTTTTGGGTTTAATTTATATGCGGTATATTCACAATTTAAGGACTTTAATGGTACTAACTAGAGAAGGGTATATGGTGTGCTACATGAATTATGCGTAAAATTTGACATAGAATTCGAAAAGGAAAAAAAAGACGTTCAAAAAAAGAAACTTGGTATCTTTTCGGCCTTTCCTGTATATTTTCTGTTTACTTCAAACAGTGAGCGAGGAAAAAGTGTGATGGACGTATGCAACCATTTTTCTTGAAATAAAATATCTGATTTTTGAATAAATTTTGTTCCCTAGGTAGACGTCTTATAATTGCCACAATGTTTATTGTATTACCAATAAAATTGTTCTTCTGACACCGAAATCGAATTTTGCATTTCTAATGGTGTCATAATCGTATGATTCATTAACATCCTTTTACACTTTAATAACTCGGGTGGTGGCGATCGAAATCATAAGAAAATCTGATAAAATATGATATCGACGGGAACCAGGGCAAGCGCGATGGATTGCGGTGGGTAATATTCCAGCACCACACCGCCCAACGTTTCAGGAACATCGTTCGAGAAGAAAAGGCAAAACGTATTGGACCTTCAGTTAGTACAGAAAATTTTAGGAAAATTTCAGTGACACATTTAGATTTTTCAAATAAACCTATGTAATAGTTAAGTAATTTCGGTCTATGAATCTTACGAACTTTCTAAGATTCACAAACCAGGATTACCCCCTCCACCTATTGTCAGCAACATTGCTTCTCCGACATATTCTCTAGCAAAATATCTAGCTTCTATATTAAAGCCATTTACAAGGAAAACTGGTGGTATGGTACTTAATTCTTTCCGTTTTCTTAAACAATTAAAAATCATTACATTGGATGCACATGATATTCTTTTTACTTTCGACGTAGAATCGTCCGTTACCAAGTAGACATATTAAAATTAGAGAACCTGGAACCAACTCTTCTTCCCTTAATTGAAAAAAACTTGTCTGAAACATTTTTTTCTTATAACGGTCACCCAGTCGTCGCGAATATATTTATTCTATACTATATAGAACACCCTAACATAGCCTTGAATTATCATTCGGTCCTTCTGTTTAGAGAAAACATACGCACACAGACTGAACTTATTTTCTCACATTGTCACATCACATCCCACATCACTGCCCATCAACTCTACACATCTGCTCTTCTCTCTAATAATTTCCACATTAGATATATTAAGCGATGAATCCAAAAGCAACCCCACACTTGCCACTGTTGCCCTTCCTTACATTCACTGACCACATATCAATAGAAATATAATGTCAAAACCAGATTTACCGCTTTTCCAAAAGTCTCTCAACATCTTCGATCCGTCAAAGGTAAAATTCCGTTTGAGGTACCACGAGTTTACAACATTGCGGGCATATGCGGTAAAGAATAACTACAAGAATACAATACAAGAACATGAAAGAGCTTTAAGACTACGATAAACTCATCAGCAGCATCTACAATCAACAGAAATCTATAAACAACCAAACAATGTTAACCGCGAGTCAGGTTTTACCTATTACTATGTTCATGCCCCTGCTTTAGCTCCGCCCGCATCAAACGATATGTAAGCAGTTTCAATCAAACTCTGAAGAAGCCAACAAGATGATTGACGAAACGTAAGCAAGTTTGATTTATAAGCCACCGATGCACAAGGAATCCAGAAGAGAGATTGTAAGATGTTATGAAAAAAAAACAGGAGTTGGTGGCTTATCTTTCCTCCTTTCAAAAATATTCAGTCGGAACTCCAATGGTAATAAAAATTTCTCGAAACACAAAATGCGTTTTGATACTCTGGTTCTTTGGAATTCCGCTGGAATTCGTTCATAGTGCAGTGCGGTTTACCCCTCGCAAATACGTATTTATTTATGCTGACCATATAATACATCCATAATAATAATAATAATACATCAATCGCCATCGCCTATCTTTTTTACGGAAATCATAGGCTTATCTTTCTTTCTTTCAGAAATATTGAGTTGCAATTCCAATGGTAATAAAAATATCTCGAGACACAAAATGCATTTTGATGCTTAGGTTCTTTGGAATTCCTTAGAAGTCCACCGGAATTTCTTCAAAGTGCAGTGCAGTTTACCCCTGGCAAATACTTATTTGTTTATTTCCGCGAAATTAAAGATACGAGTTTCCTGACGAAGAGTGAAGCTTTTAAAATTCAAAGAGTTGCATAGGCTAATAACAAAAAGGTCATAGTATTTCATCAGGCGCCATCGTCTATCTCTACGAGGATGGCTAGATCTGCAACGGCGGTTGTATAATGAGAAACTGGTGGAAAAGTGAAAGCGGAGGTGGTGGAAAGTACGGTCGCCGCTGCCGCTGCAAAACCAATGCGTCTCAGTGATGCTTCTTCTACACTGGCATCGACGGCGATGTGTTTGCTTAAAAAACGTCTTAATGAAGCGCGATGTTGGTAAACAGTATTCGAGTTGTTTTGGCGGCGTGTTTGGTGGCGACTTTTGGCGACGCGCAGCTTATGTCAAAGCAAATGTTCCGGTTTCCTGTCAAGTTGCAGGAAAGACTCCGGGCGAAGCTGAGCAAAATTCGCCAAAGGAACACTAAGTTGATTTGTTACGGTGAGTAGTTGAAGACGTTGGTTATGATAAGATTTATTTATAAAAGTTGTAAATACATCATCCAGCTCTAGTTATAATGAAAAAACTTGGGCGTGCATGACAACTTCCTTGAACTATTGAAAAATTATGTGACAGATTGAATTTGTTATTGTCAATGGTAAAAAATCACATTGTATAAACGTTACCTTGGGTGTGCGCAAGAATCTCATCTGGGCTCTTTACTGTATAATATTTTTGTTTTCGAGATTGGTCTTGTTTTCAGAACGCTTCTTTTGTCGATGATTTAAATGATAAAAAGATATTTACGGTTTACGGTTTATTGCAAAAATCACAGATTATTCTTAAAACCTCATAAATTTCAATGTATTCTGTTCACAGGGAAAAAGTATTCTATAGCTATCAACTTAATTCCTTTGATAATAAGGAGCTGAAAAGAGTTCACTAGGAATTGTTTTTGACTCTTAATGACACTTTGACGCTTATATAAATACTATTGCCAAAAAAGGTTTGAGAAATCCGGCCTTCGTTTTGAGAACTACCAGAGCGTTCAACAACCATCAGTCAGTAAATATGGTGTACATGATACGACATGTAGCTGACACAATCAGAGAATTTCCTACGAAAAAACAAGCAACCAGCACAAACGAAAAACCGAAACCGAAAACCAAAATTGAAGGACATCTTCCTAGACAATAAAGGACTTTTAGAGGCTGATAGGAAACTTGAAAGTGCTTATTGATAAAGGTTAACAAAATTTAATAAAACTACTAAATTTAAAGTGGTTTATTTAGAGATAATTTTGCCTGAAAAATTAAAATGAATTCCGTCATTCTCCAATAAACCTTAATGCTATTTATAATATTTCGTGCATCCTAGATTATATCTTCCTTAATTAATAGTAGAGAGTGTAACTCGTCAAAAACGTTAAGATTTGCTCAAATTTGGTTTATTTTAAAATACGACAACAACGGAGGGCAAAGAATATCAATTCACTTCAATTAAATAGATATATTTAATATAAATACATATCTTTTGTGTGCTTCACCGTATTTAGGTTTTCATTGTAAATATAGCTTTTCTCATCATTTTTACGCAAAACTGTTACCCAGAGCGACTGTTCCTGTGATTCCTAAATCTAAATATGTTAGATATGCAACAGAATAATTTGTCAAACTAGGCTCTGAAGATTCAAACAAATGCAATAAATGCCCTTGAAACTTCGTTGTGTCAAATTGACTTGAGATTTTTTAGATTATTGAAGAATATGTTGTTAAAACCTAAGTTGCCAGTTAGTTGCTATTAAATATTCTTGCACTTGTAGTAAAGTTGGGTTTTTAAAATTAATGAACAGGACTCTTTACTCTTTAATATTTTTGTTATTGATTTTGGTCCTTTTTTTACATTTTTCTTTCGTCGGTGATCTAAAAGCAAAGAAGAAGAAGATATTCAATAATTATTGCGGAAACCATAGATTATTCTTAAATCTTGATTAATGTCAATGTTCTCCAGTAAAAGACTTTGAAATCGTTCTTCATTCTAAATTAGACTTTGAGGATCATTTCGAAACTGTTGCCAAAAAAAAATGCTTGAGAAATCTGGTCTTCATTCAAGGACTATCAAAGGGTTCAACAATCATCAGTCAGTAAAAATTGTGGATAACAGCATGATGCGATCTATAGAAAACTCATCTACTGCTTCGAGCCCTATACATCGTCAGAATAGAAATTGTACAAAAAAACTTTTTAAAAACTTAAACGTCAGTTACAACAAAGGGCACTTATACTGTTATGAAGAAAACCCCAAATTTTATAACTTGAGAATTTGAACCTAGAATAAACTGTTAGGGTATTGCTCTTCCTTACAAAGTTGAATGTAATTTTGTGGATTATTCTTTTTTTATAAATTCATTGAACGTCAACACAAATCCATATGAGGAGCGAACCAGCTTGACATTTTTTATTAAGTAATTTAGATCTAGTTACTTTTCTAACTCTCCTATAATAATATGTGCTCGGACTTACAATAATTGTGTTTTTCAAATCATTTACAGAGATATTTAATTTAAGCTTTCATGTATTTAAAACAAACGTATGTAAACTCCCTTAGCTCTAAGTAATAATTTATTTAAATCTTAACCTTCTTTTTATTGTAGAGATAAGGAATTTGTAGCTCACCTTCCTGATTTTGTTGAATAGTATATTATAAATATAATACAAATGCACAGCTGTAATTGTTTCGACTCTGATATAGGAATTCCTTTTTTTTCAAGAATAGTATAGAATGACTGAAATTTGTTATTATAGCATATACAAGGCCCGTTAAATTAGGAAAGATTTAAAGAATTTTATGAAAAACTTAAACCTGTCGCAAAACGATTCCAGCATGAATAGTTTCTGAGAAATTCAAGAAAATATAAAAATTTGAATTTTCTATTTTTGTCTGTAAAACCACGAATATGCTAAACATGATCCTGAGATTATTGTAGTCCGGCACATGATAAATGGTTATGACTGTAATAATGCTATAAACTTTTTCATTTGCTCGCAGGCATTTTTATGAATACATATTATATAAAATTGTTCGTCATATATATGAATGGTAGTGATAGTGATAGCATACTGTTAATTTTCATGTTGCCTCGACTTTTTTATAAATATTATCAACTTCAAGTGCATGGTTAATACATTTTCTCCAACTGCTCTGTGGTATTAATTCACACTTTTTTAAGAACACAATATTTTCATACAATATCATCATTCTTAAGGTCGCAAAAGAAAAATTTGTTTTTATGGCCATAATCGGACATTCGGAAAAACAAAAATTTTCTCAGTCCATCTATCACATACACTGATTAACGTTAAAAATTTCAAATAGAACTTATTTAAAATGTGGTGTAGATTTTTGGGATTGCACTTGTTCTATATTTCTTATTCGATTACAGCCAACAGTACATTATTTTCGGTTTAACCGTTGCATGTTTTGTTTCTTTTAGCAACTGGTAGCCGCCAATAAATTTGCAGTCAATCTTTCAAAGATGTTATTTGGCTGTACTCTTTGTGGATGGCTATTCTAATATTGGACTATCAAAAATTTTGTTTTTTTACTTTGGTGACCCTAAGATTAATGATGTGATATTTAATATTGAATATATTATGGCGGCCACTAGGAAATTAATGAAAATATGGTGTATCTCGAAAATCAATTCCGTGCATTATTATGTCATAATATTTTTCCTAAAAAAGTGGTCCAATAATGTATCAACCCCAAGATCACTTTTCTAATTTTATTTGACGTATGGTCTCCGATATTCTCATGCTATCGAATCCTTATATTGAACACAAATTATACTAAAAGTTATGCACTGATCAAGCTTTATTAAACACTGCCGCGAGCCAATTCAAGCACTTCCGGTACTTTAGGCACTGCTTAGAAGCAATGGTATGTTTTCAGAGAATATTTAAAGCACTGCTGCTATTCGAGATTTTATATGTAAAATTATCGCTTGGCTCCTGCTTAAATAATGTCGTGACTAATATACCATTAACAGCAAGTTCCCAAAATGAACATGCTTGAAGTTTTTAAAAGCTCATGAAACAGGACACCAGATTTTATTCAATAAAACCATTAAATTCGTGACTTAATCGAAATAATCTAAATTTGGGATTCGGTCATCCGTGGAGCAATTAATCCTCAAATCATTTATTTAGGGCGTCAAAGCTACTACGTTATAGTGTTATTTAATAGTCATATTAGTAATAGATTTCTTTTCATTTCTAGAAAATTATCATGTAACATTTATAAGTTACTCAGTGTACATTTAACGAATGAGAATAATTTATTTTAAGTAGATAACTTTAAGATAAGCGTAAAAATTCTTAATAGCATCCGATTGCACAGCTTAGCTTTTAACAACAGGTTCTGCAATACTCTACAAAATTTGACAAAATGAAGTTTCAAATGCATTTACTGCATAGGTTTGAATCATTACATCTAATCTATTTAGATTTAGAAATCATAAATCAAAACTCCTGGAAACAATTGCTCCGGTTATCACTTTTGCATAAAAATGATGGGAGAAGTTTTACTTTTAATAAAAACATCAATAGGCTGAAGCACAAGAAAGTTAGGATTGTTTTTATTTAATGGAAGTACTGCTGAGAGGGTCCTCTACAATCTACATTACAATTATCTAGAAATTGAAATTTTTTGCCCCAAAAAACCCTAATTCTAAGATATTACGAAAACTATTAGTTCAAAATGGAGTTGGTAGATAATTCGAAAATACTGAACAGTCCGTCTCAATTGTTATCATCTTTTAAACCCAACCAAATTACTTCTTCTGGTTTTCCTGGATCTTGGCTTAAAGTCTATATATGGTCCAATGAATGAAAACTAATTTAAAAAAAACTTACCAGAAGTTTATCAGAAACTGGTTTATTGTCCTCTTTTGAAGGTGTCAATACTGTTTTTTCTGCAAACTCCGCAGTAATATTTTCAGTGTTTTGCTATCTCAGAGCTGCTTGCCCGTTTGGGAATCTTGAAGTTTCTCGTAAAATTGCTATACCCCGCTACACATCCCCTTTTGTCCGAAATGTTTAAACTAACAAGATAAGATTATCTCTAATCATAATCATCTCCATCAATAAAAGCACTCAACCTTTCATCTCCATCTTTCCGACCAAATTTTACCTCCACTATAAACCTTCAAAAGTCCTTTATTTTGAGGAAAGATATCCTTTAATTTTGGCTTTCAGATTGAGTTTTTCAAAAATAAATAAGATCTATAAGTTAAGATTTTCACGAAATTATATATTTTTACATTACAATTGTTTCGACAACACCGTGTCTTTATCAAAAGTAATATTTATAAACTACCTGCTCTCTACGTACCGAAAAATGACCATAAAACCATAATTAATGTTGTAAGAATTTAAGTTCAATAAAGCAGAGGTATTTAAATCTAATTGACCGTTAAGTAATACATTTCAATATTTCATTTT